GTCACAGTCACAAGTCTCATAAGACCACACCTCATTGGTAAGAGCCTGGGCACAAGAATAAGTTTGATACAAGTTCAGACCCAGTGAATCAGTGAATGAGAAATGACACAAGTAACACGTAACTAAACATCATCATTCACTGGATTCTTGACTGAGCTCTCCACATCTCCAAATAGTTCCACACCTTGGCCAGCAGGAACTTAAACATGTGCGACATATATAAAATAAAACTGCTGAAAGATCTTGACATCAAGTGCATATTCAGACAAAAGTTCGGAACAACATTGAATCACAAGTGTGTCTTTGCTTCGTCCTGTTTTTTTCTCCATCTGATCCCCTGACAATTGCTCATGCCTCACAGTCTGTCGCTACTATCGACCACACACAGACAAACTAGGCATAATTAACTTGGCACCATTGGTGCAACATGACATGTGTCTAACAAAAATATCACCATTTTCAGTGACATTTGACACAGTCACAGCACATAGCAAAGTACATATGTGCAATATACAAAAGGACATTAGACGCAATCATCTTCCACCACTTGAGTGTCATCACAATCATCACCATATTGAGGTACAATTTGAGGAATCTCATCATCACCATCATGACAACGGAAATCATCAGGTGGCTCAACCTGGGAATCTGTAACCCACTCACCATGACACATGTGACCACCAGGAACTGGAGAATTCTGAGACCCCACTGGCTCTGACACATCTGCACCCTTCTCCTCAAGAAACGCATTCGACCTTCTGAGCGACTTGCACGGCGACTGGAACGAGGGACAAGTCTTCCTCTTACCCTTGCCCTCAAGAGTGCCAAACACTTGTACAGATTTGTTCGGGCCACGCATAGTGATGGTAATATTCCATGGTCCATCCTGATGACAAGAGTTCAGAAACAAATTGAACTCTACAATGATATTGTGGGGAATCTACTGACATATGAGTTTCGACATTGGGCATCCACAAAAACAAAATTATTGTCTTAGATGCAGCATGTGCTAAATGAAAAAAATGAAATATTGTCACTGACGAACATCAGACCAGGGACAGGCAGCGGCTCAGCATCACTGACAAGACATCTGTACTCACCTGTGCGCCACTTGAGGACATCCATGACACTTGTCCCCGTCACCTTTTCCCAACCCTTCTGCGTGTCCCCCTTGGAAAGAAGATCAACTGTCGCCATGAGACACAGCTGACAAATGTAACAAATGATCTGGGGACAAATGATTTGTGGTGAACTGCGCCTGGGCCACAAAGATAACGCAGGACATAACAAGTGCTGCAAGAATATGTTGGTATAACAAGGGAGGACCATGATAACTGGTGTCAAACAAGGCATCAGCTCCTAGTGAAGTTGAGCGTTCCCAATATTGAGGCCTGCACTGCTCCACACACCCACAGAGCACCTGGCACACGCTTGGCTAGTGACAGACACATGCGTACACTGGAACTACTGGAATGCAAGGGTTTGGATGACTTGCCAAGCTTTCATGATGATTTGATGTTCCGCCCTGCCCCCCTTGACTAACCCAAATTGAGTGAAACAAACTACCAGTAGTGTTTGAACACAGCACTCCAGATTGAAGCAGCAAAGACATATGTGATACTTGTACTAATTGCAGTACCTCTGACAGAACTGAACCCCTACCTTTTTTCAGCTCAGGATTCGATTTTTCTGTGACCCACACATGACGCACATGACCAGGACAAATGATATAAATCAAAAAAGCCTTGACATCTGACACTTTGTTTGAATGCAGGTTTTTGAAGTTGAAAAACTAGCATCAAACCAAACTGGAGATGTCCCAGTATGTCAAATGTGACAATGGAAGACCTGAGCGTCAATGATGGACAAATGTCTCAGTACGGACAAATGTGTCAGCGCATATGCACGATCGGTGGAGCAGGTGCAACAGGAGGGACAACTCTATCCAAATCAGCAGGCTTCAAGTAGAGCCCCCATGCCTCCAACGACACTTGTCCTGCAGGGAGGCCATGCTGAGACATGGAAATTGCTGCCACTGCAACTTTTACAGTAGTTAGTTATCAAACTCCATCAAAGCTATTTTTTTATCATGTCTCAAAACCCCAAAAACCAAACAATCACACATGTCATGTATCACCAAACAGTCACACATGTCATGTGTCCTAAATAAAAATACTGCTGCTGAGGGAAGGCACCTTGATGTACCAAAAACGTGTGCTCCTGGTTGTAGGACAACTGTACATGAAACAATTGTCCCCGATACGGGACAACTGTAGTCTGGCATGGGAGGCGCTCGTTCAGCCATGACACATGTGCACTTAAGCTGCGCCCCTGTGGTCGGCGCTGCGCCCCTGCCCAGTCCAATGCTCTCGAGGCGAGACAGTTGAAGGCAGTCCTAAGGGCAGAAAGCAGAATCAGAAATGTGACTGACTTATATTACTTAGAATCATGTTTGGATCCCTATGCCCCACTATAAATACCAAACACTCTTCAAGGAAGAGTTCAAGAAAACAAAAATGAATGAACAACAAGTCAGTCGCTCCAGACAAATGTGCCGCTTGGCCTCCTCCACATTGATGGCAAATGCTCCTGGGTCATAGTGCCTTAGACAAAAGTTTGTCCAGCAAGACCTGAACTCAAGTCATAACAAGTTATTTCTGAACTGAAGGAAACTTTACAAATATCTCACAAATAATGTGTAAACACTTAAATTCAACATGCAGGAACATTGCGCAACTGCTTCAATTCAATATTCTATTTGATCAAAACATAAAACAAAATAAACAGAACCCAAGTTCAAAACGAGTGACGGCTTGTGGATTTGGCCCACAGCTTCAATCAAGAGGTTGTTGGACAAATGTACCGCCAATTGTAGCCCCCTTAGCCATCAAACAATTGTCATCAATGGCATCCCCATGAATAATTAAGAAACAACACCGATACCAAAAGAAAGACACAAGTAGTAGAAACATTTCATTGAAAATCCACTCTCAAAATATAAAATGCTGATAAATAATAAACAAAAAACTCCCGAAGATCTTCTCGAGGAGTCGGGTTCGCACTTGCCATCTTGCGAACAACGAATTGGGTGCCCTCCTCACCCATCCCACACAGGTACTCAAACACAAGTTCTGTGGACACCTGTGAGTCCATTTGGCGTTCCACTTCACCAGGACGAGCCATGACAAATCACGACATGACGACAAATGACGACAAATGTCGAGTCAGCCGGGTCACAAAACAGCGAAGTCAAAACTCTCGGGACAGATGTCTGCGGTGATCAGCCAAGATATCAATTTTGAGTGGCAACTGCAATGATTAATGACTGGAATGAGAGGTAATTAAAACAGAATCCCTAAAATACAGACATGTGGGCAACTAGCCTAGAGAGTTGCCACAGAACCCATCCCAATGCCCAAGACAAGTCAGTAACACCTGTGTCAGTGACCTTCACGATGAAGAGGTGTTGATCAAGTTCATGACGAAGAGAAACCAAGAGCAGCAAAAGGGCAAGACGGTGGATAAGTAAGGAAAACAATGTAACTAGTAAGTATGTATTTTGTGGACACATGTCACCATTCCCCATGTCTGTATTGGGGATATGTTAATTTTGCATATGCATATGGGATAATCAACCAGAGGATATCAAATATTTCATTTTCATGTCATTCATATCATATGATATCATATGAATATATAGTTTTAAATAACATAAAGTCTCTGCAAACAAAATGTGGCAAAACAAAACTGTAGCTGCAAACAGTTGACTTGAAAAGAAAACAAACATGTGGGTGACGTGATCTTGTTCGATTAAGTCTTCTTATTCAAAACTTTTTTTTTCTCAAAATTTCTCTTTTTCCCATGTTTTCTCATATTTTCCCATGTTTTCCCATGTTTTCCCATGTTTTCTCATTTTAAAACTCTTTATAACTCAAAATCTCTCAATATAACTCTTGAAAAAACCTACCCTATCCAGAACCCACCTAGGTCAAGGTAGCACATTACAATTGGTGAGATAGATAGATAGATAGGTAGATAGATAGATAGATAGATTGTTAGATAGATTGATAGATTGATTGATAGATAGATTGATTGATAGATTGATAGATTGATAGATTGATAGATTGATAGATTGATAGATGGATAGGTGGATAGATCGATAGATCGATAGATGGATAGGTGGATAGATCGATAGATCGATAGATCGATAGATATAGATAGATATAGATAGATCGATAGATAGATCGATAGATAGATTGATTGATCGATAGATAGGTAGATAGACTAATATTAACAATAATAATATATAATAATATATTCATGTATATTTAATATCTATATTTATATATGTAATATGATATATCTATAGAGATATAGATATATAGTGCTGTGTTAAATGAAATGAAGCATCATCTACCCTTTGTTTTTGGTGTAGTTTTTTTGTCACTTCAATGGTTTCCTGGTAAGTAGATGATAGATGGTATTAGTACCGGCTAATGGGTGTGAACTTTAAGCCCCAACATGAAGGGCCATACTTTGTTTCCCACCCTTGAGCTTGGTGGCGTCCCAAACTGGCGTTGATATTCCTAAGTCTTGGGTTTGTCCAACAATTTGCAATACCAAAAAAACACAATTGTTCTGGCAAATTTTATGATCAAACGCCAAATTTGGGGATACCCTATTGTCAGAAATTCCTATTTCATCCAGATTTACCAATTGGATTCCTGTTACCAATTCAACGTTCTGCGATTGATTTCTGGGTCTGAAATCTGCAGTGATAGCCAGGAAAGTCCCATGTGTGGAACCCAAAAGTATAGGTCGGGGTTTTCCTGTTCAGATTTCAAAGAGGCAAGTGATTGGCACCATGGTCGTATGGCTGAATACCAAACAGTTTAGCGTCTAGAGTCCCGAGATGTTGGTTTGATATGTTTTGATCAAGATCCCAACTGAGACAATGCTGATCCATGTTGGGGACGTTCACCCCCATCCCTCCTGCGCGCAGGACAAGTTTCACTTGTCAGCGGCACGGCGTTTGTTGGGAAAAATTTACCAGTTCCTTGAGCAACATTTTAAGTCAAATCTCCGGCGGCAAATTTGCAAATTTTCCCCCCGACCATGGGTGTGTCCGAAGATGGTTAAACACCAGTGGACACAATGGGTACCTGATGTTCAACAAACCCACAAAATCCCTTGACTTGTTGGGAAAAATTGGCTAGAAACAAATAGATACTATTGTACCCCATTCTGATCCAAATCCAGGTATAGGTATCAGTATCTCCATGTTTCAGCCCCTTGGGGTCACGGATGGAGTTGTCATGTTGCGGTTTTCACGATTTTTGCCTATTGTATACCTGTATGTTCCTTTGATGACTAGAATTGGTGTTTAAATTTTAAAATTCTTTCAATTCTGTAGTTTGTTGGTTGGACAACCCTAAAGTTGGCCTATCTCATATGGAATCAACTCCAGAATTCTGAACCCTGACTCAGCGCGAAATTCAGGAAGTGTTGCGCACGAACAGTTGAGATCCAACGAAGTGCTCGTGAAAGCAATGAAAATGTGGCATGATTGCAGTGGCCAAAACTGCCCATAGAATCCATGGCATGACGCTGGTGTATAGCTACAACCAACTATATACTTACATTGAGGTTGGGTGTGAGCGCAATCTAACAGATGTGGATGAGTTGGCTTAGGTCCTTAGGGTAGAAATTTGATGTTCCAAGGCCACTCATGTAAGAAAATGCACAACATTTTCCAAGGAGTGTACACTTTCTGGCTGGTGCAGAAGGTTTCAGGCCTAGAAATGGTTGCATCGCTTTGCTGAACATCAACGCTCGAACTACATTTGAACAGTGTTCAAATCCCCTGTTGGTTGATGATTATAGGGTATTTTACTAACCAATATATCGAGGATTTTCACAATCCATTTTATAGGGTAATCCCTTTCAAGCAGCCAGTATATACAGGAACAACACAGGATTTTTTTAAAAAAATATGTATATAATACGTATAGATAAGTTGTAGTCCAAAGATGGGGTATATACCGAAGTTATGGCATTCTCATGGAGAACCGGTAATGATTCACCATGGGAGCTTTGGGGTTCCCTACTTTTGGACAGACCCTTTTTTTGCAAAGATAGATATGGTTCCCATCAGACAATCAACCATGTTTAGATTGGTTCTCAATGGAATCCGCGGATGTTCCACGCTGTTCTATCCTTTTGGGGGTTGTTCCAACTAGTTCCAACGAGGAATTGGAGGCCATGGAGCAGTGCATTGGCAGCTTGAGTTGCTCAGCGATAAACCATCACCATCTCGGTGATCCCCTCCAACTAAATCCAACTACAGTTTTTTGAACGGTTTAAGACAACAACCAAGCACATCAATTCAGGGCGAATCTGAACTAGCTATATTTGGAAGGTCTGTATTGTTTTCCTGTACACAATCATTAACCGTAGAGTATTGCTGTTTCAATGTACCACTTTTGTTTTATTCCATCCTGTTTGAAATGATCCGACTTGACTACTATTTCTGTCCAAAAAGTTGTGGCGTGAGAACTGATTATAAGCTACCATATTGCCAGAAATTTAGGGCATAATTTCCTCAAAAATTACAAACAGATGGTATCCACATCCCGAACGTGGATGCTACTAAACTGACTAATCTCCATGGGTTTGCGCAAATTCAAACAGAATTTTGTTACCTTGGATGTTTGGATGTTTCCAGATCCCCATCCCCGAGAACCCAATTCTCGCTAGGTCAAGTGCTGGATGCCTCCTGCGATTTTCCATCTACAGAGCCAGAGCTGGCGCCTACAGCACCAGAACCTCCAACTCAGCCTCTAGAAAGACGAGGCGAAGTTCCAGTGTCACCCCCTGCCGTTGCACTGGCCAAATTTCTACAGGATGGGGACGACCGGTTGGCGTGTCCGACCGCCCTCCCCGCCCCGGCTCCAAGGAATCCAAGGAGCCAGCCGCCGATCACGCCGGTCACGCCCTCGCATCCGCCCACATGGAGTCCGACGGTGGAGATGGGGATTCCACCACCACCTGCCATCCCACCGCCTCAACCGCAAGATCTGGACCTGACCGAACGCCTGTCGGGATTTCGCACCGGCCCCGATGCTTTTGAGACACCAAATAGGGCAACCCCAGCAGCTTCCAGTGTGGCGGCGCAGCTGTTTTCCATGCCTGCAGTGGTGCCGGATCATACCAAGATGTTCGATGAGTTGGGTGTTTTGGCTACGGGGATGGGCAGGGCCTGGATGGACCAAAGGTGTGCCTATCTGTGTGCCCTCCAAATTGTTGACAATTCATTGGTAAAGTTCGCAGAATCATCAACTACCGATAGCCACCCACTTGCCAATCCTTGACTCTAAAAATTGGATGAGTAGAAAAACTGCAGGAACCTTCCATACCTGGGGGTAAGACCATGGTTTCCTGTAGATTTTCTTTTAAACCAACTCATTGAGAATCATATGTGGCAATTGAATCGCCATTAAATTCCTATTGTTGATGCGTAAATCCCATTCAAATCCCATAAAAAAAACACAAAAACCCATTAAAAACCCACTAAAATCCCATTAAAAATCCCATTAAAATCCCATTGAAATATATCAAAATCCCATCAAAATCCCATGAATTCCTGGTAAATCGCATGAAGTCTCCATTTTGGGTTCATAGCTGTGATGATTTTTTTTCGCTTGGATCCAAGGATGGAACCCATGGCCACAAACACCCGACGCCGCGGCTTGCGCGGCGGCGCCAGCCGTGGCGACGAAGGAGTGGTGCCCGGTGGTGCCCCAGTTCGGAATCCATCAGTTGGTTTATTAATGTTTATAACATGTTTATAACATTTTATAACTATAGGATACTATACTATTACGTAGCTTAACTATGGTTTTTGCTAGATATATATATATATATACCTATAGTTAAACCTAGTTTTAAAGGGTGTTATAGTTTTATAAACCAAGAAACGTCACTAACTACAGTTGTAGCATATTATAACATATTATAAATTGTAGCTATTGGAGTGATGTAGTTCACGGGGGGCACCACCTTTTATGAGTTTGGGGTAATTCTTGACTATTCTTGACGCAGCAAAGCAGAATCTGAAAGGTCTTGTTACTGTTTGGCAGAAACCCAGTATTTTTATGTTCACGCTTCATGAATAGTGGAGCTTGAATCTAATTCACCAACGTTGCATTTCCATGAATGCCAGCTCAACGTTGAATCTAATTCACCAACATTTGCCAGCTCAACGAATTTATGCAAAACGGTCGTTCTGTTTCAATCGTTAAGCCTATGATTTGGGACAGACTCTGGTACATCGAACCCGGAACGGCTCAAGCATGTTATGCTTGATCATTTGCTACCTATAATGCCTATATAATCACTGATTGGTGATTTGGAACGTGGCTTTTATGTTTCCATATATTGGGAATGTCATCATCCCAACTGATGAACTCATATTTTTCAGAGGGGTAGGTATACCACCAGCCAGATCATGTTTTTTTGTTACCAAAACGTCAGCCCAGGATTGATGAACTCCGGTTGATTAAGCATCAGGCTTCATCAGCGATGAATTGCTACGCAGCAACTGACAGTAACATGAAAGCCTCTCTCCACACAGAAGGGCAGCAAATTACCCATACAAATAATATAAACACATATTAAAAAACAACGGTTTCTAATGGTTTCTATGAAATTGAGCTATTCTGTTGTATCTTTGGTGACAGGCGTTTAGCCGTTTAGCCCGTAACCATGGTCCAATGTGAACGATGCGACACATGCGAAGGAACAGGCGGCAAGTGCAGCTGCCGGCGAGGCGACCCAGGCGACTGTGGCCTGGCCTACTTGGGATGAGTTGTGGCCTGGTGAATGGAGGAATGGATTGACTAATCAATAGGTACACATCATTAATATACATTAATATTTATATATATATATTATAATTTATTAACATTAATATACATTAATACATTTATGTGAATACTAATCATTAGTATACTAATTGTTGTATAATGGATGTTCAATAATACGAACATCCATGGCTGCCATCGCTATAATGTGTACTATCTAGTAATATCAAGCATGTCGTTGTTAATGCATGTTCATGGATGGTATCTAAAAATATCTAAGATCAGATGCAACGCGAATGTTCTGAAACTAATGTACTGTATTTTTTTTTCGGTTCCACGTTTCGGTGGGTCAAATACAGTATCATTATTATCACATATATATATATATTTACCTATCTACATATAGTAATCATCATAACAATAATAGCAACATTATAACAATAATAATCATCAGCACCATCACGTGCCTCTTTAGTTGTTGAAGTTGTTCTTTGAAGGGTTGAATAAAGTCGAATGTTCTAAAGTTGTAAAGCTTGTGCCACCGTGCGACTGGCAAGCCATGAATATGCAATGACACCTCGTTGCTGGTTAGGTTGCTGGTTTCAATTCTTTATTTCCCACAAACAAATCCCACATATTTAGGATATGTTAAAATGATCCCCACTAAGACTACAGATTTGTTGCCGGCAATTGACACTGATTGAATTCTATTCTGACCTTCTCCCTGAGGAGCGTCGATGGCCGGCGACCGTGACTTGGACAGTTTTGGCGATCGTTTTTTGTCATCGCCAGGTATTTGGTTGCCAAATGTTGCCAAGGAATCTAGGGCATCTAGGGGTAGTGGGTTGGTTCATGTTGGTTCTGACAGCTACGAAGAAGCTTGAAGCTTCAGCTGACCTTCAACAGTTTAGTTTGCCCAAATGTTCAGGACATCTGTTGGGGGTGTAGATATCCTCAGGATTCCTTTACGGGGCCCAACTGGGCCCAGTTCAGAAATCAGTTGCTTCACCTGAGAGGATGCGCCTGAAAATCTTCGATCCAGGATCCACATGGATTCACCCAACCTTCAGTTCAAACATGCTGAAACCATAGCCTGGATATGCCTGGATCCTGTCTCCTGGAGCCCTGCTCACAGTTGCCCTGCAGCGGATTGTTATATATTTTTATGGGTTTCGTCAACGTTTCATCCAATGAGAATGATATTTTTGAGGCGTTCTTTTGTGGAAAGTTTCCAGGCTTTCCAGGCTTTCCAGGCGTTCTTTTGGATGGTTTCACCAGTGAATTCCTTCTCTGACGCCCCAGGTAACTGTTGACACATCGGCACCGCTGCTGGGCCGGTGTGCAGTAGTGTACCCCCCAATGATTTCAATGGCAGCTGAACATTGTGGAAAACTGGTTGGAAAAATGAATGAAGATTATGATTGGATCAAGCTGTGGATAGTTAGAATATGTTAGAATGGCTTATGTTTGAGTCGTTATATAGATTTTGGAGCACTGGTGAAATCTCAAGACTTGGGTGTCGAGTACGTTTTGGATTTCACGAGAAGCAACCGGGATGTGGCTGACATCGCTTGACGCCGCGTCTCTTTTTTCTTTCTTTCAAGAAAATCTCAAGGGTTGTTTCCAGACAAGGCGAAATGTGGCATGTAGGATCTACCAGGTAGGACTTTGAATCAACAATTTATGAGAAGCTGCCCATACCCAAAAAAAACAAAGTCAAGTGGGGATAATTTGAGGTAGGGTTGAACATAAATTACCAACTTGAAAGCGGTGTGACTCTCCCTACCTCTGTCAGTTTTTGGAGATGCTCGGGCCAGCAATTCTTTCATGGGTGAACAAGAAGAGCAGGTGCCCCAACTCGTTGTGCAACAAACCTCCAAAACCAACAAATCGCTGGATGATATATCTACAAATATTTGATAGGTATAAGAAGCACAACACTTGTATAAGATACATCATTGATGATAGGTATACACTCCGAGACTACATCGTGATTCAGGGTGTATCAGCCGTTCAAAAAGGCCATTCTCGGAGCAGCCAAGGCCCAGTCTTAGTCGAAGCGCGACAGCGCCGGTGGCTAAGGTGGCCATGGGGGTACCCAATAGATGGATGGATGACTGGGGGTCATGACCCACTGGAACCCCCCCATATGTTGAGTGATTTCATCTCTTGTCATGGGATGATCTTTGGCCGCCAGGCCTTGGCTGTTTTAATCTATTGCATATGGATGGTCAAAGTTTTTACATCAACCTTGCTTGTTTTGACAGAAATTCTGGCTGCGGTGGGTAGTTGACTCATCACCATTTCCGCCAGTCAACAAAAGTCTCACTCCAAGCTGACCTATGTGTCTTACGGTCAACCCCCAAAAATCTATGGTTTAGTACTTGTAAACACAACGCAGTTATGCACAGGCACCGTCGTTACGCGAAACAATTAAGATGGATATTATCCATGTAGATTCACAGTCGCTGTAACCATTACTGTAAATGATGGATCAGCCAGATTGTACTGCGGGCAATTGATAGCGCCAGAGGCGTCAAGTACTAGTTACTAAAAGTTACCCATACGCAGTGAATTTCATTGTAATGTTCAACTAAACAATTATGCATAATTATAGTACCATTGCAAATGAGGATCAAACATTGGTCGTTCACAATCTCTGTTTGTCGTCCTCACCAGCAGTTTAAGTTACAAAATTAAGTAAACTATATCTTAAAATGGCGAACTAAATCCAACTCAACAATCTAATCTACTATATAATTTATATAAGCAATATATTCGATGTATTTCGATGTTATGGTTGCTAGTATACGTCGATGAGTAACCTGATCTAGTCACATGTTTCGACACTAGATCATCAACAGTCTAAGGTCGATAATCCCATCACCCGAATATTCAACACCCAATCAATCGTTCCAATGGAATGTGAAAATTCCCTACTAAACCATAGTTATAAGATGTTATAATATGTTATAAGTTAACTACTAAATTCATCAGTTCCCATATTAAACCTATATCCCATAGGATCCATGTATGCAATATATGGTAACAGTTACCATCAATATACCGCCCAAATGTTAGCATATATACCATACACGGATCCTATGGGTATCAACCTATAAACATAGGTTAATCAGTTCCTATTAAAACAGAAAACGATGAATTTCCCATGGACCTCCAGGCAAGCCGCGCCACCATGAAGGAAGTCGTGTCCAGAGGAGCGGGCAACGCCAGCAACGCCGTCAACGCCAAGTGCCTGGGTGTCATGGTAAAGATGATTTATATTTAGATTTAGATATACCTACATATTTTTTTAAAAAAATATCATAGTCTATTATATTTGAATCTATTTAATATTTATATAGCCTCATGATATTTATACGTATGATAGACTTCCAACAGATATTTGCCGATTAAAACCATTCAGTATAGTGGACTCACAAAGAAACGGATCCAGCCGTAGCTTCTCGGAAGACGGAAGATATTCGGGCTATGATTTGGAGTAAGTAGCTTCGAGAGGGAAGTATTTGGATCCATTCCCTTTGGCAATAACACATGGGGGTTTCCTGGAATGGGGGTACCCCAAAATGGATGGTTCATAAGGGAAAATTCTACTAAAATGGATGATTTGGTGGTACCATAATACTATACATATATATATATTATGTACTTATATATATATATATATATTTGGGTAAATTATAACGACCTCACTGTTCTCCCTCACTGGGAATCATGGTTAGTAAGAGAAATCATCCCCAGATGGCCTTAATTCAGGTTTTTGAAATATGATAATTTACCCAGATAAATAGTATAAGCATTGGAAAATAAGTGGTTCTGTGAATGGGAATAGCAAGAATTTTGATGGCCTCCCCCTCCGACTCCAAATGTTGCCTTTTTTAACGGGAAGATGATGATAAGCAAATGTGCATAGAATGGGTATACCTGATTTTTCGACAAACCCAAATTGTTCACATTGCCCAACATCGGAGACTGTGAGCTTATTGAACTTTCGCAATACTTGGAGGGATTATGAGCCTATGAGATGAAGCCAACGGGGTGTAAGCTTATGATGGTGTATTCCAGAGTGTCTACCCCATTCCCCGACAAACCCACAGTGAAAGTAAGGGACGAGCGGTAGATTTTGGGATCCAAAGTAAGAATATAGGGTGAATATGGGTGGACATAGTTACCTAAATAACCATTAAACAACCATTTAATTTAGTATGGGAATGTTGGGATGCCCACTTTTTTTTTGGCTCTTGGGTTCTTGGGTGCTTGAAGTTGGATGTAGCCTGACGTAGCGAAATCATAGAACATTTCGTTGACTCTGCATGTAGATGCTTTGTGTGAGTGCAGCTTGGAATGTCATTTTAACATATTTTAACAATTCTAAGGGTAGACCTTTCCGGCACACCCCAGCACACAGAACCTTTATTTCGGTTAGTCAATCAAGTACCATGATTATTTATGTGTATGATATTTACATATATTTACTATTGACCCAACATGCTGTATGAACGTGCAACCTTTTTGTAGATTCTGATAAAACGGTTACAGTACCATGGTGTTTTTTGGTATATGGGGATGGGTCAAAACCCTATCCCCCTGTAGTTCACATCAAAATAGCTGGGTTAAAATGGATGTGAATAACCCACTATAGTAATGTATCTATAGGTATTGACCCATACCCATACCCATGTGTTTTTTGGTATATTACCCATAGGATCCATGTATGGTATATATGCTAACAGGACTGGGGTATATTGATGGGATCCATGTTACCATATATGGCAGCACCATGGATCAGTCATGGGTTATGAATGGAGGCCTATTTTTTTTTGGATTTTTTTTCTTTTACGTTTTTGGATTTTTTTTTTGGGTTTCTTGTTTTATCTTGCTTTCTCCTTTTTTTTTTTGCGTTTTTGCTTTTGTGCTTTTTTGTTTGTTTTTTTTGTTTTTTTTTGCTTGTTTGCTTTTTTTGCTTTTTTGCATGTTTGCTTTTTTGCTTGTTTGCTTTTGTGCTTTTTTGCTTTTTGCTTTTTTTTGATTTTTTGCGTTTTTGCTTTTTTGCTTTTTTGCTTGTTTGCTTTTTGTTTTTTTGCTTTTTGTTATTTTTGCATTTTTTGCTTTTTTGCTTTTTGCTTGTTTGCTTTTGGCTTTTGGCTTGCTTTCCATGGCTTTTGGTGGTATTTTTAGTATGTCAAAATTGCACATTTTTCAATACACTAGTTTGAATCGACTATATTCATATATATATATTTATGTTTAAATTAAAATCATAATATATATATATATGTGTATATATTATATGTATATATATATATGTATATATATATATGCATTTATATACACACTTGTATATTTATATCTAGATATATTTATATTATTTATATTTTCTACTTATATATATATATATTATATATATTTACATATTATTACTATTTATGTTCAAATTCAAATATATATATATTTACATATATATATATATTTACATATATATATATATTTACATATATATATATATTTACATATATATACATATATATATATTTACCTATATATATATTTACATATATATTTATATATATATTTATATATATATATACATATATATATGTAAATATATTTATATATTTATATTTATGCATGTATATATACACTTAAATATATATTATATTGATATATTTAGATTTACATATTCATATTGATATTTTTTATATTTATATTTATATATTTATTTTTATATATTTATATTTACATATAAATATATATTTATGTACCTATATATATATACATTCATATGTATATACATATAAATCATATAAATGTATATATATATAAAGAAGTATGTATCTATAAGTATATGCACTGTATTCCACATGTTTCCAGGGTGCATGTCGTGTAGTCTATACACCTTGAGTATCACATTCAACCCAGCACCTTGCATGTAAAATAGGTGTTTCCAATCTGCTTTGGCGGGGAGGCGCTGCGCCCTCCCCCCAATCCCCCCCCTCCCGCTTTTTTTAATTATTTAAATTCAAACTTGCACACTTTTCAATACACTTGTTTGATTCGACTATATTAATATTTTGTTAGAAATTATATATATATATATCTAGACATATATATATATATAGACACACGTATACATATATATATGTATATGTATATGTATATATTTGCATTTATATATACACTTATATTTATATATATTAATGTACTTATATAAATGTATATATATATATACATACATATTAATATGTATATACATATCACTGTATATATATATTTATAATTATATAACTATAAGTATATATATATATTATAAATACACATACATATTTACTTATAGATATACAGACGTATACATATATATATATATATGACATATTTGTGGTTGTTTTTATACACAACTTGCATCCCAACATAAACAACAAATAATCATGTAATTATACCTAATTACATGTTGTATCCCTAAACCCTAAACCACACCCTGCATATACATACATACATACATACATATCTATATATATATATATATAGATTGATTGATTGAAGAAAACCAAAGAAACCGTGCAGAAAACGATGGAAAATTGAAGAAAACCATGGAACAATTGAAGAACACTATGGAAAAATTGAAGAAAACCATGGAAAACTTGCAGAAAACCATTGGAAAACCATGGAAAATTGAAGAAAACCCGGGAAAAATTGAAGAAACCAATGGAAAAATTGAAGAACACCATGGAAAACTTGCAGAAAACAATGGAAAATTGAAGAAAACCATGGAAAATTGAAGAAAACCATGGAACAATTGAGGAAAACTATGGAAACATTGAAGAAAACCATGGAAAAATTGAAGAAAACCATGGAAAAATTGAAGAGGCACGAACCCCAAAAAAAATTCCAAAACTGTAAAAAAAAAATACCAAAAACAATTCTGCACCCTAACCGTCACTGTGATACCAATCCACTTGATCTACGGCGTTACGACATAGCTGGTGGATGTCTTGCGACAGATGATACACCCTCTGGGTATTTAACGTAGCTCTGGAGAATCACCATGTTTAATATAGGTAAATCATCAAACAAAATCTATAAATGGGAAAAAATCCATAGCTATTTTGAAATAACCAGAGGTAATTACAATGTTTTTTTTACAGTATATAGGTTCTATATTATAAATTATATATACTATATCGGGATATAATAAGAAATCATATGTATGTATATATATATATATATTATACATGACTCACACACATCTCAAAATCTCCAGAAGCAAAGATGAGCCAGGTAAGGCAAGACTGATATGACAAGAAAAACATCATAGAGGCGTTTCAGCAGCCATCATGAAGGAACAAGGGATCCAGCGACAATTAGATTCACAACATTCAAAATTCCAAGTAATTCCAAGTGATGAGTGAGGAACACCTTAAACAAAAACCAGCACATCACATCATTCAAACAGCTTTTCCCCATCATTACCCTCTGGTGAACTAACATAGCAATGGAAAATCACCATTTTTAATGGGAAAATCCACTATTTCTATGGCCATTTTCAATTGCTATGTTAGTTCACCAGAGGGTAACAGGTTTGTTTTCCACCTCGATGACACCGAGCCCGAAGCCCAAAACTGTCCGTCGTCCAGGTTGGCCCCGCGTCCCAAGCCGAAACCCTGCGCGGCGCCGTGCGTGGCGCCGGTGCAGCGAGCGGGTCTGCAGGTGGGGAGCGACTCGAATCAGACCTGGAATAGCTAGGAAAATTGGGGATGTCAATGGGAATTTCATCATGAACAGATAAATTGCAGGGTTTTTTGTGAATTTACTGGAGGATAATTGGGATTGAAGCATATTGAAGCATCAACTTTAGGGATTTTTCTTGGAATTTCATGGGATTTCATTGGGATTCAATCTGGAAAATTCCAATTTTTAGTGGCTAAATCATCTATGCACCAGGTCGGATTTGTGGTGCAACAACTGGGGTAATATCAATGATACTCTTTGGTAATTTATATAACAATTTGCTATGATACACCATAGACCATTTAGTTTGATGATTTACCTATTAAAGATCGTGATTTTCCACAACTATGTTTATATTACTGGAATTTACTGGAGGGTACCCCCATATATTTGTTCAACTGGGAAGATAACCAATAAATAGAGTCTACTGTCTACTTCTATACAAATTGTATTACCCATCAAACATGCGGTTTATACATGACAAACACATTATTTTTGGGATGATATACTATTATATAACTATATACTATATTGGACCAGATAATTGACCTTTTTTGTTACAATCGTTTTGAGGGTGGTACATGTCCATCCATTTCCATGTCCATCCATATCCCAATAAATTATCCTATATATCCTAATAAATTCTCCAATAATATATCCCAATTATAATCCATGTCCATCCACTTCCGAGTTTTTTTTTTTTTTTAAACGTTAATATGTTAACGAACATCCACGGCTTTACACATCGTCAGTTCACCACATCGGTCCGCGGAGGCAGAAGTCACGGGTGTTTTGGTGAAGCCTTTGCCCAGCGCTCTGTCGCAGTCGCAGCTGCTGCGCGCCCTGGGGGAGGATGGCTTCGATGGACAGATCGCAGCTTGGCATCGTCGAGGATCGTCAAGGCCTAGCGGGTTTAAAGGATATGTCTTCATATATTAACCATGATTATATGATGATATTATATGACTATTATATGATATTATGGTATATTATAACATATCTGAAGATGTTACAATGTTACAATCTGAGGATGATGTTGATGATATTGATGATATTAAACATATTGTAACCATCAATATCATCTTCAGATATGTGGAACCCCTATTCTGAAGTTCGTGTTCCTCTTGTCATTCTGATCTTTTGCGACACGCACAGTTGTGCTTTAGGATATGGAGGTTTCGTGATAAGTGTGTGTCGTGGCATACCCAAGACCCTCCAATGATACATTTATTTGTGCATATTATTGATTTTATTTTGCTCGTGCTGTGGATTTTCGCTCGTTTGCAAAAAACTGCTCCTTTGCAGAAAAAATGCTCGAGGGGTTTCATTCCTTTCCTATTGTCAGTTGGATTTGTTACGGTTTTTGAATTTGCGGGTTTTTGCTCTTTTATGCGGATATGTGCGGCTTTTTTGTGTAAATTTTCGCTCGAACTAATGTCGCATCAAAGCGAACAAATCATGTTTTCAGTCGAGCTGGGGTAGCCAAGAGAAAATAGGTCGAACTCAGGGAAATTGCTCGGATCAGAAATTTGCGCTACGAACTGGAAAAAGTGTATCGAGTTGTCGATTTCTGTATCAAATGACCATAGGGGCAAAAAAAAAGTGCTACGTTGGAAGGTCCTGGACATGTCATGGCATACATGTCAGACTTGATGTTTGAAGAGATATTGACATGAAACTTGCCGCAGCAAATGTTGGAATAAGTGCCAGAATATATGTTTGAATGCATGTCAGGATATTGTTGTCACACACAAATTGCCAGGGCAAGTGTGAGAATATATATCATATGAACTTTGCCAGATCACCTGTCAAACAACATGTCAGATGTGTTGTGTGAGATTTGCCAGATCAAATGTAAGACCATCATATGTTTGAGCTGCTGTCAAAAACTATGTGAGCATATTTGCCCAATAAAAGTTAGGATATCATGGGATACGTGTTATATGTTGGTCTGTTGGTCATGTGTATATTTCGGCCTTGATCAGACGAAGTGACGATTCTGAACGAATGGCGGAATCCATGGACCCACAGAATTCGAAAATCTCGCTGGGTTTTCCCATGGTGTTTGCTGAGCTGGAGCTGGGGATGGCTGAAGTTGTTTTTCTTTTTTTTTGGGGGGGGGAAATCCTTTATAGCGACTATATAAATCTTTGTAAATGGAAGTTCTAATGGGAAAATCGTCTAGAGACTAGAGTCTATATATAGAAGAGGAATTTCCATTGCTATGTTTGGCTACAGGAAGGTAAGTTTAAACTGTTTTAGTCGCCCAGTAAATCCATACATGTTTTTTTTCCCCACCTGCCAGGTGAGGGTTGTTAGATTTTATGTCAGTTGCCTCCTCCTCCTTCTCCTCCTCCTCCTCCGCCTCCTCCTGCCTCGTCCTCCTCTCCTCCTCCTCCTCGTCCTCCTCGTCGTCCTCGTCGTCCTCGTCGTCCTCGTCGTCCTTGCTCAACTGCGCCCCGCGATCCACAGTGTTCTCTGCCCGGACCTCAACCACGACCATCCACGCCCAGTGTTCCCTGCCGGACCTCAACCACGACCATCCACGCCCAATGTTCCCTGCCGGACCTCAACCACGACCATCCTCGCCCAGTGTTCCCTGCCGGACCTCAACCACGACCATCCACGCCCAGTGTTCCCTGCCGGACCTCAACCGCGAGTATCCACGCCAAGTGTTCCCTGCCGGACCTGTAGGAAGATATGGGACAAAGAATGTGCAGAGTTAGAAAGTTAGAAGAGAATGTCAGAAATATATGTCAGAAGATATGCCAGAAGATATGCCAGATAGAATGCCAGATAGAATGCCAGATAGAATGCCAGAAGATAAGATGCCAGAAGATATGCCAGATATATGCCAGAAGATATGTCAGATAGAATGCCAGAAGAAGATATGTCAGATAGAATGCCAGAAGATATGCCAGAAGAATATATGCCAGATAGAATGCCAGAAGAATGCCAGAAGATATGTCAGATAGAGTGCCAGAAGATATGCCAGATAGAATGCCAGAAGATTTGCCAGATAGAATGCCAGAAGATATGCCAGATCATATGCCAGAAGATATGCCAGATAGAATGTCAAATAGAATGTCAGAAGATATGTCAGATAGAATGCCAGAAGATTTGCCAGTAAGAAAATGTATAAATGTCATGGTGGGGTCACACGAAGTAAAGTATTTTTTTTTCGGTGGTCCTGCGTATACAAGTCTGACCATAAACTACTTTGGTCCGCATCAAAGTTAGCACGTCTCATTGGTGGAGCTGGGTTTTTTATCAACGAATGCCCCTGGAACCTAAGCCGCTGACATATACTGAATATTACCTTCATGATATTTGAGATTTCATGATGTGTGAGCGCGTACCAAGGGCGGCAGCTGTGACAACTTCATTATTTTTCATGATGTGTGAGACGGTTAAGCTTTTCCACGCTGGCTTGATCACTTGGAATGGTTGTTTTGGTTCTTCCATTGCTTGGGTTCGCAAGTCTCTTCAGAAACTTGGGTGGACGGAAAGATCCCCTCATGTTTGGCAATCTAAACATGGTATCATTTCTTTGGATACCCCTGTTGACTGTTTGGGTGAGTCCCTTCACTTCATTAGAAATTCCTGGCGTGAGACGCAGTTCCGTGCCTGGTTGTGCCAAAAACGACGAGAGCCTAGACAGTTCTTGTCTGATTATTCCGTTGAACAGATGGTTTCCTTTTTTGATGAAATTGATTTCCATGCTTTGCGTGTTGGCATTAAAGACAATGCTTGGCAGAGACATGTTGCCTTGGGGGCGACTGTTTCCCCTGCTGCTTTGGCCAAGATGAAACAAGATAATGAGCTGGGTTGCCCTTTTTGCTCTTGCTCTGTTGCTACCTGGGAGCACATGGCTTGGTTTTGTCCTCAATTTGAGAACAGGCCTGTTAAGCCTCAAAACCCCCTCACGGCTAGGTTTGGTTGGCCGACTCTTAATGGTGACACTAGTGTCTTAAAGTATCTTGCTAAAGTTGCTGCTACGGTTGTTGAATGTCGTTATACGGATTCACACGAAGCTGCATAGGAATGTAACCTGTTGTTCCAAGGACCTGGGATTCTAAGGACTCTGAGGTCACTTTTCCAGCTGCTTGCGTACCAAGGGCGGCAGCTGTGACAACTTCATTATTTTTCATGATGTGTGAGTCATCACCTTTGCTGCATCACGGGGGTTTCGAGATGCTGAGGACTACTGCAGTTTGCCAGAGTTTCAGGATAGCCAAGGTCCTCGGCAGGCTGCTGGAAGCACCTGGTAGGGATCATAGATGGGAAGCCATGAAGGCAAATCGATACATGAAGGTAATCATTGTAAACCATGGTAAATCATAATCTTCGGAAGATACAGTAAATGAAAATAAAATATGGTGATGTATGGATTTGGGCCAAACATGATCCAAAAACTCTCTCAAATTTGGGCAAATGAATATGAAACACGTAGTCACATCGTGGTCTATCTAAACTAGAGACCACGCAAGCATAGGAGCATGGCGTTATAGGGTTCCCAACTTGACGTTATAGGGCTCCCAACTGGCCCCTGAATGCGGGAACACAAATCCAAGGTCCCCTCAGCCAAGAATACCAACAGACGTGCACTGGTTAACGGTTCCAAATGTTGATTTTTCCCTTGCACACAGATGAACATTTGATCCCAACTGACATGTTTTTTCTAGGATTTGGTGAACTTGATTAGATGGAAAACTGGTTGGTTCATTGGTTCACTATAGAATCATGTCGTTTGTGACCAGATCAAAGTTGATGTGCATGCCCCCATGTTGGATGCGCCTAGAAAAGGGTTTATGAGAGGACTCAGAAGACACCGTTATTGATTCAATCATAATATATAATAATATATATATATATGGACTATATATATATATATATATATAGAGAGAGATATACACCTTGTTACTCCTTAGATTTCCTTTCTTGCTGAAACCACCAGTTTCCTTAAACATGACTGATCCCGTCTTATTACTTACATCCTGATTTTCTCTTGCTTATACCCTCGTGCTTGGTGCTTAATTCCCACTTCTTGTGGGTTGAATATCCTTTGTTGAGAGTTAAAACTCCTAGCCTATGTTGTTGTACTATGTCATGTTGAATGATTTTGTTGCTGAAACTAAGCTTCATCGTTGCTTAGATATCGGACAAGTTGCCCCCCCCCCAGTTGCAAGTTGGTTTATAAATCCCAGTAACTAATAGTAAGTATAGTCTATAGATAGCTATGTCCCCCCAAATCACCGGCTTTCCTGGGCGACAGGCATGGCTCAACTTTCGCAGGCCCAGCTTTGCACAGGAGCACCTTGGAACGAAGCCCTGAGATAAATATATATATATATATGTATACAAATATCTTTAAGGTTAGTCATGGGGGATCCCCAAGTCACCATTATTGTTTCAATATGTTTAAATTGGATGATTTCGGGGTGCCCCCCCCCGACTTTGGAAACCTGCATATGTTTGCTTCCGAGGTGAGAAAAGATAGCTGGGAATGAGTGAATACAGTTGCAAAAGCTCAGTCGAATGGGGTGTTTGTGGAGAACTTCTTGCGGCTAATTACCAGAGGTTCAAATGTTTGTGAGATTATTGGTGATGCATAAGTTCGCTAAGCCAAGCTGGACGATCGTGAAGAAAACCAGCCAATACTGCCCAGTTCTTTGGCAGAACGATCAAAAATCATTTGTTATCCCTTACCCATAGGATCCATGTATGGTATATATGCGAACATTGGGGGTATATTGATGGTAAATGTTACCATATATAGCATACATGGATCCTATGGGTTACAGATGAGTAGGCCCTCCTCAGAGTATGGGGATTTTCCAGGATTGTTTACCAGATGTTCCTGATCCATGGCAAGACTAAGGCTTTGGCATGCTTGGCACGGACGCAGGCGCTTCAAGCACCAGGACAGAATTGGACTTTTTTTTTCATTCCCCACCTGCCAGGTGAGGGTTGTTAGATTTTATCAGAGCTGTTCTCCTCCTCCTCCTTCTCCGCCTCCGCATCCTCCTCCTCCTCCTCGTCCTCCTCCTCCTCGCAGTCCAGATCCCAGTGGGCACAGCCGGACCTCCACCGCGAGCGCCAGATCCCAGTGGGCACTGCCGGACCTCCACCGCGAGCTCCAGATCCCAGTGGGCACTGCCGGACCTCCACCGCGAGCTCCGCGACTTCCAGATCGCAGTGGGCACTGCCGGACCTCAACCGCGACTTCCAGATTGCAGCGGGCACTGCCGGACCTCAACCGCGACTTCCAGATCGCAACGGCCAGATAGAATGCCAGAAGATATGCCAGATAGAATGCCAGAAGATATGTCAGATAGAATGCCAGAAGATATGCCAGATAGAATGCCAGAAGATTTGCCAGATAGAATGCCAGAAGATATGCCAGAAGATATACCAGAACATATGCCAGAAGATATGCCAGAACATATGCCAGAAGATATGCCAGATAGAATGCCAGATAGAATGCCAGAAGATATGTCAGATAGAATGCCGAAGATTTGCCAGTAAAAAAATGTATAAATGCCATGGTGGGGATCATTCGAAGCGAAAAAAAATACTTTACTTCGTGTGATCCCCACCATGACATTTATACATGTTCTTACTGGCACATCTTCTGGCATTCTATCTGACATATCTTCTGACATTCTATTTGGCATTCTATCTGGCATATCTTCTGGCATATCTTCTGGCATTCTATCTGACATATCTTCTAACATTCTTTTTGGCATTCTATCTGGCATATCTTCTGGCATATCTTCTGGCATTCTATCTGACATATCTTCTGACATTCTATTTGGCATTCTATCTGACATATCTTCTGACATTCTATTTGGCATTCTATCTGGCATATCTTCTGACATTCTATTTGTCATTCTATCTGGCATATCTTCTGGCATATCTTCTGGCATTCTATCTGACATATCTTCTGACATTCTATTTGGCATTCTATCTGACATATCTTCTGACATTCTATTTGGCATTCTATCTGGCATATCTTCTGGCATATGATCTGGCATATCTTCTGGCATATCTTCTGGCATTCTATCTGGCAAATCTTCTGCCATTCTATCTGGCATATCTTCTGGCACTCTATCTGACATATCTTCTGGCATTCAATCTGGCATTCTATCTGGCATATCTTCTGGCATATATTCTGACATATCTTCTGGCATTCTATCTGGCATTCTATTTGGCATTCTATCTGTCATATCTTCTGGCATATCTTCTGACATTCTTTCTGACATTCTTTCTAACTTTCTTCTGCACATTCTTTGTCCCATATCTTCCTACATGAGGTCCGGCAGGGAACACTTGGCGTGGATCCTCGCGGTTGAGGTCCGGCAGGGAACACTGGGCGTGGATGGTCGTGGTTGAGGTCCGGCAGGGAACACTGGGCGTGGCTGGTCGTGGTTGAGGTCCGGCAGGGAACACTGGGCGTGGATGGTCGTGGTTGAGGTCCGGCAGAGAACACTGTGGATTGCGGGTCGCAGTTGGACGAGGACGACGAGGACGACGAGGACGACAAGGACGACAAGGATGACAAGGAGAACGAGGAGGACGAGGAGGAGAGGAGGAGGAGGAGGACGAGGCAGGAGTCAGGAGGAGGCAGGAGGAGGCAACTGACATAAAATCTAACAACCCTCACCTGGCAGGTGGGGAATTACAGAATGCCACGGCTATGGGAAGCTAAATAGCTTGTATAGTTGGATGTGAATCCGTGCAAAAATGGTGTCATGGGTTTACCCCGGACCCATACCCCTATTTGCTTGACTACAAACATGAATGATACAGTAGCAGCTGTGCTTCTTTAGCAACCTCGATTGCACCAGGAAGTGGCACTGCAGGCAGGGCAATCTGTATAAGGGAACCGGGATGCTGTCATTTTGAAAAGTTTTCCTGAAGCTTTCTGCGGCTTCTAACATGTGCGTATCTCCACTCATTGAACAAAAACAGGAGCCTTCTTCTGTATATAATTCCTTTCCCAAAATCCGATTGTTTGGAACTTTGTCTGAAAAAAAAACACAAATTGAGATAATGTAATTAGGTCCCACTATGGCTTCAGACCAATCCATAGGGAAGTTTGTCCGACCATGGAGTACAGATGATGAGTACGGGATATTCCAATTGCTTAATATGTTTTGGGAATCAGGATGGACGAATCCCTTGCAATATCCCTGCCCCAGCTATGTATAAGTTGATTTATAAAGACATCTAACTATATAATAGATGTATGTCTACCACATATATAATTACATATTTTATACATACATACATACATACATGCATACATACATACATGCATGCATACATACATACATACATACAGATATATACATATATATATACATAAATACATATAGATACATATATATATATATACACACATTGTTATTTTTATTATGTATTGTTATTTACATATATATATATATTCACCGTTAAATATCGTAGTAAAACTGGTGAAGTCAGCAAACTTCAGCTCTCGTTTAGAGGCCCAGCGTTCTCGGGGCACCGAGGTGGTGCAGTCCCCCTACCAGGGCCTGGAAGAGAACCTGAAGCGATGCAAGATGCACGAGGCTGGTGGGATCCGCTGGGGAAATATCAACGATATATCCTATATATATATATATCCTATATATGTGATATAACGGTGGGGAAATATCACATGTATAATATGTATATCAATGGGGAATAACTATGTGATATATACATATATATATAGAATATATATATATGTATATATATATATGTATTCATGTTAGCCAGACTATGTCTACATATTTTCGTTAAAACTGTTGATGATATATATATATACATGTTTTCTTACATATTAGGTGATGCACATGATCTTGCAAGCATTGATTATCTATAATGAGTTACTATATGTCTTAACTTGGCAACACCAATTTTGTACAACTATGGCTACAGATCATCTCCAGATCATCTCCAATGGCTTACCTGGCCAAGCTGGATGCCAGGTATGTGTTTACCTTTGGTTGGGGCCAAATTGTTGTTGTTGTTGTTGGTGGTGGTGGTGGTGGTGGTGGTTGGTTGTTGGTTGCTTGGTTGCTTGGTTGGTTCGTTCGTTCCTTGGTTCGTTTGTTTGTTTGTTCGTTTGTTTGTTTGTTTTGTTGTTGTTGTTGTTGTCGTTGTCGTCGTCGTCGTTGTTGTTATTGTTCTTGTTGTTGTTTTCGCATGAAAATAAACTCATGGATTTCATATTTTTTCTCAACCCCCTGCCAGTAAGATTAAACGTGTTAAGGTACCAGAAGAGTCTGGCCAAACGTACCATAAGATAACACTTTTCATGCATCATGTTTCTTTTTGCCACCAAGAGTTTTCATCGCTAGATCATCAAACCATGAAAATGAAAGTGATTGCATCCAAATTTTCTAGGTTCCAGATGTGCTTAGCCATGACAATTTAGTAGTTCAAGGGACAACCACAATTTTGTTTGGGTCTGGGAATCTAAGTCCCGCAGTATTGTTTGAAGAGAAAGACTAGATTGTTTCTTGTCTATTTTGGGGTTTCAACCAATTTCTATAACTTCAACCAATCCAATATGTAATATAAAATAACCTTAAAAGAATAATCCTAAATTAACCTTCATAAACTAATCCGAAAATCACCATAATCCAATATAATTAATACAATGTCATAATCTGATCAAAAATGTTTCTACTGTGGAAGTTGCGAAATCCACCAGTTGATAGGTGCTAAACAAGCTAAACATCCCAGTTTATCCCATGTTTTTATAGGGTTTCAATCTTCCAAGCTGGGCAGGACGAGATGCCCTTTGTGGCCCTGGATGCCTTGACTGCCGCGCAGCCAGAGCCCGCAGAGCGAGGTCGGCGGCGCTGGGAGGGCTGGGACATTGGTGAACAACGGCTTGGGAAAAGCAACAAACATGGGTTTTACAACAAACATGGGTTTTACTTTTACATGGGTTTAAGGAGTTGAAATTCGTTTAAGATGGTTTTGAATAGCATTTAGATATTTAGGATGATTAGGATGGGTTTGAAATGGTTTTAAGATGGTTTTAAGATGTGAATTGTGTTTTGACACTTTGGAAAAACAAATGGACCAAAGATCTTCAAAATCCGGGAGAAGTCCATCCGCAGGAGCCTCCAGCAGTGCCTCCCGCGTCAAGCCCGACCCCGGCCGATCCGCAGCCAAGCGGGACCGGCGGGACGCCGGGGACGGCGACGGCGATGCTACGGAAGGCGAGAAATCCAGGGACCTTTTGTCTATAGAAGAATTGTGCCAGCAGCCACCAACCAACCAACCAATGAAGCAAAGAAGTAAGCAACGAAGCAAGCAAGCAAGCAACCAACCAGCCAACAGAAACAAGAACAAGAGGGGTTTAACATGGTTTAACCCACCAAAAGAAGGGTTTGATGCTGGGGGGCATGGTTTTATATAGTGTATTTATATATGTTTATAGCCATGAATTCTCAGAACATATAGACTAGCAATAGCCATTCATTTTGATTAAAGTGTGATTTAATGTTGTCCAACGATATGCTATGAATTCTTGAATCACCAAACATGTTAAGCCATTTGGGATTGAAATTGCTAAGTGTGCCCATAAATCACCATGGGTTTCCCTCTATACTACTTCCTTAATTTTGAATTCCCCTCCTATATTGCCTTCAAATTAATAGGGCTTCTGGTGGTCCAATTAATATCAGGGGCCAAGGATTACCCATCAACAGTCAGACAAAATACCCATGAATGATGATGAATGGGGGGGGTTATCCAAACAATGGTTGGTCTCAAACAAACACTATGGAAGTTTCCTAAAATGCGGGTACTGGTACCCCCAAGCCATCAATTTGAATGGGAATTTTCATAATAAAATCAGAAAAGCCATCCATTTTGGGGTACCACCATTTGTGGAAATCACCATATTCACATCAGTTTGGGTCCATTTTGATCTGTGGTTTCTTTGTTTCATGTCCATATATACTTGGGATATCTTGGGATTATGCTATTTGACTTCAATGGGCTATATTGTGTTGGCTGAAACCACCAACCGGTTCTGTTGTAATACTTCTGGAGTGCATAGAGAATCCTCCAATGTCCAAATGTTCGATGACTGTGGTAACATTTTTAAAAGCAATCTCCAGAATGGGAATCCTGTTAAACCTGTAAGGTTGATTTTCCGGCCGGAAGTCGCATTTTTTGGAGGCATGCCATGTGAATCACATTGCGAGGTGTATCGATGCAGGTGATCTTCACGGACTTGCATGACTTGACATAGATGCTAGTGGCCTCCAAAACCTACCGTAATTTGATGGTGACCAATGGTGAAGAAGGGGGAGTATCCCGAAATTAGGTGATTTCAAATTTGTGAATCACCCATGGTACAGGATGATACAGGCATGTTTTATGATGAGGGGAACCAAGAACTTGCGTTGAAATCCGGTGATGGCAAGCATAGCACCATTGTAAATTGTATATGTATAATTATATTTATAATCATATATATATATAGATAGATAGATAGATGGAAGGATAGATGGAAGGATGGATAGATAGATAGATAGATAGGTTGTACAGGATGTTATACAGCTGTATACATGGGTAGTCCCTTTTTGCGTGTGTCAGTGTCTCAATGATGATTGAAATATCTCATGATGCCAGTAGGTGTTTCCGCACTTCTTGCTTGTTCCATGCCATTGCCGTTGCTTCCCTCCCCATGTTTTTTGCCCTGATTATCATGGTTGATGGTGATATCATGTTGGTGATTTATGAAGATTTCCCTCATCTTCCAGTCAGATAAGTAGCCCCAAAAATAACCAGGTAAAGTCACCACGGTTTCCAACTTCTCAGAGGTAACTGGAAGATTAGGCGTTGCTCATCTTCAATCCTCAGGTGTTTGGGAGCGAAAAGAAGGGCCAAGAGTGAAGCAAAAGGAGACTTGGATCCAACGTTTTTTGTGGGTTGATTGATAGTATGTACGTCCTGAAGTATCCTAAAGTAGGTAGAACATGGAATTTTCAATCATATTCCCATGCCCTTCTTGCATGTGAGGATGTTTGGAAATTTCCTCATTCTATCTCCAGTATAGCAGATCGAGATTGGTCAAAGACTAAACCCACAGAACCTCCCAAAGTGGGATCTCAAGAAAAAAAAATAGTAGCACTTACAGGAAGGTGCACCAACAAGAAGCTTGATTTAAACGAACATGAATAGGAATCCCGCAGATTGTGCTTTTCAGGTGTAGGTTTCTGTCAGAACCCCCCCAAAAAAACAATAAACAACCATAGCTAATAGGTGTATATTCTACTGACACCACTGGAAAACAATCATTGGAATGCCTTGCGGATGCCCTCCAGGAGCATGTCAATCCATGTTTATCACAGTTGAGTTGCCTGCATCATGTGTTGGAAGTGGTTCATTCCCAGCTGATTTTACCGAAAAACATGTGGCTACCTGGTCGTAAACTGGATGCACCAGCCCCATTTCGGATTATGTTGGGTGCTTACATCCCATAAATCAGTTCACACATCACACACAGATCTTTGATTTGTTGTTGAAGACACTCGTTTGTGAACGCATTGTGATGTCAATCGAATATTGATGTCATCGAAATTATGGCGGCCTAACAACGACATCAGTATAAATTTAAATAATGCATGAGTTAGCATACGGGGAATCATTCTGAGTTGGGAATTATTGTAGTTTGCCAGGTTGAACTTTGCAGTCAGTGCCTACTGGACTTTCCAACATTAAACCTTTTTGACATGTGTAGAAGACATGTCATTCATCGCAGTATTCGCGAATTCTACCCACTGTGGTGTGCATTCCATGGGCCTTTCAACATGAACCATTTTCGATCCATCAACGAAGAGCCAGGAGAGGATCAAACATGAGCCGGTGACTCCAAAGGACAGATTGGTTTTGGATCGAAAAAACTGGGCACCAGTTGGGACCCACACAATTGAACATGTTTTTAGATGTTTTTAGATAATACACATATGCAATCCATTATGGGGGTGATTTATTTGACCTATGATAAGGCCCTCAGAGACGCGATCGTGGTGGTGTAAGGCTTCTCGTGTGAATCGAATTTAGTCATTTTACGGTGGGGGGTCGATCCCCTCTAGGGGAAACTCTGCTTGTTTTCTTCTCCAATGTTTTTTGAGTTTTGTGTCAGTTCAACGGTAGTCTCTTAATGGAAATTGCTATTGCTACCTGGGAAGGTTTCTGTTTTTGTGGCCGTGACGTTTGGGTTATTGTTTCAAAGTGTTTGTTTGTTGTTCCCAACTGGTGCAGGATTTCGCAACCATCCACAGTATCATTGGGTTTAAAGAAGCACAGACAGCTGGGAGGTGCATGTGGCCATGAAACCACCCATACCCATGGTTTGAAGCCAATATGGATACTGTGCAATATTCTTGGACTGCATAGAAGTTCGATGGTTTTCGTATAATTTGGACATATTTGGGCATGGGTCAAAATTAAATCACCAAAATGGATCCCTTTGTGGGCCCGTTCGTGCACCATGTTGCGTCGCAGAATCATAATATCCGTGGACTATCCTCCTAGATCATCGAAGAACAAGGAAATGCAATATACAACCATCACAAAACCAAATCAAAACACAGATCATCATCTGAACAGAACAAAGGAATTAAACAACAATGGTTAAACATTAAAAAAACACTCACAATCAACCATGAAAAAAATGTCAGACAACAGTGACAGTAATAATCCGGACAGCCTGAATCGATAATCAACTATATTTATATAAATAGACATGCATATATACCATGAAATAGTGAATATTGATATTTGCTACTTAAACGGCGCCGCCCCAAGGATTAACAGCCAAGGGGATTTTTCCATGGGTGGCTCAACCACCAACCAGAAAACTTGTGGGGGAACCCAAGGAGCATCATCTACATATTCATCTATGTTTATTTCTTTAAATAGTATGTGTATACATGATAATAATATTAATAATAACAATGTTAAGAATAACAATAATTATTAGTATAGCCATAATCTACAAGATACAACTGGTCTAAAGTCATAGATATTTCCATTTACATCCATCTACCATCACTAATTTCGATTATTTACTAGGCGCCAAGTCAAAATTATGAACCAATATCAATGGATTGGTTGAAAGGGAAAATCTTGAAACCATGGTTTCCCCCAATAAAGATATAGGGTTTTCCTGCCACCGCGCCAGGATCCCCCCCTTCGCCTGGAGGATCCACCCGACGCGCCGGACGCGCCGGACGCGCCGGACGCGCCGGACGCGCCGGACGCGGCGGACGTGGTGGACATGGCGCAGGCGCCCAAAGGCGAGGCGCAGGCGGGAATCAAAAGGGGATCTATTGGGTCTTTTTGGGTCTCTAGATATATCAAGGTATCACTCGAAGCAAAGGATTTGTTTAATACTAAACCCCGCCCCCCCAAATAATAAACGCTTCAGGTAGTTTTTATTATTAGGGGGTATTTATTATTAGGGTTCCCCCTAATAGTGAATTTAAAACCCTAATACAAAAAACTAGTTTGTTCTATTTCAAAATCGATCAGAATTCCTTCTAAAATATAATTAACATCTTGCCAAAAATTGGATTTCGAAGTTTCCCCCTAATATTAAATCAAAAACCTTAATATAAAATGCATTTTTGTTCGACCTTAAAAGACGGACCCTAATAAAAAAACACCCCGGGCTGACTAGTCTTTATTATTAGGGGTGAAACTCCGAAATGATAGCTTCATGTTTAAATTGTGTTCTAAAGATTTCTAACGGGAATCAATTAAAAATAAAATTGGCCAACCTCAAATTTTCCAAAATTGGAGACGGACCCTAGTTTTTATTATCTGGGGCAGGTTTAGTAGTAGGGGGAAGGGATTACTTTTGTTGGGACCTAAGAAAATCCAAGATGGATCCAACTGAGTATACAGAAACTCCATGGCTGGCTTGTTGAAAGTGCTCACACGAAGGATACCCACCATCTCTGGTCGGTGGTTATACGAGCTATCCAACCTGCGAATCCCTATCAACAAACCACTATGAGTATGACAGCTGGGTATGAATGTAAATGATTCAGCCTATAAAATGGATGGTTTTAAAATTTCTAGATCCAAAACATGTTCTTTTTTTTGTCGCCGTGCTTCTCCAATGAGTGAGCCATCCCTGCATCGAGCCATCCCCATCTGTTGCCAGGCTAGGTCCAAGATGCCGGTGCGGAAAGCGAAGGGAAGCTGTGCCAAGAGCCTTTTCAAAATGGGTTGGCAACCACCCAAAATGGAGCAACATGAGATATCAACCTGCAACAATGCCTTCAAAAATGGGGGATCTTCTAAATGAACATATGAGTTGCCTTCTATTTCCCTGTATGTTCTTAGTCTTGGTCTGTGAAACATCACTTTTGAGTGTTCTAAAGTGGTGAACCACAGCTACTAAGGAAAAACTAAGGAGTCATATGGTAGCTTTCTGGCCAGGGACTTTCTCTTCCACGACCGATGTCACACGTCAGGAAGGATTCGGAGAAGACCGCCGCGTCCCGACGGGTCGAGGAGAACTTCGACCGACTGCTGGCGGAGGAACGCTCCAAGCACCACCCCTGCGATCTGGAGGGAGGCAAGATCCGTTGGGAGCTGGGAGAGCGACCTCTGACCTCAACATGTCTATATAGTACATACATACTACATACATACATACATACATACATACATACATACATACATATATAATATATATATACAATGTTATGATTATATTATGTAATTATGTGTTATTATGTTTCTGATGGTTGCGATGTGTTGGGATTGGGGAGCCCAGAGATTATTTGATGCTTAGGGTTGAGTCGGATGGCCTCTATGATGTATAGAGAGAGGCAGAGGGAGAACAATGGAGAGGGAGGGAAAGGGAGAGGGTGATATTAATTGAGATTGAATGAGATTGAGAGGGGAAGAGATCACTATATACCCTCTGGTAAACTAACATAACTATGGAAAATCACCATTTTTCATGGGAAAACTCACTATAAATGGTCATTTTCAATAGCTATTTTGACATAACCAGAGGGTAGATATACAGGTACTTACATTCGATGGATGAAAACAATGATCCAATAGACAAAGGTTGTGGAACTTGCAGGACAAATACTACCTGGAAATAACATGAAATACCCTCTGGTAAACTAACATAGCTATGGAAAGATCCACCATTTTCAATGGGAAAATCCACTATAAATCACCATTTTCAATAGCTATGTTAAACTACCAGAGGGTAAGGTTCATGATCTCCAGTCTTAATTCTCTATCCAACTCGATCGGCTGACCAACAATTGAAGGTGGATGATGGTTCCAAATCATTGACCCCCGATTTTTTCGTGGACTGACCAAATGTGGTTTGATGAGTACTCTATGTTTGAGCTATTGTCAAGTACAATATGAACATCTGAAAAAGATGAACACATGATAACTACGAGAGAGCCCCAAACGTAGATGTTTTACCTATTGGTAGAAAATCAGAGCTTACATCCCTGTTCTATCTGTGAATATCTGAAAAACTATTGGTGTTCATCCAAGTTCACAGATCCAAATGTAGATAGATTAGATAGGTCCACCACTCGGACGCCCAGCCGGCTCACTCTGAGGCCAGCCGGTGTCAGATCACTGCTGCCTTTGACGCTTAACACGGCAGGGATGGATTTTTTTTTGCCGGCCCCAAATCCAATGGTTTAAGTCATGATCTTCCCGGATAGGCGGCACGTTGCAGGGGTGAGTCGCCATGATAAAAATCATGATAGCTGCAAATGAAGTGTGGAGCATTACTCTGTAATCATGATCATCAAAGATCATCAAACTGCATTTTAGATCATTTTAGATCATGTTTGTATGTTTTGATATTGTTTATAGATGAAGAGCTGCGAGTCTTGGACCTCGAATGATTGCAAAGTAAGAGCATTCACAGGGATGGTATCGTTCCTTTCACAGAGATGCTGCTTTGATAATATGCTGGGCGTGGAATGAGTGAAATCAAATTAGGCGGAAACAGATGCCCAGCACCTCTACACCGATCGATCGCTATCCACTCCTCTACTTGTGCCTTTCGGCCATTGACTTCGTAGGAATTGCACGCAACCTATGGCTTCGTACAGTTGATGATCTTCCCAGCCCGATAATCTTCCCAGATCTTCCCAGCCGCTTCAGGGGACACGGCTCTAACCCAGGTGGAAAAACCGTGGCGAATTTGAAACCCGCACTGGAGCTGAGTGTTTGCAAGGCACATTACCGATCCTTGGCGCACTTCGATGGCCTTGGGAGACCCTATACCAGGTAGTGTCTTGATGGCCACCCCATGTTCACCGGAGCAAGTGAGACACAGCTTAGCCTCAAGTGAGATTCCAATGTTTATATACGTATATATATAATATGTTCAATTATGTTTATACTAGTATTCCTCAAGGATCATAGTGGTCATGACATAAATTATACATGGCCACTGCGCGTCTTGCCCAGGCATGTTCCAATCTGAGGAGAGATTCTTGGTCTCTTGGCGAAGCGGAGGCAGGCGTCGATTTTGCTGAAAATGATTGGTGAAATCCAAAAACATGACCATGACTGAGGAATCTACGTGTTTTTCGTTTAATGGTGCCGTTGGCGCAACTCCAAAAGAGGAATGAATAGGAATATCGATGGTCTTTGTACAGGTCAGACTGGAGCACCGTTTTTCCAAGTCAGACTGGGGTACCCTCTAGTAGTATAACCTGGCAACATTTTTCCTTGATACCCTATGGATCCCTATGGTAATTCAACAGTTTGCTATTGAAAAGGGCCCATTTATAATGCTTATTGATGATTTGTTTTTATTGAATATATGAATATTGTGATTGTCCATAGCTATGCCAAATTACCAGAGGGTAGATGTTTTTTCTGATCAACTGCTGTGTGTCCATTTCGATGTTTCACTTTTGCACTATGTTGTTTACCAAATTCAAAACCGGGATTCTTGGGAGGATCCACATTTATGGTTCAACCTGAGTCATGATGACCCATACCATAGATGGGGTCACATGGTCAAGTATGTCAAACAACAAATAGTCTTGGTCTGTAAATGGAGATGTATAATCATATAAAATATGGTAATCAGTTATTATCATATTGTATAAAACTATATATTATTATTATTATTATTACTATTATTATTAGTAGTATTATTATTATTATAGTATTTTATAATAGTGTATGCAAACCACGATGACAGCGGGTTGTCAGAGATTACAACTCAATATGATACTCACATGTTGACCGAGAAAATGCCCGCTGGAGGGCAGCATCTTAGAGCCAATATGGGGTGTTTGAACATGGGGTGCTGTAAAATCCTCTCATTGTTGCTCCTTTTCCCCCCAAAAAAAATCAGTATCTGATATCTGAGACTAAAAATATGTATCTTATCAGACTTTGAATTTTGCTATTGTTCAATGATTTTCAGAGCCCGTGGTACCATGGTAGCTGTGTCTTCCAGGTGAAGGTGGTAGACCCCCTGCTGAGGCCACTTTTGTTGCTGCCAGGCAAAAGAGTGCCTCGCCCAGCTTCTGAATGCCTGGAATCAGTGGGAAAAGAATGGAACCAGTCCCAACATACTCTCATTTCAGGTGAAACATGGTAACACATATGTAAAGATGAAATTAGGCAATATTAGGCAAACATGATCATTTTTTTCATGATTTTTCCAAGGTATTCAAACATAGGGATTTTTCCAGGGTATTTCCATGACCAACATAATTGATGTTTGATGTTCAATGTTGGACCAACAGAGGCTATGTGATTGATGGTTTCACCATGTTTCACCCAATATTATAATATTGACGATCATGGTATGGTTGGAAAAAATAGAAAAACATGGCGATCAAACATGATCAAACCACCCAGTTGTGATCAAACCATGGCGGTAAAATATTGACATGGCAATGGACATTTTGTTCACTGGATAAATTTAAGTTTCCCTATGATGTTCCGATGATCTGCCCAGATTGTTCCCCTCAAAATGGCTAGGCTGACTTCAGGAATTTCCCATCCTTTTATCGAAGCAGATCAGATTCCCTCCAGTTGTATCCAGCTTATCTACCACTTACGATCTGGTAATGACCAACACATGTTTCACGAAAGTGTCGAAGAGCTGGACACGAGAAACTTGCCGCCCAACTGGCAGCTGGTGCCTAAACCATGAAATTGATCCCCTATGGATTCACCCAAGCCGCTTCTGATTTAGTATTGAACTATCTATCAGATATGAAAGATGGGGGAAGCTTCAAAACTAAATTTTCCCCCTATCCCATAGGATCCATGGTGCTGGTATATATACTAACATAACGGGGGTATATTGATGGGATCCATGGCACACCATATATAGCAGCACCGTTAGGATCCGTCATGGGTATGGCATCCTATGGCATCCGATGGGACCTGAGATCTCGACGTCTGTTGAGGTGATCCAAAGGCTCCGAGCAACCACTTGTTTCATTTGAGTGTGCCTTGGCCGCCAGAAGACGAACATATTTTTTTGGTGGCTTTTTCCCGGAGGATACCCTCTGGTAATTTGTTACGTAGCTATTGAAAATGGCCATTTTTAATGGGTAAATCCACTATTTCTATGGCCATTTTCAATAGCTACGTTAAATTACCAGAGGGTAAATGTTGTTGATGTATATCTCCCATGTCATTTTCTGTAATAGCATTTATGTTCCATTATAATTTTTAGCCATGTTGTTTTGTGAAATTACCGAAGGCTATTAGCCAATTTAGCCATGAAAAGCCGGGAAGCTGGGAGCATCTGAATGCTGATGATTTCTGGAGAGAACCAGAGTTTTCTAACTTTATGGATGATGGTGTTTTTCATGATTTTTGGGGAGATCGGAAAAGGGTGGCTGATAGAATTGTGTTCCAAGTATGAAGTATTGTGAGGGTCTGTCTTGAAAAAAATCATGGGCACACCACTTGCTCGACATCTTAGCATTGACGTACAGCATTACATATGGCCTAGTTGAAGCAGTGGTTGCATCCCACTCGCATCTCTTTAAGCTAAGTTCGCCCAAACATAAACATAAATTGGCTTTGTATACTTACAGTAAACCCATATGATTATTCCATCACAGCTTGGATGCCGATCAGCCGAGGCATATTTGAATCGCGGGGAGGAATCCCCCTTTATCAGCGATCTTTACCTTGGTGGTGGACGCCTGGCTCAGAGCAAGCGTGGCGAGAAAACGGACATGTTATCCACACAGCTTTTTGGGGGCTTACTGATTTCCAGAAGGGGTCACAAATCCTATATAATCATAACACATATATGTATATATGTATTGCCAGCAGACTACATACATATATATATATATGTATGTATGTGTTTGTCCGAAAGTAGGGTACGCCAAAATTTGATGCTTTCTATTGGAGGGCTATTTATTTTTGTTTTTTTTTTTTTCCGCCGCAGGTTTTGTTTTTTTTCTTGGGTTCCTATTTCTATGCTTTCCTGTTTCTCTGATTTCTGCTTTTCTGCTTCTCTGCTTCTCTGCTTACATTGCTTCTTTGCTTTTCCTGCTTCTTTGCTTTTCTGCTTCTCTGCTTTTCTGCTTTTTGCTTTCCCTGCTTCTGCTTTTCCTGCTTCTCTGCTTTTCTGTTTTTTTGCTTTTTGCTTTTCCAGTTTCTTTGCTTTTCTGCTTCTCTGTTTTCCCTGCTTCTCTGCTTTTGTACTCCTGTGCCTTTCTACTTCTACTATTCGACTTTTTCTTTTCTTCAGTCATGTGTTTTTGCTGCTCTACTTGCTGCTCCTTTGCTTCTTTGCTTCCTGTCTTTACTGTCTCTTTGTTTTTCATGTTCGTTTGCTTTATTCTGTTCTGTTTGTATCCTAAATGAAACCCTGGAGAGACCCTAGGTGAAACCCAAAGAAACCCTAAAGAAATCCTGATAAGAAACCCTACATGAAGCCCTAAATGAACCCTAAAGAAACCATAAATAAACCCTAAAGAAACCATAAATTAATTCTAAAGAAACCATAAATGCAACCCTAAAGAAACTTTAAATGACACCCTAAATGACATACCAAAGAAACCCTAAACAACACTCTGAAAAAAAAACTGAACGAAACCTTAACTGACACCTTAGCTGAAAACCCTAAATTGACACCCTAAAGAAACCCTAATTGAAACCCAAACTGAAACCCTAAAGAAACCCTAAATTAAGCCCTAAATAGAACCCTAAATGACACCCTAAATGAAACCCTAAACGAAACCCTAAACGAAACCCTAAAGAAACCCTAAATGAAACCCTAAAGAAGCCCTAAAGAAACCCATTTGAACATTTAGAACTCCTGATAAGAAATCCCGATAAGAGACCCTACATGAAACCGGAAAACGAAAAACTAAATAAAACTCTAAAGAAACCCTAAACCTAAAGAAACCATGAATGAAGCCCTAAATGAAACCGCAAAGAGACCCTAAATGAAACCCTAAATGAAACCCTAAACAAACCCTAAATGAAACCCTAAATAAGACCCCAAATGAAGCCTTAAATAAAACCCTACATGAAACCCTAAATGAAACCTTCAATGACACCCTAAATGAAAGCCTAAAGAACCTTCAAGAGACCCACATGAACGTTTGAAGTACCAAAATGTAGCAAATACCATGCAAATGAAAGGTTGAAATGCCAAAATGTGACAAATACCATGCAAAATGGAAAGCAAACATGGCCAAATGTAGAAAATACATGCAAATATGTACCATGCAAAAATGCAAAGTGACCATACCAAAATGTAGCAAATACCATGCAAAATGACAGGTTCTAGTTCCACACTGTTGCAAATACAAGGTAGGTCCTGATACCAGGAAAGAAAGCCAAAAATCAAATCAAAACCTGAGGCATTTTCCCTCAAAACTGGCCAGAAAATCCTCCCAGGAATTGCTGAGTTAAGTCTTTTAATCAGCGCCTTGGCATGCGGCCGTGGCCTCGAGGGTGGGGAGAAGGGTGGATTTAGCAGCGACCAGGCCGTGGAAAAGGCTGGGTTTATGTTTAATCACTGGATGTTGGAGCATGGGGCAATCATGGCAATCTATGTTTGGAATATGTGAATATGTTCCAATTGTTTAATGACATGTTCATCCAAACAGATGATGGGAGATGGGGTCAGTTTGGATAAGTTTGGACTATGTTTGCCAGTCTGGCTCTTCGTGTACAGATTCAAAGATCACAAAAATCTGGCGGTTTCGTGTACTTACGTGTTTCTACCCCTGACTTTGGGAAGACAACCGATGCTGTCCGATGCTGTTGATTTCTATGACCAGAAAGTTTAGAGCAAAGTTTCGAGCAAAGTCTTCAACAATTGCCATCAAGCCGCAAAGCCGTGAGGATTTTTGAGCGCTAGAGGACATGGCTTGGAGGAGCGTTGGCATGGCCTTACGGCTCCCTTCATGTCGTTTATTCTGCTGCTCAGCAAAGGTTCAAAGTTGGGACGAAAAAGGTGGCAACTTTGGGTAGCAACTCCCGTGGAAACGAAACCTACCACTATTTGCGTGGGGATGCTATATCCCCTATGTTGAGACAAACGCACATGAAGGAACAACAGTTGTGGGTTGACTGACCTCTGTGAGGGTCAAAGATAGATGAGGACATAATAGTTGTACTGTTAGGCAGCTGCAGTCCATGTTCAGCAAGCCCCATACGACCATGGGGCTGGGTAAATTATAACGACCTCACTACGACCTCACTGGAAATCATGGTTAGTAAGGGAAATCATCCCCGAATGGCCTTAATTCAGGTTAGTGAAATATTATAATTTACCCAGATGGGGGTAGCATGTTTTGTTGTTGCATATTTATTGTGGACATACACATGTCAGCAATGTGAAAGCGCCATCAAAAAATCTTCGGAAAAAGGAAAGTGGTGGGCAACTTAAAGTAACCCCTGCAGTGGCTAACCATGGTTTGTCAGTTGGTGCTCCCATCATTTCCCATCGCCCAAGGCTGGACTATGCACCATTTCTGGCCGTGGCTTTTGCGGATGTCTTGGACGTTGACTGCAGCAGGCGGTGGATATCTATTAGTAGTTGGATGACCCGGCATAGCCGGTGGTAACTGCTAGGTTTAACATAGTTTGGTGGTACCCTAACAGTTCACATAGGTGGTTTATACATGTTTATAAATGTTCATCTACTTTTCTCATCTCCATACATCCAAGTTCTAATAGTTTGGATTATATAAAGGTTCATGCTAAATCCTAACATAATCACCGTTCTATAGTTATACATAGTTATATTAATATGGAGTTTCATCATCCCAACAATGTATACCTATCCAGTGGCACTGCACGGAGCTGTTCGGAGCTACTAATACATTTCCCGAAATCCTAGCAGGAACAATGTATATATATATATAGTTCTAATGTTATAATAGTCATCATTGCAGTCATCATACTGTATAGTTGATTGTAGTTCGAACTCCCATTAAATGATGCTTCACTTCGATCCTTTTTAAAAGATTACAGTTGTATCCTAAAAGTATGATCCTTATAAATGATTGTAACAGTTCTAATCGTGAACAAATAGCAATATGTATATTTATGACCCTAACAACATCCACAGAAGATGGTTACTAGATGTTACTAGAAAAGTCATCATAGATTCATAGTATAGTTACTATTGAGTTGTAATAGTTCAAATTCGACGGTTCGATCCCATTGAATCATAAAATCCGTGGAACCAGCATTCAAATCCCATCAAATCACAAAAAAAATCAACATCACCAACAAAATATTTCCCACTCAAATCCCTAAATATCCTATAGCTCTCAGTCATAGTTCTGGATTCCTAACCTTGGCTGCCTTGGCTGCCTTGGATGCCTTGGATGCCTTGGATGCCTTGGATGCCAGGTACCCCTGCATCCTGGACATCCGCTGTCGCGCGCGCAGCGCCATGTGTCGCTGGTCGCCCTCCAAGCGGCTCTCGGGACTCACGGGGGATGCCTTGGATCAGGTGCGGATCTCGCGGAGGGGACGACTGGGGCTTTTTGAACGGTGTCTTGGGATGTTTGGGTGATCACTTGGGGTGATTTTCAGAGGATTTGAGTCGTGATTTTATGATTTTAAGATATATTTTTTTAGGGGAGTTGATGCTACTTTAGGGTGTTTCGGGATGTTCTGGGACTTTACGGTGATTTTGTGGGAGGTAAAAATGGTATTTGATGGTGATGAGATGTGATATGATTGGCTTTTTATCATGATTTGTTTTTGTTTTTCAAGAATTGAATAAACCACTGGTTATAGCCATAGTCAGAGAAGTTTGTTCCTGAGATTTCGGAATATCATAAGTCACAAGAAAATTGGGATCGCCAAAAAAGCGCCCTCACTGGCCATGGAGGGCTTGGTGGGCTTGGAGGTTTCTCATGGTTTCTCCATAGGACCCCATGGTTTTTCGACTGAGGATCCATGGATTGGAAAGCCTGATTTTTCTTCCACATCTCACAGTTCAGGTTCCTATTCCTTTGATGGTTTTTTGCATGTTTTATGTGCGTTTGGAAGAAGTTTCTGGGCTGAAGGTATATAAATACACTGGGTAGAATATGGTACCCTCTGGTAAATTAACATAACTATGGAAAATCACCATGTTTAATGGGAAAATCCACGATAAATGGCCATTTTCAATAGCTATGTTAGTTTACCGGAGGGTAGAATATGGTCAATTACCGGTAATCAACCATGGCAAGCTTGGAAATCCCCGATCCCATGGAGGTTTCCTAAGTCATGGGGGTTTCCTTTCAGAAATCATCCTTAAGATTACAGTAGACCATGTTTTGAAACCATTTGAAACCCATGTAAGTGATTGTAAATTCATACCATGTCATATCTATATCCCCATGAATATACCCCAACTTTTCGGGCTGCCGAGACGGTGGCGGAAGCGGTGAGCGCCAGCCACGATCTGCGCCTGCCGGCCGAGCATATGCCGCTGGATGCGGAGATTGGCAGCTCCAAGCGCAAGAAGAAGAGCCTCGGGTGAGAACGGAGCGGAGGATTTTTGGTGGGAATCATCCCCAGGAACGATGTTGAATCATGGTTAATCAATATATAACCTATTAAAAACGATGGGTTGATGGAGATATATCCCCAGTGTGATGTTTAATCATGGTTAATCAATGTTAATCATATTAAAAACGATGGGTTGATGGAGATATAGTATGATATAGTGGGGATACAATGATAATATGGAATATATATATATATATATTGGTGAATACCCTACATGTTACTACATGGGTTTTTCTGAAAAGTCATGGGCCCAGTGGTCGCCATGGGTTTTCAGCAACACTAAGCCATGGTCACCAGTAGTCACCCATACCTTGGATGATGTGGGGGTGCCCTCATGACTTTGGAAACCTCCAAATATCTCCAAATGCTTGAAGAGTTCTGAAGATAATTCATCCAGATCTGGGTCAACCTTGCTTAGATACTTTAGTGTTTTGTTTCTTTTGCTAAAGTGTACTAACCAACTAACAATCTATTTTTTTATTTTGCAGAGTATCTAATCTAAGTTTGGCAATGATATAGGGATGATGATAGCTGAATCAAGATGGAATGGCCTCTTGTATCAAAATTGTGTGTAGAATACAGTTGTATCGTGTGTTGAGAATATTATGTATTTGTATAGAGTGAGTTGCATGCAATGTATACATACACAGTATGTACACATATTGGTCGGGACTATTGGTGGAAATCTCATTTTTTGTCTTATTGAACAGCAATGCCAACACATGCACACAGACACAAAGATATCAAAAATGAAGGCTCTCAAATTTTGTAACGACACCTTTGCATTTTGATCCCATGAAACTGCCGGTCACCCCTGTGAGTCACGGAAATGCGCGATATGCGACAGGTCTGAGCTTTAGTACATATTTCATGATATTACGAAGGGCGAGTCCCTAATTACCTGACCCAGACCATTTCCTCAGGAAGAAACTTGCGAGAACGACTGCTGCAACGGCCACTCAACCAACGGTCGCACCGGCCACAGTCGCACAGCAGCAGATTTCGGGGGGAAGTATGATCCTGCTTAAAGTTACACATAGCATCACATTATCATATATTATCATCACTTCTCCATCAGTGGGATCTGTTTGAATCTCGCTTTTAGGCCTCCCACGCACCCATAGATTTTGAACACTCATTAGCCATTCATAGAATTTGCTCCTACACTAGCCATGTTTTTTCTTGGGGTACCCAGTTTCTACCCATACTCCAGTTGAAGGTGTCCGAGAGTTCTCCGGTTTTCCTCTGCAACATGGCCACATTTTCCATTGAAACCCAGCCCCAAAGTGGCTCGAGGACAGCCAAGCACAGCCCGCTGCGCCCTTGATTGAATCGAGACTTAGCTTCCGAAGAGGGATTATACATGGTTGTGGGGAGCATTCAAATCCTATATTGAAACTAGTTGAAGGCTTCGGCCATCTTCGGCCCTAAAAAAACAATCCGGAGCAGCTTGGGCATCAGTGACGCATCCACTAAGATTGGCTTTGTCCATCGGTCGTTTAGTGTGACATCACAAGACACAGGAAACGTTCCATTTTGGAGTTTGGAGGGTGAACAAAAGACTGTTCTGAGATGTTCTGAGCGTGAGTTCTTGATCCAATTGCTCCTGACTGCTTCGCAATATGATCTTTCCAGGGAGGAAATGATTGTGCAACTGATACCGTCAAGAGGATGTCACCTGAAATTTCCTGGCCGGGAAGCCCGTTCGGAACGGACGTCGAAGCCACGAAGACTCTGTTCTTTTTGGGGGGTATACAGTATGACCCATCAACAATGGGGGTTTTACATGGTTTAACAAGGTCTATCTTGGGTTGATCATCCTGAATCATTCCCGTGATGGACACATTGTTTGCTACTGGTTCTCTCTCGTCTTCTTGGTCTTTAATCTCTGAGGTTTTGTTGGTCGTCATAGTTTCCAGTCAATCCATGACAACGGGAATTCCATCATAAACATGTTGGTTGAGTGGCAAAAACAATCCATCATAAAACCTTTCTTTTGAGTGGCCAAAAACAGCTATCATCAGCTATCAATCAGCCGGGGGCATTTTTCATTGCCATCAGAGGATATAGAGGTTTCCTGAAATATGACTCCTAGGACCTCTAAATCATTCATTTACAGATGGATTTTCCATGCAAACCAACCAGCCACATTGGGATTTTGGGGCTCCCAAAATGTCCTCGGAAACCTCGCCGAGGACTCATGAAACTCATGAGACCCACGAGTCGGACGACGAAGAGGCTGTTTTTTGGGAAGCAGCATGAACCAACCATGGCGTCCACAATGGACCTATGCATCATCTTGAAGGTTTCTCAGTCCGAAGCAAATTCTGTTCCGGGTATTTCTCGCTCGTTTCTCAGGCACTGAGAATGTAACATATTTACGTAGTATACGTATCGATACGTACACAAAAAACACAATATAAACCATCCAGATGTCAGAATCGTCTGCATTTGGCCATGGCTGATTTCATGATATTTGGAGGCTTCAAGACCCATATATAAGTTTGTTTGAACATAGAAGACCCCCAGGTCCATTATTGATTAATCAACACTATTGCTCTTCAACTGGAGGAAAAGCCCACAGTGAAGGTTGGATGATGACATGATCATGCCATTTTGGTCAAAGCCTCAGAAAAATGGATTTTTTAATCGGTACCACCAAATTGCAATTTTCAGAAGATGATAAACACCAGGATAAACACCAGGATAGACCCTATACGGTGTATACCATGTATACCGTGTATACATTGTGTATACCCCCATGTGGCAATTCTTCATTGGGGCACCTGCAGGCCCCAGCCTTGTGCATGGCACATCACACCTGGCATCTTGTCGGCGAGTCGGGTGCCGCAAGGTTCGGTTCAACGTCAACCATGGATCAATAAACCCATTGGCCGTAAAAAAAATGGGGGTACCCTTTAAGTATCAGATTATCACATAGAAAATTAGATTACTGTTTGGGGGGTGCCCTCCATAATCAATAGACCAGGGTTTATTAATCCGGGGTTGACACAAGTGAATATTTCACCAGCTAAGACAGGTATCTTTTATGAACTAGGAGGGCGCATAATCATTAAGAAACCAAGATGACCGATGAGGATGGATGAAACGACATCTCGGTACTGAGTACCTACCTTGGAGGTAGCATGTTTGTCCAATTTATCCATATGTATCATGTCTAAGATCTATTCCACTATGTACATGTCAGGTCCAAGGCACGCGGCCCGTCCAAAGTTGAGACCATGGAATTTGATTCCTGGTAAGATCTTTGAAGTCCATGCAGAAGGTAGATATGTATATCATATCAGATATAGAATTATATCATAAATATGTATAGTATCCAGTTTAATTTATATTTACGTGTATATGTCAGACATAACGTATTGGATATGGATGGTAATTGACACGATTGCAGCTCAGCTCCTCGATCCCAGGCAGTGGCTGACTTGCTCTGATGTCTTCAAATGGGCCATGGCCAGCAAGAAACAGGCGCCGAAACAGATGCCGAAACAGGTTTCCTTTGAGGATGGGTAAGTTGGTTTACAATATCTATACATATCCACCCTCTGGTAAACTAACATAGCTATTGAAAATGGCCATAGAAGTAGTGGATTTACCCATTAAACATGGTGATTTTCCATAGTTATGTTAGTTTACCAGAGGGTATACATGATAGTTGTGAATTTGTGAATGATAGTGGATATATATATTAAAAAAAAAAAAACATCATTGAACTATATAGATGAGGCTATGACTACAATAACAACGATTTGTTGTGGATATATTATTTGATGGTTGGTTTCCCCCACAGGCACGGGACTACTACCGCCTGTCCACCTGTTCCTGCTGCGAACACGTGGCACCTTGGAGTTTCTTGCAGTCCCTTGGCAGCGATGCCCTTGGAGTTTGGGAGGGAAGCCACTTCGAAGTTGAATTCCCGGTGCATAACACATACAATCGATTATATAACATTATACAACATTATATAACATAATATAACATTATATAACATAATATTACAATCATCAATCCCATATATATATATATATACAATTATTTTCAGAATTATAATTAGATGAATTGAAATTAATTTATCTACATATCATATAGTTTCACTTTGAATCCATGTGTGACCCGTACTTTTTGAGTTAAAAAGGAGCCGTTCCTTCAAACCAGGGACGAAGATCTGCCCGTGGACGACCAGGCGGGAAAATGATCGAAGATCATGCGAAATCACGGGAAAACCATGGGAAAATAACCCAATTTTGGGGCAATTCCGAAGGGTTCTGAAGGCCAAACCCCAGTTGAGAGTACGTTTCTAAAGCCGCTTGGTTCCCTGAGGGTTGTCTTTCAATTTGATGAATCCCATGGTTGTAACTTATACAAGTTATTTGGTCCCTTAGCTGTTTGTGAAATATGCTGCACCATGTCGTAATTCATGATTTTTCTTGGTGGATCTGGGTGATTTCAACATGTCAATGGCCATGGGGTATACCGGTATACCCATAAATGGCCATCTTAAAATGATGATAAACATTGATAAACAATGGCCATTGATAGTTCAACTATGATGATAACAATGGCCATCATGATAGTTGGTATACCCCCATTGATAGTTCATGAAATTGAACAATGACAATCTGACAAACCATTGTCACAAACCATTGATAAACCATATTGATAAACCATCGATCAACCATTGATAAACCATTCACAAACCATTGATAAACCAATCACAAACCATCAATAAACCATTGTCACAAACCATTGATAAACCATATTGATCAACTTTTGGCCAAACTCCGATTTTTTAGACAAAACCGTATGACTTGGATGATCCGCGGGGTCCCGACTGGCGAACTGGCAGGGGAACCCCTTGGAGTCCCTTGGTGTGTTGGAACTTCCAGACCGAGGTGGGACCGGGCGAGCCAAAATTGGAGTTGACCAACCAATCAAACTATGTTGCTATGCGATGATTGGTCAATATCTATATATATTATACACACATATGTACATATATGTACATATATTAAATATATATATATATATATGTGATATAATATAATCTCCAAATAATTACCAAGTTAGTTAAATATGATGTTATCATATCAACAAAAACAATAAATCAATATATGATATAACCAATGAAACTTGGTTGCTTCCGATCCGGAATTGTCATGGTCCATCGTACTTGTGAGGATAACCTGTATGTGAGGTTGTGATAACATGTTCGTGGAAAACATGAAAAAAAAACACAATGCAGTACAGACATGTATAGATGTGCATAGTACAATCACATACTATATACTGTAATTATACACATACAATGAATATATATATATATACAATTATACAATATTATACTTATATATATATATGCTCATATACATACATATATACATAGATAGATAGATCGAATGGATCCTGACCGGGCCAGGAACATGTCATATTGGATTTCTCTACAGGCGCAAGAGTCCGCCTCACCGATGGCTCAGCAGATGCACATCCGTTGATGTTTGGGCCTCACATGTTGTACCAGGTAGCATACTGCCAATTATAAACATACACAATTGTTAGTACTGTTAGTACCAATAAATATGCAGGATAATTCACAATCCAATTATTACATATTATTACCCTCTGGTAATTTAACATAGCTATTGAAATGGTGATTTATAGTGGATTTTCCCATTAAAAATGATGATTTTCCATACGTAGCTATGTTAGTTTACCAGAGGGTACTATATACATTGTGAAATACAACTTATCTTCCCATTGTGTTTCATCATTCGCAGCCGGGTAGCTGCCATGCCGCGCCATGCGGAGCCGTTGTATGTTCCACTGGAAGGAGGCGGGAGCATGTCCTGGCGTCTAGGGTTAAGATATGTTAAGATCATCTGATACAAAAAGACCGTGGAAAAGCCATGGATTTTTCCCAAGAGTTCTACATCTACATCTACATTTGTGGATTATTACAACATATATATATAATATTTTGTGGATTTTTACCATCTACAAAAAATGGTGGGTCAAACCCACATCTATGGTAGTTCTTACTTACGGGAATTCACTGATTTCACCGTGGGAAAAATCCTGGTGAAATATGGGGATACAATGGTTGGTGAATTCTGAAATAAATTAGTCAGCAATTCAGCAATGGTTTATTTATGTGTTATACTAGTGTATCATCATCATCATCATCATCATCACCATAATCATCAAGGATAATAGTAGTTATTAGCCATCATCATACTTTTGACCGCCCATGACAGTGCTCCAGGTGGTTGGTAAACATAGTTCCAATAACTGCAATCAAAATGGGTTTATGGTGAGTCTATGTAAACGTGATGTGGAACATTGTGGAATTGTATAACGATATATATATATATACTGTATAGTTAGTTGGGTTGTGTTGCTAACTTGTATGCATGGATGAGCATCCGTAACTATGAGCTAGTTTGCTGTGAAACTGAAAGAAATTAGGGTGAAATGGCCCAATTCCAGATGATTATGTTCCAATGGCTCTTCCAGTCGCCATCTTGCACTGTAGCCGAAAATGATTGGACCTGAGGGGTAATCCTCATGCCAAAGATCACCTGAATGTGCCCAGTAACCCTAGAGAATCTTCCATGGAAGTACAACCATGTACACATTATGTACCCATTGATTTATATAACAATAAGAATGGAGAAACATCAGTGCCATTTTATCCAGAGTGTACGAGTGGTTCAAACTGATCCTCTGAAGCATGTTGCGATAGTTTGAGGGGTTGTTGTATATGTGACATCCCAGAATAAAATAATATAAATAACTATGAGGTATGATTATTCGTATCCCCACTTTATGGGGTCGAAAAACACAGTTTGAACTCCACCTGGAGAATAAATACATATGTCGTATGTATACAATATACAGTATATATATTATATTACAACATATATATATATATATTATATACATATTACAATATACAGTATATATACATTACAACATATATATATAATATAATATTATGTGTATATACATTCATATATATATATACAACCATTAAGTTCAAACCCTGCTGCGCTCAGGCTTTACCCAGTGGCCGCTGGGCCTCCGCCGGGACTTGGGCATCAGAAGTGCGACTTCGGTGGAGTTCCTATGTGCTGTGAGGAGCAGTGGTGGATTTGAGGAATTGGCTATTAAGGATTGGGTATTTTAACAGGATTTATATGGGATTTATATATGGATTTTATGGGATTTAATGTTTTTTTTAAAATATTTTTGTTATGGGATTTAATGGGATTCAATATGGACTTGACGTTAGTTTGAAGTGTTTTTTCTATGGGATTTTAATATGGGATTTAGTATGATTTCATGTGCCGAAAAATGCAGAGGTTTTCTGGGATTTTCAATGCTGGTTGAAATTCATGAGGGAAGATGATTTTCATCACTGGATTTCGGGGTACCCCATAGAGGCTCTGAGTCGCGTCCTTTGTCATGTTATTTTAATATGGATATGCAACATGCAAAAGACCCCCATGTGATGGTTGGCCCCCATGTTGATGGTTGGTAGTTAGTTCCCATTTGTATTGCTGCTTAGTAGTCAAATCCGAAATTATGTGTATGTATGTAACATGTATGTATAAATATATATATATATATTATTATACTAGTTAATACTTATATCGTACTCCATTTCTTGATGGTTCCACTCGCATGCGACCCCTGCGGCTGAACAGGAGCAGCTTCAAGACCCTGGAAGAGAAAGTGGCACAGGCACACCACTGGGTACCACTCCACTTAATTTAAGATTACCAATTCTGATGTGCCCAACAACTCGGCTTTGATATCGGTGGTTCTCAGCAATCACTTTTTGCAGTGATCGAAAAGCCCAGATTTGGATCTGAGGGTACCCGGGTACCCCCCCTTCCATCGGTTGATCATCATTTTCCGTTAAGATAAGAATTTTTGGTGGATACACCCCACTTTAAGCTTTGAAAGTCGATGATCAACAGCCCCTTGTTGCAGCAAAAATCGTAGGATGGGCTACTGGTTCAATGGGCTCTGTGTTCTTAAAGAACTAAGCATCACCTTTGCTTGTAGGGGCGGTAAGCTTGGCCATGCCAATATTACGCCATTTTTCAAATACGCAATCCGTGGTAGGAATCCCTATCAAGCACCACCTGGTCACAGGGTCATGTTGGGGCCATGTTAGGGCATCACAACTTTATGGACATGTTGATTGATACATTTGTTTGAAAGGCGAGATGCATCGAAGGAAATGCTGATAGAAGAACAACACATGCTCAACTTGCAGATTGATTCTTATGTTCGAGGGAGGGGTGGTGGCTATAGTAACCATGATTCATCAATGCTGGTTGGCAACGATAGGCCGTCTCAAAATGGTGGACAGCCCATTTCATGGCAGTTTCAATGATGTATATAAAGGTTTTGATTGTCTTTTTATTTATTTGGCGTTTTGGTATGTGTTGATGGGAAAATAGACTAATTAAACGGCCAAACGTTATATAAGTAGAACAGGGCTCTCCGTTAGATCCTTGGAACTGTCACCAGGGTTTGGTGTTAAATACGTCCCAACAAAACCAAGACATTGTCAGCCATATGTTTGTTGATTAATTCACAATATTGAGAGAGTTAATCCCTGTACAGTATGTGCACTCTTCCATCATTGAGTTTGAGTTTGAGGTAATTCCTCATTTTCAGATCACTCTGATCACCCCCAGATAGGTGCTACACCTGGATGATGAAGCGAAGGAGGCTGAGAAGGAGTGGACACCGGAGGACGAGGACAAACCGGCCGGGCTGGGGCTGTGTTTCAAGTGATGTCTTGCTAGAAAAACTGTGTCACCCTAGGGGTAAAGATACAAAAAGATGTGGAAAACCCATAGTTTCCACAGGAAAATGATCTACAAACAGAGGGAAAGTAGTTCTGGCTGAACAGGGTTCCTCCAGACCATTCCAGGTACTGTGAATGATAGCCACAATCTACCCAATTTACATCCCAAAAGTATATGGGGTGTTGGGAGTAGCTTCACTATTTACGGGTTTGTGTAAAAATTGGCTGCCCCAAAAAACCATGGTTAACGATCATGTTCCGTATTAAATTGGCAATTCGCAGGGCATATCCACATTTTCGGATCCACTTTTAGCTGGTTTTGGGTGGTTTTCCCATCTTTTCCAAACATGTTCACCGTATGAATTATAATGATGGTTAGGATTCAGGGAATTATCCTCACAGCTGGCAGAAAGTTTCAGCTATTTTCAGCCTATCGTGAATTAGTGAGATTCGGCCAAATAGATGCGTCTCTCTCTCTCTATATATATATGTGTGAACAGAAGCTGGTTGCCCTTAGGGCCAGCGCGTCCCTTCTGCTCAGTGCAGCGCTGTCCTGCTGCGCTGACAGGGGTGGGGTGGGCACAAACCACTCATAGGTTATCAGCCGTATGCTCAGCTGAGCAAAGGTGAGACCGGGCGTCTGTTCTGGGGGGCGAATGCTAAAGACCTTCCCAGGCAGATGTTTGCCCTGTAGCCCCTCAAAGGACTTCTGTTTGTGGCCTTCAAAAGTGCCACCACCAAAAAGAAAACAAATGGTGTCGCCACCTTCGAAGTGGGGGGTGTGAACAGAAGCTGGTTGCCCTTAGGGCCAGCGCGTCCCCTCTGCTCAGTGCAGCGCTGTCCTGCTGCGCTGACAGGGGTGGGGTGGGCACAAACCACTCATAATATATATATATATCTTATATGTATATATATATATACCGCATATATATATATACCGCATATATATATATATATGTATATAGTATATATTTACCGTAAATCACATGAAATCCCATCTATTCCCATGTACATTTGTCGTCAGGACTTGGTCGTCCCGGAGGGTCCCTTGCGCGTTCCACGTCCAGCGAAGCCACCCCCTGTGGACCGAGAGGGGCACCCAGAGCACCTCCGAGTGCCTTGGCTGTGGAACTTGGGGGATGGCCCTTGATTCATTGGATTTTAATGGGATTTTAATGGGATTTGGGTTTTTAATGAGATGTTAATGGTTATTTCAGCATCAACAATGGGATTCAATCACCAAACATGATTCTCAATGGGTTGAAAGGACAATCTACAGGCAACCCTGATTTTTTCATGTAAGTCTTCCCATAAATCAATCCAATGTTTGATTCATTGGCCATTTCAGGAACCTCAAATGGAGCTACTGTGCAATTTTTTCGGTCATATGTTGGGATATTTCCGAATAGGCCTAATTTAAAAAAAACCTTCCATATGGTACCTCCACCCATAACATGGTGATTTTTAGAGGGATTTGATAAGATTTTCGGTTGGGCCCGTTGTGGATTGAACAGGATTTGAGTCAAGGAAGCAAATGGGAGAGGTCGGACAGGGGTAACCAGCAAAAATGCCATATGATATATAGAAGTTATCCGCAAGATCTGTGACTCCCATATAGCCTTTTGGTTTCTTTACACGAATCGACTTGACTAGGTACCTCCAGTACCTCAAGAGGAGGAAGTCACAGTGGATGACAGGAAACCTTCAGCCCCCAGAGAACCTGACAGATACAATCTGGCGCCTGGTCGCTGAAGTGGAGATGACTTGGTGGGAATGTCCAGTCGAATCCTACATATTTCAACTCTGGCAAGTTCCAGTTGAGGATGGGTCAAAAGTCTTCAAAACCTATTACCCTCCAGTAAATTCACATAGACCTTGCCAGTATTTGCCAGTAAATTCGGGTGTTGGGAGATGCGTTTCCACTAAAAATGGGTTGTGTTCAGGGTCCATTGTCTATTGAAGGGAACGTCAATCCCAATTTTCTTTCCCATTGAATTCCACAAAAACAAAACTATTTATATGTTGGTTAAATCATCTTAAATCCAATGGTCCTGAGTTGATTCAAAGTGGGTAAGAATCCCTATAGATGATGGTACCCTCTGATAATTTACGAGTTTGCTATTGAAAATGGCCCGTGGAAATAGTTGATTTACATATTAAAGATTGTGATTTTCCAGTTCGCTATGTTAGTTTACCAGAGGGTATATCTATATTGTATGTTGATGTAGTATATGATCCCGCGATTTGCTGATATATGTTGATACTATATAATGTATATATATATACACACTAACTATAGTATATGTTGATATAGATGATGGTATATGTATAGTATATGATGTACATAATCCCTATAGATGGATGATGATGGTATATCTATAGCTGGTTGGTGGTATCAAACAGTTTTTTATTTTCCACAATATATGGGATCATCCTTCCCATTGACTTTCATATTTTTCCGGATGGTTAAAACCACCAACCAGTATATCTATAGTACCATCTGCTTATTTAACATAGCGAACTGGAAAGATCCAGCATTGTTAAGAACGGTAAACCATCTATTTCTATGGGCCATCTATACCATGGCTATGTTAGTCATAACCAGAGGGTATATGTTACCCATTTCTTGGGGCTTCAACCGAGGTGGATGGCCCCGTGAGTCCCGGGGAGATCCAGGCGGCCTGGAAGAAAGAGGCGTGGCGTGGTTCCGTGGTTCCGTGCCGTAGTCGGAAAAAACAACACAACCAGGGGATGGTATCAACAAAGATTGGGAATGAGATCACCTGATTATACCTGATGATCACCTGATTTTTGATTTTTGATGTTTGATTTAAGCAACGTTTAGAGGATTTCACGAAACAAAATGGGGTTCAAGCCTGCAGAATTAAGTTGTTTTAGTATGTTTTAGTCTTACTTCATCTAAATGGGTTTCAGCATGTTTTAACATGTTTCAACATGTTTCAACATGTTTCGACATGTTTCAGCATTGGTCGTTGTGTTGCGGATCTGGGGCTATCAAATTTGGGTGTGTGTTTGAATTTGAGGCATATACACCCCATATCTATCCAGCCGCTCCAGCCCATGACAGGGTGAAGAAGAAGCAGCTAACGACGTAAATCTCTTGGCCAAAGAACGCCTCGAGAGTTCGGAGCAGGTGAGGCATGCACTCATCCTGTATGTCCCTTCTTGGATGGAGCCAGGTTGGTTTTTGTGCCCATACTACATCTCTTTATCTTTGAGTTGTAGGTCTTGTCAGCCATACATAAGCAAAATTATCCGTACATTCCTCAAGCACTGGCCCTTCTAGTACTTGGGATACCTAGGATTAGTTTCACTCCACCTATGTTTGGGACACGTGTTTGATAGTCGAGAACCGTTGACACTCCTCAGGCCCCCTTTTCTTGAATCTTGAATCTGTGAAAGCTGACTCCTTTGCACATGCTTATGTGGTAATTATTTGTAATTATAAAATATTATAAACACAAGCAGATGGTAGCCTAGTAGCACATGGCATATAAATATCATATAATTATGCGCCACGTGAGTTGATGGGTCAATCCATGTTCCCTGGGGGTCGTGGTATGAATCCATAGGAGCAGTGTTCCAAACCCCCGTTGGTTGATAACTATAGGGGACTATACAGTGTAATACAGTATAGTATACATATATATATATATATACAAATACGGCAAATGCCTGGGTTTTGCCCGGACCCGCAATGACGACAGGCGACGCATCATCATCATCATCATCACCATCATCATCATCACCATCATCATCATCAGAATTAAACCCTTATTGAAGATCTCCAATGAATGTAGAAGTTTAACGGGGTGGTGAGAATTAAACCCTTATTGAAGATCTTCAATGAATGTAGAAGTTTAACGGGGATGGGAGAATTAAACCCTTATTGAAGATCTTCAATGAATGTAAAGTTTAACGGGGTTGGGAGAATTAAACCCTTATTGAAGATCTTCAATATTATGTAGAAGTTTAACGCGGGTGGGAGAATTAAACCCTTATTGAAGATCTTCAATATTATGTAGAAGTTTAACGCGGGTGGGAGAATTAAACCCTTATTGAAGATCTTCAGTGAATGTAGAAATGAATGTAGATTTTTAACGGGGTGGGGAGAATTAAACCCTTATTGAAGATCTTCAATGAATGTAGAAGTTTAACGGGGGTGGGAGAATTAAACCCTTATTGAAGATCTTCAATGAATGTAAGGTTCAACGGGGGTGGGAGTTTTATATTCCCTAGTACCTTTGTTGATCTTCCCAATTGAATGTAACGTTTAACGGGGGTGGGATTTTTATATTCCCTAGTACCGTTGTTGTTTTTTCCCATAGGAATTTAAGGTTTAACGGGAGTAACTGTTTAATATTCCCTAGTACCTTTGTTGATCTTCCCAATTGAATGTAAAGTTTCACGGGGGTGGGATTTTTATATTCCCTAGTATCTTTGTTGTTGTTTTCCCATAGGAATTTAAGGTTTAACGGGAGTAACTGTTTAATATTCCCTAGTACCTTTGTTATTTTTCCCAAAGGAATTTAAGGTTTAACGGGGTGGGAGTTTAATATTCCCTAGTACCTTTGTTGTTTTTCCCATAGGAATTTTGTGAAGTTGCATCAGCATTTGTTTGGGAATGGGAAACCTCTACGCTGCAAGGCGTTGCGCGTACAAGTATGTATATATATATATATATATTAATATTATACATTGGGGAATATCAGAATCCATTAAGGGAACCCCTGTAAACCCACCTGTATAAAGGGACATGACAAGGTTTTGAACATGGCGCCGGTCCCCCATCCCCGGCGAGGCCTCCGCGGGTCACACGGACGATCCCCGGGATGACAACGAGAGGCAGCTGCTGCGGGACGCCGAAGCGGCGCAGGCCAAGGGATCGCAGAATTTCAGCCGCTTGGAACGGCAATGGGTATGTTTTTTGTCATGACAATTGGATTGGAGTATATGAATTATATGTATGGTTTGGTGACCAGAAATGGTTTGAATTCAAACCATCTCCAATTGGAGCGTCTCTGGGTTTAGCACATTTAGGCTAATTTAAACCAATGGAGGATCCCTGAATGGGGATGATCCCCGAACTTTGCCGACATCGAACCCCCTTTGAGTTTGGATATATTGCAGGATTTTATTAGAAGTCTTGCAAAGTCTTGCATGTTTCATTTTCAAACCATTCATTCACCACCCCTGGATCTTCATAGAGCTAGACTTGGACGAAGAGCTACAAGAAACCTCCAATTTTCATGGTAAAACCCCGTGGTTTTCTGCAGTTTTTCCCTCAAACCGCCATGCCCAGGCTACACGACACCGCCACGGCCCCCGCCGTCGCCGTGGCCGCGGGCGCCCGAGCCGCCGATCTCAGCCGCGCCGGCACCTGCACCGGAGGTGAAGAAGGTCACGCAGTCGGAGGCGCAGCAAGGAGTCTTCGTTCCGGGAGAGCGACTCGGTGAAGAAAAATAGAGGGTATGCAGATGGGATATGATGGGAATTTATAGGAATTCACCAACAGTTGGTGATTTTATATATAGCTAGGAATATCATAATATCGGAATATCAAACCCCAAAATATGGAACATTATTATACCAGTAGTACCGCACAAGGCGGTGGCGGAAGTTTCAAAAATATGAAACCTATAGGAGAGGTTGGTTGTTGTGACTCACGGATGGCAGAGCGAATCCACTGATGGACCGACAGGTGGTTGGAGTTGTGTTTTTTGGAGTGGTTGCAATGATTGCAGTGGTCACCTTACCACAACTGCTGGATGTAGTGTGGTGTAGTGCAGTTGCAGTTGTAGTTGTAGCTGTAGTGTAGTGTAGTGGAGCTGTAGTTGTAATGTAGTGTATATAATTAGTGTAGTTGCAAGCGCAGTTGCAGTTGTAGCCGTGGTGTGGTGTAATTAGTGTAGTGTAGTGCGGTGTAATGTCGTGTAGTGTTGTGTAGTGTAGTGTGGTATAGTGTTGTGTAGTCTAGTGTAAGGTAGTGTAGTTGTAGTTGTTGTGTAGTGCAGTGTAATTAATGTAGTGTAGTGTAGGTAGTAGTATTAGGTAGTAGTATTAGTATTAGTATTAGTAGTAGTAGTAGTAGTAGTAGTAGTTGCTGTTGTTGTTGTTGTTAGTGTAATTGGTGTCGTGTAGCGTAATGAGATGTAATTAGTGTAGTTTAATTAGTGTGGTGTAATGTAGCGTAGTATATTTGTATTTGTACTTGTACCAGTAGCGTAGTGTAGTGTAGCTTTAGATTTAAGTTGTTTGTCTATCTATCTACCCATCTATCTATCGATCGATCTATCTACCGATCTTTCCATCTATCTATCTATCTATCTATCGATCTATCTACCGATTATCTATCTACCGACCTATCTATCTATCTTTCTTTCTTATCTTATCTTATCTTATCCCATCTTAATCTAATCTAATCTACCCTACTCTAATCTAATCCTATCTAATCTAATCTTATCTTATCTAATCTTATCTAATCTAATCTAATCTAATCTTATCTTATCTATCTACCTATCTACCTATCTATCTATCTATCTACCTATCTACCTATCTACCTATCTACCTATCTATCTATCTATCTACCTGTCTATCTATCTATCTATCTATTTATCTATCTATCTATCTATCTAACCATCTATCTATCTAACCATCTATCTATCTAACCATCTATCTGTCTGTCTGTCTGTCTGTCTCTGTCTGTCTCTGTCTGTCTCTGCCTGTCTCTGTCTGTCTCTGTCTGTCTTTCTGCAAGTTTGAAAACGCAGCTATTGCGAGACTTCCTCAATTTTTGAACTTGACAATGTCAGAAACGAAACGATTCTACGAGACTTCCTCAATTTTTGAACTTGACAACATCCAAAACGAAGCAATTCTGAGAGACTTCCTCAATTTTTGAACTTGACAACGTCAGAAACGAACAGATTCTCCGAGACTTCCTCAATTTTTGAACTTGACAACATCCAAAACGAAGCAATTCTGAGAGACTTCCTCAATTTTGGAACTTGATACCATCCAAAACGAAGCAATTATGCGAGACTTCCTGAATTTTTGAACTTGACAACATCAAAAGCGAAGCAATTCTGCGAGACTTTTTTCAAATATGGAAAGTTGAGTGCAGAGCTGACAGCCTCGTACCAATGCATTTTGCGATTTTTCCACTCCACCTGTCTCAAGTAATTACTGCGCCTGCCACGAAAAAAGTGATGCCAGGTCATGCGAAGTGCTGCACCTGTCACGCAAAATCATCTTAGCAAACATACAGATCTGATGCTCCAAAATGCAACCCCTCTCAGGAAATCATCGCCCTGACCTCCTAACAGCTCTGATGAACATGTCTATTGCACTGCGCCTGCCACGGAAAATGCATCTTTGCAGATCCTCTTCAAATGTCCCACGCTTGCCATTGTTTTTGGACATGCTACAAAACCCTCACGTTTTGCTCACTTTTGACAAGGTGCACAATCCCTTTCGCCTGCCACGCAAAACGACGCTTCAACGTCCAAAAGTGGCATGTACATGCGGTGCTTTGTAGATTTTGGCTTGGAAACGTGCTTCGCGCCACAACGGCGTGCACTTTTTCGACATCTCTCATCTAACCACATGGCTCCGCACCCGCCGCTTTAGCGAGCCTACTTTTCGATCTCCGGAGCCACAAATCATTGGAAAAACATAGTGTTTCGCGACTTTCTTACCTTTTCGCGCACCTGGATCTTCTTTCTTCGGAGACTTTCTCTTTTTGATCTTTTTTCTTCTTCTCTTCTTTTCTCTTCTCTGACTCTTCCCATCTCTGCTTTTCATCTGTCCATATTGTCGGAAGTTTGACTTCTAAACTTCCTTCGATGATAGGAAATTAATTATATCGAATTATAGGAAGATCAAACCCACATATGATCAACTATATAAATTGTTTTCAATAAATATGTTTTTGTTTAATATTTACTTTTTATATAATAAATAAATCAAAAAACAAATAAATAAATAAATAAAAATAAATAAATAAATAAATTAATTAATAAAATAAATAAATAAAATAAATAAATAAAATAAATAATTAAATAAATATATATATATATACATATATATAAGATATTACATTAAATATATATTTATATGCTATATATATATATACATATATATTCTTGATATATCTATATCTAAATGCAGATGATTATTTCTTTACTAAACGAGTTCATAGGATTTCACCATCAACCCCAGGGATTTCATCGGATTTGAGACCGGGTATGGCGAATGACAATGGTGGCAACCGGGACCTTTGGAAACTGGTTGTCTTGGAATTCCGGGGGTATGAAAATATAGTACTCATTTGTATTCCAAAATTGATAGCATAGGAGATGTTTGTTGTAACCCTCAACCGTTGGTTACTTCACGCCTTGATGCGTGGAGGTTCGCCCAGATGTTTTTGGGTGGCTGCTGGGTGTAAAATGGACGAATTGAAGAGCTCGTAAACCAAACCTAACAAGTCCAATTTGTTTTTGTTGTTTTTGTTTAGGTTAATAAATTTGGACTAAATAACATTGGAGAAACTATTGTAGCCTACCAGAAGGGTGAAGGGTTGTGACCTTGAATATGTCAGACATCAAACCAGGGATCGAACAGCAGAAAATGACTGACTGATTCTTGATTAGTTGATTATTTCTCTGGTTGTTGGTTTGGAACATTTTTCATTTTCCATATATATGGGAATAATACTCCCAACTGACAATTTTTTTCGGAGGGGTTGAAACCACCAACCAATTTCTTGTTGTTGATCTGTTGGTTGATTGGGTGGTTGTTTGGTTGATCTATTGGGTTGTTTGAGAATCATTGATTGGTTGAAGGCATCACTCCATATCACTCCCGTGGCATCAGGATCGAACCGTGGCAAACCAGGATGTACAATCCCATGTTCCACCACTAAAGACGTGCGCGCTGAAGCATCTTAAGCGTGCCATCTTCCAACAGCACGACTACCAGCTGGACTTTACGACTCTTGGGTGGTTTCAAATATGATTTTATTTTTAACATGTTCCGACATTATGGCTGGAATGATGATACCAATGGATTTGCATTTTTTTTGGGTTGAAACCAGCAACCAACCAGGAACTCTGAAGTTGAAACCATCCCCCAAGCATGTGGTGCATGACGAGGGCAGCTGGGCCACCTTGTGCACGGAGACGTCTTTCTGCGACCCTCTTGATTGCGTGAATCAGAAGATAATGATGGTGGAAACCATCAAACATGGCCTTCAGACCCAGGATTTCTGTCAAATCATCCAGGTGGCAGCTGATGCTACCACTGTTCTTCGGGACGGTTCACCGGACCAGCCAGAGAAGTGGTGGAAAAAAAATGCCGGGAGGTGCTGTTCATGAGAGTTCTGCCCTGCTGGTTTATATTGTTTATGGTTGTACCTGTAACACCCTGGTGCGCAGAAGAAGTGCCGTTTCCCAAAACTGCAATGATTTTTGCAGATTAATGGAAGAATACATGTCGTTTTGCGAAAAAACGTGCGTTTCTATTGTTTCCTGGTGTCTGCTAGAAAATTGTGCCGTTTTAGCGCCAATTTGCACCGTTTCGGTTTTAGTTGATTTTCTGCAAGCTCTAAGACTGGGAAAAGTGTACGAAGGCAGTTTTTCCCGCCGTTTGACTTCAAAACCATGTTTTGTCCAAAACAGCAGAAAAAATGCAACAGGCGGATGACACAGGTATAGTATAATGTTACATAGATAGGGTTCTACTCATTGGTTTGCTGGGGATTACAACAATTGTGATTTTTTTTAAACCTCTCAAGCAAGAAACAGAACATGCTGATCAGAGGTTTCATTCAGCGACGGCACACACTTTTCAAAACGAGATCCGAAAAAAAGTTTGATCATGACCCATCATGCCGGTTTTTATACTATTTATGTATATATGGTATATATGCTATCATTGGGGGTATATTGATGGTAAATGTTACCATACATATATAGCATACATGGATCCTATGGGTTATGTATTATTCTGAGGTATGTAGGTATGTTAAGGGGGTATGCCCTATCCGGGATCCCAAAAAATGTTTGGCACCGCAGGTGGCGACGTGGTGGAGGTTGGGGGACCGCTTTGGGACGGTGGAGATGGTTGGACGTGTTTAGGGAAGAAACCACCATTAATGGGAATATGAATGGGTAAATTATGGTGAATCTATGGTGAATCTATGGTGAATAATGGTTAATAATGGTGAATCTATGGATAATATATGATATATCTGGGTAAATTATAACGACCTCACTGCGACCTCACTGGGAATCATGGTTAGTAAGGGAAATCATCCCCAAATGGCCTTAATTTAGGTTAAGTGAAATATTATAATTTACCCAGATTAATGGGAATATGAATAGTACTAAAATTAGTGATAAATAATGGGAATTTTTCATATCAATAATATGTTTTAGGAATAATTTTATAGCTATAAAAAAAAAACAAAACATTATTGATATTAAATGGATTTAAATGGTGTTTATCTCCTTGAATTTGTGTTTGTTTTCTAGATGAGATGCTTGATAATTGGTTGGCAATGTCAAGTACCTTTGAGTTTTCAAGCTACTCAAGCAATATTAATATGACTCATTGGTGGTTGAGAAAGTGCTTTTCACTCGATCTTTATTATGATCTTCTAATATGTCTGAACTTTAACGATCGTATATTCTAGCACGATTTAGTACTGTATGGTTTAATTCTATTACGGCTGATGATTACTGTGTTGTCACATATCTTACAACAACATAATACTTATGTATTATTACTTGAAACATATCAATATATCATTCATATTCATTCATTACCAAAATCATTGCCTGTAATCATCAGCAATTTTGTTAAAATGGAGAGGATTCTTGTTTGCCAGTTTGACAATTATATACTGTTCATTCCATTCAGTATTCATGATAGAATGATAAATTTACATCGGGTAGTACACATATCATTATCATTGTATGATATCATTCATCTATAATCACAAACTTTGGATTCTTGGACTTTATCATTCATATCATACCGTTACAATATCATATTCTTAATCATTCATCACAACAATCTTGGATATTTAGTCATATCACCAGATATTAAAGCCACTCTAGATCTGACAATCCAGATCGTCCAGAGCCTTCCAAGGCTGCAGCTTTCACAGAGAGTGAGGGCCACACCGTCGAAACGGCGGAGAGCGAGGTGACCTGCGGCACGTTTTCTGGGTTTTCTGGGGCCCCTGGGGCCAGGATTTGAGAGTGATCCAATAGGATTTACCCTCTGATAAACTAACATAGCTATGGAAAGATCCACCATTTTTAATGGGAAAACTCACTATTTCTATGGCCATTTTCAATAGCTATGTTAGTCATTACCAGAGGGTAATAGTGGTTCAATGGTGAATGTTGTTTTTGAATTATTTGGATTTGACGAGCAAACATTGAGATACAATGGTGATTTAATGGGATTTAACCAACAAAAAGAGGGATTCAGTGGTGATTGAATGGGATTTGACCATCAAACACACTGTTTTAATGGCGATTCAGTACAGTATGAGTTTGTGGGGTTGAACCATCGAACATAGGAAGTTCATGGTGATTGAAGAAACAACTGTGGGGCTATTTTGTGATATTCCAACAAGATTAGGGAGTCACTAGGACAGTTTTTGGGTGATATCATGGATACAAAAGCAACAATATAGTCTTATCATATGATAGTGATGGGATAATTGGAGAATCATGGAATACAAATGACATGACAATCCATAATAATGTGTGAAAAGAAACCATATAATTTGGGTTTGTCCGAAAGATGGTTAGTATACCCCGCAAATGAGATATTAAAGGGAATAATCATGATACACCATCAAATTTAGGGGTGCCATATCTTTAGAGAAACCAATATGGAAAACTGTGTTCTAGTATTGGATAAGTGTTGCAATCGCTATCTTGTAGCATTGAAACGTTTCGGGATGTTTTATGGAGGATCGAGTGTGGATGTTTAAAAGTCTAGAAACGCAGAATGACGACTGAAAATGAAGAATATTATATATATATATACAATGATTAATATATTATAAATTTACACATCATAATATGTGTCGTGTACTGTATAGAATGCACAGAATATTGTCCCTGGCACCTGTGTTCTTCTCCCGGGCACCAAGGTGATCCATATTTTCCCTGGGGATCATCCCTAGGGTTTATCATAATTTCCAGCTGTTTTTTTTTCGGGATGCATCCCATGTTTCGACAAAGTCATGTTTTCGATATTGAAAGGGATTGGTATACTGGGTCACTCACTCAGTATTTTTGGAAAAAAACACCCTGCCAAAAACTGCTGGATGATTTTCCTATGGCCAAAGAGGTCTCATGCTCCGGTTGAGGTGAATTCCCCAAAGAAGTGGCCTCCTTACATGACGCTAGCAGCTAGCAAGTATCCCCAACAAATGATTAAACATGATGCTTTTAGATGGTGATGGTGCTAGTCATTCGCAACATTTCTGAGGGCAGGGTATTCTTTGGTTCTTATCCTTTCTGCGATTGGAAAGGGAAACAAACTAAGGGTAAGGCACCTTTGAACGAAACAAACAGTACCTTGAAACATCTTTAAACACTTTCTGCATGAAACGAGACAGAACACATCTTTCTTAAATGTTCTCAACAGAAACATGAGAAACGACTTTTCTGAAAACATCCCACACCTGTTGATTGTGATTGTTGTCACTGTCCCGGCGCTAGGAGAGTGATCAGTCGGACTGTAGTAGTCAGATCAGCACGGCGGACTTGCCATCTGCGCCCAAGGAGGGGTCGAGAGGGGAACGACGGAAATTGAGAGAGACCTTGGCGATTGGTGCTATTTACCCTCTGGTAAACATACAAAAAGCTATTGAAAATTGCCATTTATAGTGGATTTACCCATTAAAAATGGTGATTTTCCAGTTCGCTATGTAAACGTTTACCAGAGGGTACCCACATATTTCATGGACATCAAATACTGTTTCTGAAGCCTGGGACCCATGGGTGCCCCATTTTCATTGCTCAAGCCTGTTGATTCATGGCTATGGAGACGTAGCTGTTTGGATTACAGAAGATCTTGATCTTGGATCATGGGGTCGAAGAAAACAGCAGACCTGAGAGATGCCCAAATTTGGATCAGCTTCACATCAAGCACGTTTTTGCAGCGCCAAGAGTCGAATTTTCTGAGTTTTCTTGGATTCTTCTGGGACTTCCTAAAAACATGTGTGCCATTCCCCTAAGAAATACCCGGAAGCCGGTGGCCCGGGATCCTTGCAGTGCGACCAGGAGAAATCTGCAGAGTCTCTTGTCGTTAGACCACCGGGGAACTGTTGGAGCCCATCCCAGTAAGACACACACCTTGCAAAACATCGACTAAAAGCCGCTATTCGGAATACCATTGCCGATTCGGGAATTCACAGACGTCTTTGAATTCTTCATGGACGTTCACTTAAGCAGAAGATCTTGTCAAGCATACATCAGAGATGATGTCCTTTTGAAGATGGTGGATTTCGATGTTCAATAACGTCGACAGTTATATAGCCCAGAGGAATCTGCAACCCACAGTTGTTCTCCCACAAAAAGTGTCCATAGTTACTGTAATTAATGTTAATTAGGGTGTTTAAGGTTCCCCATACGTGGACACGCCTTCAAATCATTGAACCCAATAGAAATAGATTGACATGGATGGCTTTCTTATCCTCAGACATATCCAGAATTATGGATATTTGAAGACCAAAAATGTCGAGATTTGTGTGTAAATGGTTTCTTGTAGTTTGATTTTCCAAAAACAATCAAAAGCAGCAGGATTTTGCGGTATCTTTATATATATATTTATTTATTTATATATATATATATATATCTGGGTAAATTATAACGACCTCACTGCGACCTCACTGGAATCATGGTTAATAAGGGGAATCATCCCCAAATGGCCTCAATTCAGGTTAGTGAAATATTATAATTTACCCAGATATATGGATGGTTTGTCTAATGACGTTCCACAAATTCCATTGAACGCTCCGCTCCAAGGCAGGGCAAAGCTTCGGTGGATGCGCCGGTCGAAAGAGGTGCCCATCTGGAGATCAACGGCTTTCCAAAGATTGCCCTCTGGTCATTTAACAGTTTGCTATTGAAAATGGCCCATTTCATTCGTTGATTTACCTATTGAAAATTGATTTTCCAGTTCGCTATGTTAGTTTACCAGAGGGTAAAAACCGTTGGAACTATGCTTTTTTGTTTGTTCCTGTGCTTTCTGAGTGTTCAACATTGTTCACAACCCATATGTGTTTTTCCAGTTCAAAGATATGGTTCAACACTCAAGAGTTGTTCCAAGTTGTTCTTTCTTCAAACTTAGTGATATTCCATGCGTCTTTCTGGTGCATTTGGGGTTAGATGTGATAGCCGCTATAGGTGAAAACTGCATACCGCGATCTATTGGCTGGTGAACCAAAAGGCGAGTTCGTCCTAATAGAGCCAACATGTCTAAGTTATACAAATACGTTTAGTGTGTATTAATATGTATTAATGGCTTTGTTAAACTCCCATGGTCTATTTGAGCATTTTCTCAATGGATTGGTTTAGTCGGGGAAATCTACAGGAAACCATAGAGTTTCCTGTGGATTGTCCCATTAAATATATTTTTAAAATGGTGGCTTTGCTGTAAGAATTTCCCTTCAACCAATCCATTGAGATTAAGGGACTAATAAAGTTAATGGATAAAGTTACTAAACATTGAGATTAAGGGACTATCACTGTTAATGATAGTGGACAAAAGTTCAAATGATATCATACCCCATCGGATCCATGTATGCTATATATGGTAACATTTACCATCAACATACCCCAAATGTTAGCATATATACCAGCACCATGGATCCTATGGGATACGGTAATCACTATCTGGATGTTCCTACCGTTGCCTACTCGGAGTATTTTCGCCACGACTCGCCAGGCGGGCCTCTGGCTCTCCCGACGGAGCCTCAGGTGAGTTGCACCGGAATGAGCTGTGGAAAGGTACTGAATGTTAATAGTGGTTAATAGTGGTTAATAATGAATGGTTAATAATGGTTAATAGTGGTTAATAGTGATTAATAATGATACATACTGCGTAAGAATGGTTAATATATGGGTAATATATGGTAATATGATTCCTATAATTATGATAATGATTATTCCAATGATGTTAATCCCTTCTTCCAAATCAGCCCCACCAACCCCTCTGAACGACAGCCTTTTGAGCATCAAAAGAGATCAAACCCGCCACCCCATCTGAACACTATGTTGCTAGTGGCCGCAAGTTCTGCGTTTCGGCATTTACAAGATCGTTGTTTTTTGTTATCTCAGATTACTATTCTTCCGCGCGCCACCGCTGCGGAAAAAAACAAGTTTCAGAAGACTACGGATAAAAAGGTGTAAGATGTCTTGCAAAGCCAGGACTGACTGCGACCGTCATGGCAGATTCTAGTCAGGATTTGCCAACAGCTGCTAACTATCCAGTAACTTTTCGGGTTAACGAATTAGCTTATGTAATATATACAGAATTGCTGGGTTATAACCAGTTTCGACTCCATCCCATACCAGCGCAAGTATGAACTTTAGCTGGCTATGTTGTATTATGGCATGCGTTCATGGCACGGCAAAACTTGAAACCACTAAATTGCCTTTCACCAAGATCTGGCCAGTTTGCCAGATGGGTTTGTTTCAAATTAAGTTGGGGGTCCCTTATAATAATTGACCATCATATACCATACATATGAAAACTAAACCTATGAATTATAGATTCTTAGATTTGGCCCAATTAATCAATGGCGGAAACCAGGGGTCCTCCTCAGTTTCAGAGAACCTGAAAAACAGGAGCAACTCAGCATCCATAGCAAGTTGTTCCATGGTTTTTTCCACAAAAAATGACTTTATCGAACTTTAAATGGGATTCTCTGACGGTCTCGTGACTCCAAAGGTTGATCATCGTGTGTTGCAGGTGGGGTTTTCCCCCAGCTGGTGGCAGGTCCCTGCCGCACCTTCGGTAACTTTCAAAGGTGTGCTGCTTCTTGACCTTAGAGGGGATCGGAGGGGTAGTTTCTGGACTGTCGTCTTTAATCAAACATGGCAATGTTAAACATATTAACTTATAGATGTTTTTTTCCATTGGAGGATTTTCCAATTAGCAATGTTTGTTAGAGGATTTTCCAATGTTTCCATTGAATTGTTTGTTAGAGGATTTTCCAACTAGCAATGTTTGAATATCAAACAGTAGATTTTGTTTGGCTAACCAGCAAAAAACACACAGGGTATGTAAGATTGGCCATGTTTGGTCGTCCGGCCACCTGACCTGGCAGCGATGGTTAGGATTGCAACTTTCAACTTGGACCTGAGCAATTGATGCACGACTTTGGTTATGTTTTGAAAGTGTTTTGAACTATGAATCCTATCAGTTAAAGCAATGTTGACCCACACTCCAAAAAGGTATGAAATTCCACTATTTGTATGTATTTGGCGTGTCACATACCCGGTGGTAGATCATCATTAGCTTAACATACTACCACAATGGAGTTGAAATGATCAATCCGATAGATATTAAATCTATTCAAAATATACCTCAAATCAAGATCATCTAGTTTCAAAGTATTGGCTCATGCTCTGCGTGTTTGTTGAAGATTTGGGTGATCGTCCTTTTTTGTTCGATGTTCCACCTATTATGTCATGGTTTGTCTGAAAGTAGGGACCTAAATCAACTGCTTAATCATATTGTTCTGTTCACATACCATGGTGGGGAATACCTGTTTCAAGTGTATTTCCAGATGCATCCATATATATAATTATATAAATTATATATATATAGTAATGTATATATGTATATATCCTTTGTATGTTCGTTGTATCCCTTAAACTATACGTACAAAGGTTGATAATTGTGAAACAATTACACGTTTCACGATCATGTTGCTTTTCATATATCATACATCCCATCAAATAATACCATAAAGTATCCTAATGACATGTCAATTCTACACACCAGGTAGTGCCCCGCACGCGCCGGGGCGGAAGTTTCGAAAATAGGACATGGCTATAGGAACCAGTCCGCTTATTGGAATTCTTGGTGAGTTGGAAAGAAGTGAATTGAAATGAAATGAAATGTATGAAATAAATGAACTGACACAACATGCCATGAACAAATGAAAAAATGAATGAAATAAAAGAAATAATGAATGAATGAATGAAATAATAATAAGTGAAATAATGAATGATTGAATGAATGATTGACTGAATGAACGAATGAAAAAAAATACTGGGGGACATTACATGAATGAGGGAAATGAAATGAATCAATGAATGAATTAACATGAGTGAATTTAAATGAATGATTTGAAATGAATGAATTAAAATGAAACAAGCAAAATTAAGGAATTGACATGAATGAATTAAAATGAATGAATTAAAATGAAGGAATTGAAATGAAGGAATTGAAATGAAGGAATTGAAATGAATGAATGAATGAATTGACATGAGTGAATTGAAATGAATGAATTGACATTTATGAATTGAAATGAAGGATTTGAACTGAATGAATTGAATGAATGAATTGAAATGAATGAATTGAAATGAAGTAATTGACATTAATAAGTTGACACGAGTGAATTCAATTGAATGAATGATTTGAAATGAAGGAATTGAAATGAATGAATTGAAATGACTGCATTCACATGAATGAATTGAAATAAATGACAGTCTCGCGCACCTTTTCCCGACCTCATCTTCCAAAAGTGCCCCGAACGTGACACAGATTACGTTGTTTAAGTGAAACCGAGCTCTCACTACAGTACGCTACAGTCCTGTGCACTTTTTGTCGACAACTTTCCCCGATCGAGCCGCGCACCCGCGGAAACAGAGACCCTCCTTCGGCGACCACGGAAGCCACTTTACCCGAAGAAACACAGGGTTTCGCGCCCGAGAGTGTTTTCAAACCTGAATTCACGCGTTCCCGACCTCTTACGCTTCCCAACTACTTGACAACTACTTGATGATGTAGTTGACATAAGAATGTGGTTGACGTGATGGTGAGCATGCTGCCCATGACAACCGTCCGTACCTCGGAAGTTTCCAAACTAAATTTCCTTTGATTATTAATTTTGGTATTTCCCCACCTGCCAGGTGAGGGTTGTTAGATTTTATCTAAGTTGCCTGGTCTTCCTCCTCCTCCTCCTGCCGCCGCCTCCTCCTCCTCCGCCTCCTCCTCCTCCTCCTCTCGTTGTCCTCCTCGTCCTCCTGCTCAACTGCGACTCGCGATCCACAGTGTTCGCTGTCGGACCTCAACCACGACCATCCACGCCCAGTGTTCGCTGTCGGACCTCAACCACGACCATCCACGCCCAGTGTTCCCTGCCGGACCTCAACCACGACCATCCACGCCCAGTGTTCCCTGCCGGACCTCAACCGCGAGTATCCCCGTCCAGTGTTCCCTGCCGGACCTCAACCACGACCATCCACGCCCAGTGTTCCCTGCCGGACCTCAACCGCGAGTATCCACGCCAAAAGATATGCCACATAGAGTGCCAGAAGATATGCCAGATAGAATGGTAGAAGATATGCCAGATAGAATGCCAGAAGGTATGCCAGATAGAATGCCAGAAAGAATGTCAGATAGAATGCCAGAAGATATGCCAGATAAAGTGCCAGAATGTTTGCCAGATAGAATGCCAGCAGATTTGCCAGATAATATGCCAGAAGATATGCTAGATCGAATGCCAGATGGAATGCCAGAAGATTTGCCAGATAATATGCCAGATATGCCAGATAGAATGCCAGATGGAATGCCAGAAGATATGCCAGAACATATGCCAGAAGATATGCCAGAAGATATGCCAGAACATCTGCCAGAAGATATGCCAGAACATCTGCCAGAAGATATGCCAGAACATCTGCCAGAAGATATGCCAGGTAGAATGCCAGAAGATATGCCAGATAGAATGCCAGATCGAATGCCAGAAAATATGTCAGATAGAATGCCAGAAGATTTGCCAGTAACAAAATGTATAAATGTCATGGTGGGGATCACACGAAGTAAAGTAATTGTTTTTTGATGTTTTATTCACAACCAATCATTGATGATCTCATCATATCCCATGTTCATCATTCATTTCCGTGACAGCATAATAACACACACCCATGAAAATCACAAATGCGTGTCGCCACTATATCCCTGTTTGTTGATTGTTAAATCAAAAATTCCAATCAACATGCCATGAAATACTTTAACCCTAGTAAACCTCTAGTTGCTGATGGCTAAATCCCAATGAAATACCTATTCAATCCCATCGGGTTCCTTCATTGGTGGCTGTATCCCAATTATAGTTCCATGAAAATGTTTTGAATCCCTATTAAATGTCCATGAAATCACCACTAAATCCCATTGAAATCATTAAATCCCATTAAATCCCATGAAATCCCATTAAATCCCATTAAATCCCATTAAATCCCATTAAATCCCATGAAATCCCATGAAATCCTGGTAAATCCCAGTATGTTTCTAGATATTTTGACAACCATGAGGCGGCAATTGCTTCAGCAGCTGCACGGTCTGCAGAACTTGGCGCGGCAACATCCCTTTTGGCGCCGAACTCAGCGGAGACAAACCCATAATGGGGATTTCATGGCCCATAGGATCCATGGTGCTGGTATATATGCTAACATTGGGGGTATATTGATGGGATCCATGTTACCATATATAGCAGCACCATGGATCCTATGGGATAATGGGGATTTCATGGTGAAAAACGCTGTGAATTCCAGAATCATTGTGATTTAGCGGCATGGATTATGGAATTATGTGGGATTACGTGCGATGACGGGGATATTTGATGGTGAAAAATTAAAATGGAATGTTAAACTTAAACTAAAACTTCCCGGATTCGAAAAAAACATGAGTGACATGAGATCAAATTTAAGTTCTCCCCTTTTGTGACCCCCAATGATCCAATGTGTGATGCTGATTCTGTGTCTCAACCCCAGCCCAGAATTGATCATCGCTGCACAAGTTTCAGGTTACATACGACTCTCTCGGAGTCCTTCCATTTATCTGCATGCAGCAAAGCCCATGCAGATGCTCGGCGTTCGCGTGAAAGCTTATTGAGGGTTGCTGTATGTTGATCTGTCGTCATGATCCCCAAATTGTTTGATGGGAAAATTATACAGGGGTCCCATAATTCTCCAAAGTCGTAAACGAGTTAATCATGAACATCATGGCTTTAAGGCCCTTTTCGAAGAAGCAGCCACTTGGCAGAGAATGTGTGGCGAGCGAAAATGTGTCTCACAGCCTAAGAATTAAGGTGAAGAGTGGGGAAAACCTCAATTCCATGGCTCAACAAATAGATCAAACAAGTGTAATTACATGGAACTGTTTATGTGAGCCCAAGATTCCAGGACTCGTCAGCACAAGAACTGTAATGTTCCTGACATTTCCTAACCAAATTCCCAATTCCATGGGGCAATGTTGTTATTTTAGTGGGTAGCAAAGCGGGGTGGAGTACGCCGAGTAGTTTCAAGACAAAAAATTCGATCGACGAACAATTTGTCAGCACTTTCCTCCGTTATAAATGGTCACATAGATTCACATAGTACATACTCGAACCGAATCTATATAATTCTATATACAGTTTTCTGCCTACGGACCGGCAATAACCTTGAGCAATGGTGTCCTCAATGTATAAAATTGGGGATTTTCCAGGTAGCCATGTTTGATTACCCGAGGGTAACCATCCATCTATGAGGTTTTATTGATTTTTAGTTCATTTCGATCTTGGCACCGACAGGATCTTCAAGGTGATCAACGTGTCAAGCCCTCGTAACCGCCAACGTCCAAGGCTGCCTTGGCAGTGCTTCGGCGACAGCAACAGTTGAGAGGAGAGATCTGCGATACCATGGATGAACCATGGGAGGAGGACATCTCCGACAGCCTCAACTTGTAGCTGCCTAGGTCGTCATCCTAGGTCGAAACCACAGACGGAGAAAACGATTTCCCAGTGGGCCCAAGGCGGCATCCCCCGTTTTTCCCTGCGCACCCCAAAAAAAAACGTGGTTAAGAGGTGGTCGGACATCTAGAGCGGGCGTGCAAATCCCGGGATTTCAACGACTGGAAAGCAGCTGGGTCCGGAGATGTGACTTGTTGATATGTATTGGATTTAACTCTGCCCTCTACCAATTACAACGACGATGTATAAAAACCATCATAAAAACCATGAAAAACCATAATGGACCAGTTCGAATGCAACTTTGGACTCAGCTGCCTCTGGAGCAGGCGGATGTGGTGCAGCCTCCAGGTTTCAATGTTTCGATGGTTCCTCATCAGTTGCTGCGGGTGAATTACAAGACACCAAAGATTCGCAATCGTTGGCTATGCCGTAAGGTTCATGTGGACACACGATGGCACACGGCAGTGGATCATAACTCAAGAGCCAAAAAAAAACACGGATAGATGAAGCATGATGAACTTCAACGGTCGGTTATTTGTTGAAAAGCATCTTGTTGATTCTCTGGGTGTTCCATGCCCAGTGAGTTGTTGTTATTCCCATGACCCATTCGGAGGCGGTCACATGCAACTCTGCTGACGCAGTTGTTTCCAGTCAGCACGCCACGCCCAACAGAGGGAGATCACCTGCTGCGGGGGCAGCAGAAATCCGAGGTGTCAGAAGTCTTTCAGAACAATGAATTATTATAATTTACATTAATTTACTCAGATAAGAGATGATAAGAGTTTCATACTCCGTGTCAATCATGTGACAGTTGCGTAAATCATGATGAAATATACGTGGTGGCTCTTTTTGAGACGCCTTCATGGGAATCTGCAGACCGCCAGCGGGAGCAGAAGCAACGGCCCAGAAAAGTGCCGCGGTTCTTGAGCGCCCTGGCGATAGAGAATAGCTTGAGATGTCTTGAGTGAACATGAACATTGAATAACATCGAAATATATCGACATCCCATGATTTCCCTAGAAAAAAAAAACTGCCACTGAGGGGTTTTCAATTTGTTTTCCATATATCTACAATAACGTACTCATATGCACTCGAGGGTATCATAGATCCTGTGAAGAATTCAAGAAGTATCCAGTATGATACCTATGTTCCCTTGGTATTGGATACAGCAACCGATCTTCGGGTTGCCAATGATTGCCGACATTCAAAGGGAAATTTCACAATAGGATACACGTTCGCACGGGATGAGTATTAGGGTAATTTCAGACGAAAACACCGGTCATTTCACGACGGAAAATGACGGAACATGACGTACATAGCCGTGGAAAATGACGATGTTTAATGGGTAAATCATCTACTTGTTTGGGTCAGACTTCCAATTTTAGATTACACCCGAAGAGACCATGTCCTGGATTAGATCGCCGAGCTATGAATTGGAGAGTTCGACAAACTGGGGGCTTATTGGTTCTTGGTTGGGTATTGGGTTCATAAGTAAAGTAAGTCTGAGCAGAGTAACAACACCGAACATGGACCTGAAAATCCTTGATGAACATACTTGCTTTTGAGGTTTACTGTATTGGTCTGATATTTTCCAATCTGGTTTGAGCAAAACCCATGAGAATTTGGCTGGTGGTTTCCATTTGATCAAGACTTTGCAGTCCTATGTGACTACCATTTCCCAAATTTAAACTAGACCCTGAGAATCTGAGAATAGCTCATTTTTAATGGAGGAAACTAGTCTTCCAAGCTCTATTTGGCAAGGTCTATGGGTCTATGTCAGTTGGGGGATAGTATTACAATGTATTACATATATAACCAAGATTATAGAAGTTATATCCCAACTTATGCGGCTTCGAATACCATGGTTATATCCATTTATGGTGTCATGCTTTGAAACCACCAAGTTCCAGTGGACCAGTGCCAGTGCCCTGGGGCAAAAAAAGGATACTATGGGATAGCCAAAAACATCCAGCCGGTGTTGCAACTGGATGGCTGTTGAATAAATGTGTTACCCTCTGGTAAATAAACAGTTTGACCCTGATTTTATCACCCATTTTTAATGGAAACTAGTCAACTAAAGCCCGATGACTGCCAGGGTCGAACTGTTAATTTACCAGAGGGTATGTTCACAGAAAAAAAGCACCCAGAATCTGAAAATCTCTGTTTTGTTCGTAAGAAACCACATTTTTGGAAGAGCAAATACGTTTCCTGCGTAGTAACTCCAAAAAAATAGACATTGAATGAAATTGATAAAGAGAAACTGATATCCTACTAAAATAGGTAGATCACTATATAATCTATTTTCTATGTTTGGGTCGTACTGCATGTGTTTTTTTGAACCAATCCATTGAACATCCTATGGCACTTTTCCCGAAGCCAGGCGCGAAGCATTGCTGGCGCTGAAAGCGCGTGCGGACGAGAAGGTGGCACCTTTTGTTTGGTGAACCACCTGGCTTCTAGATGATCAACTTGAGGATACTTGAGGTATGTTTGAATCGATGAAGGTATTGTTTTCTAAGTTTTAAGACAAACTCATCTTGCAGCAAGCTTGCACAGACACCAAAAAGGATCGGACGAACTAATTTCCTGTCCTCACTTGGATGTCACCTTTCGTAAATGATGGTTGCATTATGTTGGATTGCATATATGCCCGATATAGGGCAAAAACAACATGCCCGATAAAGATTCATGTTTTTTTAGAGAAACCACCCCAAAATGCTGATTTACAGTAACCAACCCAAAATGGGCGATGTTTTTTTCTATGAAGAAGCAACTTGTTGTTGTGGTTGAATTCGATCGTGTTAAATCAGTAAAGTATGATTTTGTCTGAGAAAACGATCAAATTTAACTGCTTGCTTACTGATTCAGTGTTTGTTTTTCGTTGTTTGGGAGGTCATGATGCCATTGTTTGTGTTGGTTTTTATGCTTGGAGCTAAGCTTGGACCCACGGCAACTATACAGTCCACCCCTTGTGGACTGTGTTGTGTTTTTGTGCGTTGGTTTCGGGTACCTCTGGTGATTTCACAGTAAATCATGGAACAAAATTTGCGCCATTTTCCAATATTTCCCTTAGCTCTGTGGTGATATTCTGAAGATCCTATGAGGGTTGGGCGTCTAAATATTTCCCCATCAGCACCGGTACCAGCAGCTACAGGCCCAAAGTAATGCTGATCTGGAGCCCTTGCTCAAGCGCTTGAGCTACTCGGCTGGGATTTTGCCTCCAAACTCAGAGGAAAATCCCTGAAGGCAAGGTAGATGGTCCACAAGAATGGTGGCTATGGTGGCTGTCCATATTTATTTTATTTTGTTGGAGGCTAATTAAATCTAATTACTATATGTGTGTATATATCCATTTATATATGTTACTTTGTTGGAGAGTAATTCGCATGTGTGTTGATAAGTTCAATAGACTCATGGCTTATGGATGCTTATGGCTTTGCGGCCAAAGACACATGATGATACATGATGTACATATGGATAATTAATGACTATGGAAAACGGTTGACTGCTTAGGGTTTACCATGGCTTACAGCATCTGAGGTTCTGCCATGGTCGGTGCTGTCTCTGGTGCCAAGCTCAGAGACACAGAAAATGGGTTATAAATGGGTACCCCATTGGCCCATTTAAAGACTAAACCCATTTCATGGTGTCAGACTGTCTATGTCACTAGTGTATCCTCGCTTCGAGTTGGAGTATATGAGCCAAGGGTCCGGGACAATTTGAACTTGTTGGCCGCTTCAGGTAGGAACAGCTAGGAAAAAATGCAGCCGCTAGGATTAGATTGAGCCCCACAGATATTCCAAATATGTGCAATGGTCATAAAATGGATTAGATATCCATATTTAGGGGATGGTCATCAATCCATGAATAGGTATTTATATATCCATCATGTTTGGATTCCCATCATGGGATGGATGCCAACCCCATTCTTCTCGGCCACCTTAGGAGCTGTCCATGCCTGATTCTCCGTTGTATTTGTTTAAAGTGCCTCCACTAAACATGAACCACACACGTCGCGCAACAAATAGGAACTCGTCTATACAGTATACTATGTACAGTACATGTATATATATATATGTATATATATATGCACATGTATGTATATGTATCATGTATATGTATATCAATAGATATATAGTAATATATTAATCAGATTAATCATATACATATTATACAATATATATATACAATGAAAACTGTATGTATATATATATATATATAGAATTACATATATATATATATATACACATGTATAGATTGATTACTATGACTATCCCAGCACCAGGAATCATGGATTGCTGCATCGCACATTGCAGCATCTCAGGTGTTGAGGGCTCCAGCCTGGGTTCAACTTCCCCAAGGTGCAATGGTTTGCGATTTTGGGAGTGAACTCGGCGGATTTTTTCTGCTGGAAACGCCTCACATTTGACGGCTGGGGGTGTCTCAAACTTTAGCCCAGACACCACAAGAAACATGGAACACTCATGGAATCGCATGCCTGGAAATAGGGGAATTACACGAATTACACAGCCATTACACCCTAAAAAATCCCTGGTTGATCCATCGGACATGGTTTCTCATCATTGTTCCTCAAATTTTGACAGCAAACAGGGCTGGAAAATCCCCCAGTGGAGGGTCTGCAGGTGGCGACAGTTGGGTTTCCAGTCCAGTGACCCTCGCACTGATCTGCGCACCGGTATTTTGGCGCCGCTCGGTATTTTGCTGCGAAGATTGGAATTGGATTTCTGGGATTGCTGGGTCCATTTCTGGGATTTCCAGCAGGATTTGATGCTGGATTTTCATGGATTTCATGCTGAAAATTGGGATTTCCATGGATTTCATGCAGGATTTATACCACTGAAACCTGGATTTCACCATGAAACTCTGGTGTCTGAAGACCCATGGGACCCCATGAGATCGATCGTGGCATGACCTCAGTAGATCTGAGGTTAGATTGCCTGGTCTACATGGCGGAAAAGTGCGCCGAGCTGATCTGAGTTCTGGCATCTGAAGTGGCCTATTTTCAGACCCAAGTCACCCTGGTTTCAGCTAAAAAGTGTTGGTGAATGTTGGTGAGAAATATCTGGTTATATATATATAATATCCCTTTACGGTTATTATATCAACGATATGTCTGATATGTCCCAGGCATTATTTTTTCTCCCATCAGTTTTTCCATGTTTTTCCCATAAAATCCCACTGGATCCCATTACAGCCCAATCAATTCCTATAAATTTCCCATTGATTATCCCATCGGATCCCATAAATCCGGATTTTTGTTATGATATTGTGTAAATCCCTATAAAAAACCCTTATTTGTGATAGTAATATGGAGGTTTCTTGTAATATGGGTACCTGTACCCCTAAATCATCCATTTTTATAGGCTTCCATATAAACCAGCCGTTTGGGGATCCCTCATTTATGGAAACCCCCATATCCCTATGGAATTCCATTAAAATTCCTATGTTTCACAATAAAGTCACTATATACTCACTCCCTATTTTTGCGGGTAACATCCGTATGAAATCCCCACGACATCTTTGGGCCTCAGGTATCCCCTGGCCACCAGCCAAATGATTCGAGAGGCGGCTCAGCAAACATGGGGATTTGATGGGGAAAAATGGAGATTTTATGGGAGGGTATGATGAACAATTGCACCCTTTAAGGGATTTAATAGGATTCTAGCAACATGGAGCCATAAAGTTGGGCTGGGAAATTTGGAGGAAACATCGTTGAATAAACATCTCGGAACAACTTTTCCATTTTTTTTCTGGACCCCCTGTACCCCCTATACGGACATTTTGCAGGATGTTGATGACATAGGGGTCCTGACAAAGAGATAACTGTCAATGCACATGACATTGACAGTGTTTTTTGCCAGGATGTTCTAGATGATATTTCTTTCCCTCGTAATTTCAGGGTTCCCGAATGTTCTATCAATTTGGGGCTGTCCCATGATGATACATCATTTGACCCAGGTCTTCCGCCACTGGTGGATGAGATTCCCATATTGAATCCTTCGACAAAAATACCCCCCCCCAACTATTCCCAGACTTGGTAACGAAGGGGCACATTGTGTGAACATGGACAGCAAACATCAGCAAACCACGGGGATTGCAATGATTTTTGTCATTTCTGACAGAAGACCAAGCCATGAAATCAAGGGGGCTTCCCTCAATGGTGTTTGAGGATGATGCTCACATTCATTCATGGGTGGATTTGATTTATCACTGATTATCAGTGATTTATGGCTATGGATGATTCAGATCCAAAGTAACTAGCCTATTTTCTACAGGATAGAGAGGGGATGTTGGTCTTTTCGGTAGTTTTCAGTTCAAAAGATAGCAATCACAATCACATGTTGCATCCCCAAGCCCTCCAGTAACTTAACGATATGAAAAACCCGCCCCAAATAGATCCAGTTTTCCTGTCCAAGTCATTTGGTAATTTACATGTAATTTACCAGGTGGCATTGGAAGGGCAAACCCATTTTTCCCCCACACTAACTATAGTTGGATAGTGTTTGACACATCTACCATACTTCCTAGGTCCTAGGTAAAAAGTTTTAGAAACCAACAAGAACCCCACATATATAATTATAATAATTCATGTTTTTTCCCCTTCTTCCGTGAGATTTTCGGTAAAGCCCCGAGATTGTGCCAGCGAACTCTCCAGGTCCAATCTGCCCGCGCCCCGCGAGGCCCAAAGTAATGGCATCGATTATCCTTTCGCAGTGGCCAGCATCAACGTGACGCAGCACTTGGCCCGGTGCCAGCGAAAACTGGGAGATCACCAGAGATGGAGAACCAACGGCGCAACGGTTAGACAACACGGAAAGGGTGGTCGTTGGGTACATATGAAATGAGTAACCCAAAAAAGGATAGGATTTGAAGTCAAATCCTGTGAGATCCTAACTTTTTAGTGGTGGTAAATAATGTGTTCCTAGTATTGTTTTGGGTCACTGTACTATAGTTATTAACGGTGAAGTAGTGAAGTGGTGAAGTAGGCAACTGGACATAGATTCATATTGAGACTTCATGGTTTGGTTTCCCCAGGAAATGATCTTTACGTGATGGAATTCCATGGAATTCCATATCACCAATCATCAATATAAATCATCAGTTTTGTCAGTGCGAACACTGGCCGCCCCCTTGCTGTGATTCCATATTATATATAATATTATAATATTATTATTATCATTATTATTTATTATTATTGGTTACTGGAGGGTAATTAGAACTATGTAACAAACACGACCTGAATGCATATGTTTGAAGTGTTTAGAATGTTCTTTCAATGCTTTGCATGATTTTGAGCAGGTAAACAATTGCGAAAAGATTAGGAACAAGGTACTGTAAAAGTTAAGTTTTTCAGAGATGTACCCGTACCACCCAAGCATTCTCTTGTTGTTCTAGGTTTTCCCTTGGGCATTTTTCGCATGATCACTTGCTTCGGACCTTCGGAGTCCCGGACCCGCCCACGGAACAGGTGACACGTTTGTTGGCGCGAAAAAGGGTGATATGTGGTGATGTGATCATCAAAACCACTATTAAACATCCCAAGTTCAACATGTTGGTGTGTGATAAAGGTCAACCAAAGACATTGGAATATCAGGGTTTATGAAATTTGGTGTACTCCTGGCAATGGGATGATAATTACTGGGACGACCCCCACATGGTTAAGTACTGGGATGGCTTATGGTATGGTGTAATTACCACTTTCCCCCAGGTTTGGTCGCCATACCCAAGAGTTGTCCTTCATCGTCGACCTACAATGTGGCCCCAGGAACAGTTATAAGATTTCGTTGATGACCCCTCACTAATTATATCAGATATCCCGAACAGTTATAAGATTTGGTTGATGACCCCTCATGAACTATATCCCCAATAAACCCTGGTAAAGCAAATTATAAACCAACTGAGCTATCTAGTGTGCGTCGCCTTGAAGGTACTTTCACTTAGTCAAGGACGCCTTTGGTTGTCGCTTGGCACATTTTTTTCGAAGTATTACTGGGCCAGGAATGTGAAGAGCAACACGCAGTGGCAAATCTTGATGAATGGCTTAGGAATTGGAGTGTTGTGAGGATGGGAAAATAATGATTAATCAATGATGGTGAATCAATGATAATAATGGATATTTAATCGTTTTTTTACCCTCTGGAAATCAAACATTGCAATGAAAAATCCCGCATTTATAAACGATTTGATCACTTCCCAGCTACCAGTCAGCCACCTCCATTGATGGGGGGTTTTCCAGCCAGCCACCAGTCGATAGCCACTGGCTTGCGCTGTCCTTATAGTGGGATAGATTCCAGTTCCTGAAAAGTTACCCTTGGGTAGTATAAGTATAATGTGGCAACTAAACATGTGTTCATATTCATATTCCTCTATATATGCCGATGATGAAACATGTCGATATCCGATTGGCAGGCTAGACTATTGTGGAATACTGGTGCACTAGATGGATGATAAATGGGTTACAATCCCCAAAAACAGTGTGTTGAATCAGGATACATGTGGACATCTGACGTCAGCGTCATTTGAGCAGTTTAAGCATGCCAAATGGTTGATGACTTATCGATCTTATTACCCTTCGTCAACCATTCACCAACCAGTTTTTGATAGATGTTCCAAAAGGCTTTGCAGGAATGGGGTACACCGCGTCACTCTAAATTGACAATATGTATGTGCATGTATGTGCATATATATATATATAAATGCGCACCAACAGGGTTAATATATAGTTATTAATTACAATATACATACGTATATATATATATATATATATATCATATTGAGACCAGCCCAGGCCCGATGGATCCTGCGTCCCCCCGCGCTGTCCATCGCTTTGCTGGGTGGGTAGCCTCAGATGTTGCCGAGGGACTCAGCCTTGGATGAATATTTTCAGATGATTTTATATATACTGTATTATATATATTCACATATAAACAATCTAGCGTTTTTTTATTTTTTTATGGATAGTACTGTAGTACTTTATTCTTATGCCGTACTTTAGTGCTTTACATTTATGGATTAATGTTTTTTTTTAATAATGTTGTTTGCTATAAATGGGGATATATACCAATCAGCAGGGTATGACCGACTGTCCATGAACATGTTCAATGACATCGCCGAAGATGGGAAGTACACACCAAAGATTTGAATTGTTGAAGCATCAACCTGCTCCGGCTGGGTCGTTTCATTGATGGAATTTATGTGGACAGCCCATGATGGAACCCCTCATTCCCCTACTTCTCCGATAAGAGCCCCGAAAAGGCCCTAAGAGTTTACGGGAAGCTTATGGGAATAGGCGTAACATCATTGGGAGTCTATAAATTCCAAGGTTTTATTTCTTTGCTTTGCCCTCTGGTAAACATTTACATAACTATGGAAAATCACCATTTTTAATGGGTAAATCAACTATTTCAATGGCCATGTTCGCAATACCTGGGAGGATGAGACGGGAGGATTCGTTCTTGTCAGAGCTCAATCCACCAACCCGTCAACACTTGGGATTCAACTGCTTGTACCCTCTGGGAATCTAGATTGACAATGGGAAAAAACATGCACTTCAGTAGATAGTAGGTAATTGATTGCCTGTTTTTTTGCCGATTTTCCACTTCACTCTTGGTCTACAAGACGGTATTTTTTTTGAGTCAGCCTTCGTTTGTAGCATGTTGGAACAGTGTCAAACTGCAAATTATCCATATCATATATAATAGTTTTTAATTGAATATTCAACTGTAGTAGCTCTGGATTGGTTTATTTATTGGCTCAGAGAATCACAACGTGAGACTATGGAAAATACAGTGTGGCCTTGGTTCAACTCCTGGTATACCCTCTGGTAAACTAACATAGCTATTGAACATGGCCATTTATAGTGGATATTCCCATTAAAAATGGTGATTTTCCATAGTTATGTTAGTTTACCAGAGGGTATATTGATCTCTCTAGTCGTCCCCAATTGCTGATGACCCATCGCTATTCTGCCCGGATTGTCGCAGGCTTTTGCACAGGCTGGAGATTGACCGTGAATTCATGACTGGAGACCTCAGTTTTTTCAGAAAATGGTCAAGTGGAGACCTTTAGGAAGATCCAATCGTCTTGTCATCACTAGAAATATTCAGAGCTTTTGGCCAGGGTCCCACAGGTGATTTCCCTATGATTCCTTTTTTTGTATTGTAGGAGTTGATCAATGTTTTGCTGCCTGCTGAGACGACTCTCAACAAAACACGACATATTGACACCCTCCAATGATGGGTGTCAATTGTTTCGATATGTCCAGCTGTTTTGTTGTTTGTTCAGGATACCGTCTATTCATTCTGGGCAAGGATATTTTGTCAGGTGGAACTATATTCTGCACAATGTTTGAACCATCGGAGCGTGCTGGACAGCGCATATGTTCAAGTGTTGATTTCAAGTTGCTGGGTCCAGGGAAAGTGTGTATCCAGGAAGTCAGGAAGCCATTATGTGTTTGTTTCTCGGAATTATAAGGGTGTCAATATTGGTTGTCTTCACTTTTTTTCACCAGAAAATTGGGAGAGAAACTCCGAAACTCGTTCTCGACTGAGGCAACTTTTTTCCCCACCTGCCAGGTGAGGGTTGTTAGATTTTATGTCAGTTGCCTCCTCCTGCCTTCTGCCTCCTGCCTCGTCCTCCTCCTCCTCCTCCTCCTCTCCTCCTCTCCTCCTCGTCCTCCTCGTCCTCCTTGTCATCCTTGTCGTCCTTGTCGTTCGTCGTCCTCGTCGTCCTCGTCGTCCTCGTCGTCCTCGTCCAACTGCGACCCGCGATCCACAGTGTTCTCTGCCGGACCTCAACCACGACCATCACCGCCCAGTGTTCCCTGCCGGACCTCAACCACGACCATCCACGCCCAGTGTTCCCTGCCGGACCTCAACCACGACCATCCACGCCCAGTGTTCCCTGCCGGACCTCAACCGCGAGTATCCACGCCAAGTGTTCCCTGCCGGACCTCATGTAGGAAGATAAAATGTCAGATAGAGTGCCAGAAGATTTGCCAGGTAGAATGCCAGAAAATATGCCAGAAGATATGCCAGATAGATATGCCAGAAGATATGCCAGAAGATATGCCAGATAGAATGCCAGATAGAATGCCAGATAGAATGCCAGAAGATATGTCAGAAGATATGCCAGAAGATATGCCAGATAGAATGCCAGATAGAATGCCAGAAGATATGTCAGATAGAATGCCAGAAGATATGCCAGATAGAATGCCAGAAGAATGCGAGATAGAATGCCAGAAGATATGCCAGAAGATATGCCAGAAGATATGCCAGATAGAATGCCAAATAGAATGTCAGAAGATATGTCAGATAGAATGCCAGAAGATGTGCCAGTAAGAACATGTATAAATGTCATGGTGGGGATCACACGAAGTAAAGTATTTTTTTTTCGACTCTGAGCCTGAGCCACTGGCACTCCATTGTTGTTAGCTCTTTGTATCTACAGTATATATATATACATATATGATCATATATGGATACATATTATATACACATACATTATATATATAGAGAGATATTTATATGGTGGTTTCCGAAGCCATGGGGGTACCCCAATGCCGCTGGATGCTTATGGCATGTTATGGATGGTAAAAAAAATCTGGATCCCCAAATATCAACGGCCTCGCAAGGCTTGGTGGTGAAGCCATTGAGCCACGGGGCACAGATGGACCGATGGACCCGGCTGGACCTTGGGACCTTGGTGATGTTTGTCGGTGGAATTTTGCAGATGATTCACACGGAAAAACATCACAAGAAACACTCCAGATCGGAGGTTGGTGGGATTGGTTATGATCGCAGACTTTTACGCCTTCGAGATGACCAACTGCAGTCAAGTCAGCCAAGTACGGATTTCGGCACCCAATAAAGTCATTAAAGTTGAAGTGAAATGTGGGATCAGTTTGGGACACAACTACTTCATCCAGGAGTAGATAAGATAGGGAAATTACATGAAATTACCAAAAATAACATGTTCACGATTTTTTTCGTTTGAAAGTTCAATGTTTATAATGTTATATGTACTTCAGGATGATATGATGATATTCAGTGAATCATCGACTTTCCGGCTGAGCCGCCCACTTCGGGAAGTCGATGAGGCCATTCTGCGAGCTTCACGCAGCTGTCGGGGATGCCAAGATCACCATGAGCGCCAGCGATCAGCGACGCCAACGGAATGCAGCGAAATGGCCCTGGTTTGCAACCGGGCTCAGAGTCGACATAATACATATATACATATATACATATATACATATATATATATACATATATATATATATACATATGATATATATACATACATACACATATATATATATATACATAATATATATACATACATATATATATACATAATACTTATATATACATACATATACATATATAAATATATATATATGTACATACATATATATATATATATACATATATATATATATATACATATATATATACATATATATATATATATATACATATATATATATATACATACATATATACATATCCATATACATATATATATATACACATATTATATAATGATATTATATATGTTATTGTATAATTTTAATATTATATATATATGTCTGGAAACATATGTAATATGTACTGTTTTTTTAACTATGATAATGATTCCAGATATTCCAGCTAGGGCGGAGTGGGTCAAACCCCTAAGATCTCCTAAGTTATTCCTTGTTGTGATCTGAATTTTGTTTTGTGTCCTCCTTTTTTTGTTGACAAAATGTTTTTAGAGACTCACACAAAGCAGATGGATGCTAAGAGGATACGAATTGAAGGCCACCTTGTTCCCATCATGTTTTTTTTTTCGTGCTGTGTGTGTGATATCCTTCAGAAAGGGATCATGTTTTGCGGCCATTAACGGCAAGTCTGAAAGCCGCTGGATTTTTGTTGGGTAGTGTACCATTGTTTTACTGTAGTTTTCAGAGGTATTTAAAGACACAAAAGACGTAGAGTTTCAGGGTTCAGGGGCTTGAGTTTCAAGGATTGGTGTCCAACACAATGAATCCTTAAAGTGGTTGGAAGACCAGCACGCGGTAGTTTCCAAATGGCAGATGTGGCAGATATATGAAAAAGGCTATTTCATTTGTGGGACATGTGTGGTGCCCCAAAAGAATCATTGAAAGATGGTATGTCCCCAGGTTTGAGATCCTGAAATCATCTGAAATCTCGATGAAGGTTTTGGGAGTTTGGCCGGAACATGCTTTGCTCCATCTAAAGGTGTCATCAGCGATTTGTGGGGTACCCAATTGACCGTAAATGGGTCAGGATGTTTCGACTTCCAAATACTTCGAAGCATCACTAGGATCCATTGTCAGCGATTTGTACAGTACTATATAAGTATTCAAAATATTTCAAAATGGGGTACCCAGGAGTAACCCGTCCTGGAAACAGCACATTTTGATGGGGGAAACTGATGAGAATCCCTTGCCTTCAGGGCTTTTTGCGGAGTACACCCATTTTGACTTTTTTGATCATCCCGAATCCCAACATACAAAAACCAGCTGTTCAAAATCCACTGTAGTTCTGCCCGTTTCTACATTTACTCGTGGAATCTTAACAAAAATGCTATTCCTTAAAATTCACCGATTCATATGTGTAGATGTCGGATGGCCTTGAGATTTCGAAGCTCATTTCATCCCAAGGCCTATCAGTTCCCCACGGGCGAATCGCCATAGAATGAGCCTCATATGGATTGTCTAAACCTAGGCTACCCTAAATCCACTGGTGGGTGATGGTGGGTGAATCATCATTTTCCCCAGTCAAACACTTTGTTTGAGGGGATACGGGATACCCAATGTTCAGCCAAGCAATGACAAACCCACATACCAGCACCAAGGCTACAATTGCTGATGCATTCGTTGTCTTGCACCAACACCCTCTGCTTCGCACACAGGAAATGCGTAGCGATTGCTTGGCTGAAAGGCTGTCAGACCCTTGTGTTCTGAGTCGTTCTTAGCTGGGAACACCAACGGGGTCAATCACGGCGCGTTTTGCCAGATTCTACGTTACGGATGCACCGGATGCAACCGACGCGACCCGGCGCCCAGCCACATGCCTTGCTTGGAACTGGCGGATTGTGTATGCTGCCAGCGGGTGAAGCCGGCACCGTCGCTCAGGTGATGACTCGCCCGTGCCCTAGCACATGCCTTGCTTGCACACAAAACGCGCATCCACATTGCTTAGGCCTTGCAAAGCAACATAAGGTCAATCATTTAATGTGGGAGCACCTAGGACCTCGGGCCTTGATAAGACAAGACTTTCTTGCTGAACAACGTTCCTCAATCATCCGCAGACGTTTTCATGGCCACCTGCAGGTCTTCATTGCAACTGGCGGCGGCGGAAGCAAGAAGAGCCGCAAATCACAGCTCGGCCGCGCAGGGGAACTCCGGACAGCGTCAGGGACTAGCACCTGCAGTAAAAAGATCTTCGTGGTTAATTATTTGCACCGGTTGTTACCAGGGCTATTCCAAAGCCACGTGCAGCATAGGCTCATTTGAAAAGCAAACACATTAAATATGTGTTGGATTCTGCGTGCAGGCTAAGAACAGAAGGCGTTTTGTTTCTTTTTGGGAATATGTTCTTTTTTTTGCTTCCGTGCCCGGTGGAACCACAAGTTGCTTTGTTTCCGCCTCCAATGGTGTTCGTGGTGTGTACAGCGCATCAAACATTAGACTGATGCACAACCAACATCACCAGTGAATCATGGTCAATCCTAGCGATACTTGTCGTATGTGTGGTCAGACAGGCTTGAAACATGAAACGTAAGCAGTGGCAGTGAAACCAGGTATAGGTTTGTTTGGACTGTGGCAATATTGTTTGAGAATATCAGAAAAGGCGCAACTTGTTTCTGTCCATACACCACATACGGTAGCGTTGTTTAATTTTCATGCAATACAGATGCTGTGAATTTGCGCCGGGTTGCGTGGTTTAATTCTCCGGCATTGTGGGACGTCCGCCATCCGCCATGTGGTTGAAGGTTATGCATTTTTCACCAGTTCTGGACGAAACATTGAAAATTTCGCGCAGGCTCGGGTGGAGGGGCAAGCGGGTTCTCTGCAGGGGTTTTGCAAGTTTGTGCTGGTATGAAAATAACTTATCCGGAAAAATGAACATGGCAGGCGGGTTTGCCGTTGCAGCGTTTGCACTCCTCCTAGTCGCTGTAAATCAAAAATGCATTTGCTTACTACAATTAGATGAAACCCCCCATGTGAAGGGAAAAGCGTACGGTGCACATGTTTTGGCAGAGCCCAGTTTTTGGACGTTGCGTCGTACTGCCACTGAAACTCATTGTAGCAGTGTGTTTCCATGCAAACAATGCCAAATCAAACCGATTACGTTTTTCGGCATGTTTGCCATGCTTTTGATTGTGTAATTATTTCCACGCCGGTTATATCCATGTATATTGTTGGTTGGTGGATGTTGGTGGTTTCAATTCTTCATTTCTTGCGACCACCATTTTTGAATCTATTCGTTTCACAATTATATTCCTCAGGGATTGAAACTATACTGGTGCATGAAACTACCAAGTAACATTGAGTTTTTAATCAATGTTCATACTCGCTTTACCCTGATATTATATAAATACCTTCCAGGCCCCCCAGTACAGTAGTGGGAAATAATAATAAACGGTTTGCCGGAAAATCAAATATCCAGCATCATCTGGAGCTGATGAAAATTGCCATTTGGGGGGGGGGGTATACCGTTTTCCCGACACCCAAATCATGGATTCAAGTTTTTTGTTCCCCACCTGCCAGGCCAAGGTCTCTAAATTTATCAGAGTTACTTTTCCATCCTTCTTCACCTGCGAGCTCCAGATCTCAAAATGTGCACAGCCGGATTAAATTACAAGCTCCAGATCTCACTCAGTTGGCACTGCAGACCTCAACCGCGAGCTCCAGATCTCAGTGGGCACTGACTTCAACCGCGAGCTCGATCTCAGTGGGCACTGCCGGACCCCAACCGCCAAGGCGGTCCCCAACCGCGAGCTCCAGATGTGAGTGGCACCGCGAGCTCCAGATCTCGGCGGCTGGATCCCAGTGGGCACTGCCGGACCGCGAGCTCCAGATGTCAGTGGGCCTTGCCGGACCCCACTGCCGGACCGCTAGCGCCACTGCCCACTGAGCTGTGGCGCTCGCGGTTGAGGTCGGCAGTGCCCATGTCAGAGAATGCCATCAGAAAGAATGTGGGACTAGATGCCAGATACAATGCCAGAAAGAATGTCAGAGTATATGCGGGAAAGAATGTCAGATAGAATGTCAGAATAAGAATATATATATATATATAATATATATATATATGCCATAAATACTTCCAGATGATATGTCAGAAACTATGTCAGAATAGCGTGCGAGGGTGTCAAGCACTCGAAGAAAGTAATGTTTTGTCGGATTTTGCATCGCGTTTGTCGTGAGGTTCTGCGAATCAGCGCGAATGCTCAATTCGTTCCCTGGTTCAAATTCGATCGAGGAGGGTGGAAACGGAGGAGTCTGCTTGTCAAGGGAAGACACCAGCAGGAAAACATTAGGGTTTCCACACGATGAGGGATCCCCAAAATGGTTGGTTTATAATGGAAAATCATGAATGTAAAGTTGTGATGAATAAACCGCCCCCCGGAAGGTAAGTACCTAGGGAGAAGCTTCTGCCACGGTTCTCCCTCCAAATAAACGTCCTCCTAAGTTGAAACCCTAAGAGATCAACTGCGAACCCCTATCAACCTACCTTCAATGATTTTCCTTTTACAAGAAAAGGAAATTTCAAGATTAGTAAGGATTTCAATATATATATATATACTTTCAAACGATTTTCCTTTTAATCCTAGAAGAAATCTAAAAATTAGTAAGGGTTTCAATTTTTATCAACCTACCTTCAATCGATTCTTCTTTTAAAACAAAGGAAATCTCAAGATTAGTAAGGATTTCAATTGATATCAATGTACTTTCACTTGAATTTTCCTTTTAAAACCGATATAAGGAATCTTAAGATTAGGCAGGGTTTCAATTGATATCAAGCAAGTTCGATTGCTTTTCCTTTTCAACCAAGAAAATCTAAAGGAGCCAAGGGGGTTGATTAATTAGCAGGGGGGAACCCTGCCTATTTGGAGTGCACATGGGCTCACGGGGGTACCTTTGTGAGCTTCTCAAAGTGATGTTTTTTTGAAAGATTTCGCTAAGAAATCAATCATTTGGGAAACCTTTGTTTTTTTCGCGAAATTTAGCCCAAAAAATGGATTGAACCAAGGCTGCAAACTGAGCTTGTGACTGCAAAGTCACAAGCCTGTGACTGCAAAGTCACAAAAAGGCTGGTGCCAATGCAACAAAGTAAGTATGGTTGTAGTCTGAGCCTGATGGGGGAATCTGTGTCAGAGGTTTGTCAGAGTCAAAACTATGTGAGACTTGAAAGGAGTGGTGTTCAAAACATGTGACAAAAACAAAAAAAACCCTGTGGGATTGATGAATCGGGTGATTTCCCCCCTTGATTCATCAAGGGGGACCAGCCCATTTTAGTATTGCCCAAACATGTTTCTTGTGTTGGGGCTGATTAACCCTTAGGCATTTTATAATCACAACTACGCAGTAAAGTTGATGATTTAGGGGTACCACCCATTTAGGAAACTTCCATATGGGTGTGTCTGAAAATTGTTGATTTAACTGGGGGTTAACCATAAATAACGGTTAACGCTAGGGTTTTAAAGGAGTTTAGTTAGTAAAAACGAGATTTTCGACCAACCATATTTGTGCGTGTGTGTGTGTCTGAAAATGTCATTTGATGGGGAAAGCATGGAAAACAATGAGAATCTGTTGGCAATTTCATACGTTTTGTTAAGGAAATGTGTTTATGATGTGCATACCATGTTTACGATCCCAATACAATCTTTTGACATAGGGGGGCAGGAGCGAACGAAGAAAAAACGCAACAGTCAATTTTAATCTATGATATTCGTTTTACCATACTCTTCCATGTGCAGATTATGTGCCTATTAAAGGCCCCTTTAAAAAATCTATCGTTGGAAGGTAGATTGTTTGCATTGTTTTGCACAAATTCATTTGTTGGCAGGAACTCATGCAGGGTTGGTTCCAGCACAGTTAGGACATGTTTGCGCTATTTGGACGATCATCCACTTTGTGCTGTGAACTTGCTTGGCAAGCCTTAAGTTGGCTGAAGAACCTTAATACATACCATTAAAATATACATACATATGTATTTACATATACACCATATATATAACTATAATCATAATAATAGTAGTCAGAATAAAAACAAGAATGTATATTTTCATGTACATATATTAACATGGGTTGTAGCATGCTACATTTTGATGAACCTGCTGTTCTCAAGTCGGATGGTCCTCCTTAAGGGTGTGCAGCTCGGTGCTAAGGTCAGAATTTCGGTCGTTAGTGAATGAGACGGAGGCCATTGGGGACCCCTGAACTTAAGGTGCTATATAAGAAAAATGCAGAAAAATCATCAAGTGGTAAACCCAGGTAAACTCAATTGTTTGTAAACCATCCCCAGAATATGGCCATAAATGGAAACGGCCTCGCTTGTGCCTGTAGATTTGTCTCGTTGATTTATGACCTTTTTCTTGTATATAGTACCCAGTGCCCCCGCAAAAATAGATAGAAACTGATATAAAAGCACTCTATTCACTATCAGTATCACTAGTTTAGATTATTGGAGTAGGACTTCACTTTTGTATCTTTGGAAGCGGATTGCTATCCCCACGTCGGATGCCCTTTTTGTTGGTCCTCCTGTGGATCAGGTGGCTCCAGTCTTGACACCGCCGGTGTTGACAACATCTCTGAGACCCGATGAGGCCTCCACATCTCGCGTGCAAAAAGTTGATGTCCAATGCCATCCATTGTGCTGACAAGTCATGATTCTAACCTTATTATTTCTTTTGCAAGGTTCAATCAGTCCAACCATCCGTAGCATGGCATCCGATATTTTTGTTTAGTGAATTCCTTTTTTGCCAGGGTTAATTTGTAAGTTGAGAACTAGGTTAAAGTACCATGGGTCGCAGAAATCACAATTTCGACAACATAATTGAGGAGATGAGCCAAAGAAACCACTTATTCCATACAAATACATACGGTAACTACAGTGATGTATTTTGCAGTTTTTTGACGTTGATCTGCAAATTGTTTATGCATGTAATGTGTTCTTACTGCAATGACATGGAGTCTCCTTTGAAACCTGTTTCTGAAATTCAATTTCGTGGGCAACCCTCCATGTATAGATGATGTTTCCACATGCAATGAGTGTTGACAAATGCTTCATTGATGCAGATGCAAGAATGATTATACATGCAGTCTATTTACACACTGAAAGATAGAAAAGATGGACTAGATTAGTTTAGTTTAGTTTAGATAGATAGATAGAATCAGAAATAGAGAGATAGAATCAGAAATAGAAAGAAAGAAAGAAAGATAGATAGATAGGTAGAAAGATAGATAAGATTAGATCAGATTAGATTAGATTGAAAGATTGGTAGATTGATTGTTTGATAGATTGATAGATTGATAAATGGATAAATAGATAGATGGATGGATAGATAGATAAATAGACCGATAGATAGATAGATAGACAGAAAGATAGATAGACAAACAGGCAGATAGATAGACCGACAGATAGATAGAGAGGCAGATAGATAGACAGACAGATAGACAGACAGACAGATAGATAGAGACAGATAGATAAATATATGATACATAGAATAGAAAGATTTTTTGTTTGATATACATTGAGATAGATTGATGTACAAATCGATAAGATAGATAGATAGATAAATAGAAAGATAGATAGATAGATAGACAGAAATATAGATAGATAGATAGAAATATAGATAGATAGATAGATAGATTGATTGATTGATTGATAGATTAGATAGGTAGATTAGATAGACAGATTAGATCAATATACAGATAGATAAGATAGATAGATAGGTAGATAGATAGATGGATGGATGGATAGATAGATAGATGGATAGATAGATGGACTAGATGGATAGACGGGTAGATGGATTGACAGATAGAGGGACAGATGTATAGATGAATAGATGGAAAGATTGATAGATGGATAGGTGGATACATTTGTAGGTCGGTAGATGGACTAGATGGATAGACGGGTAGATGGATACATGGATAGAAGGATAGATGGGTAATTGGATAGACGGATAGATGGAAAGATGGAAAGATGGATAGATGGACAGATGGAAAGATGGATAGATGGATAGATGGATAGATGGGCAGATGGACAGATGGACAGATGGATGGATAGATAGATAGATAAATAGATAGGTAGATAGAGAGATGGATAGATGGGTAGATGGACTAGATGGATAGACGGATAAACGGATAGATGGATAGATGGATAGATAGATAGATTGATCGATCGATAAATAGAGAGATAGATAGAGATATATATATATATAGATGGATAAATGGCTTGAAAGAAAGATTTACATTTATAAGTACAATGTATATATTCATGAGTTTCCTCGTAATTATACTTTCACTATTCTACCAACAATATCTTAATCATACATAGACATGACATATACGTATATATATATTATCCATATATCCTGTAGATTATCCGCAGAATATCTTTGTATATAACCCAAACATAGTCCTTATACAGTTCATTCGTTTACAGCCTTTGAGCTGCATATACCATTGGATTATATTTAATCATTTATACATATATCATATATACATATATTCCTATGTCCCTATGATATCTCCGCTTCGTATCTCAATGATACCAATAAATAATCCACGTAAATATCACAGTATAGCACATAATTATCATGATATCCCTATAATTTTATGATCTCTCCATTAATTCCTATGATATCCATGAATTCCCAACCAAAACATCAAAGTTTCCCCATTGAAAAGGGGGCCCCTTCCAGGAGTCCAAGATCACGGAGTCGGTGCAAGCCACGGTGCGGCGCGCCACGAAAACGTAGCAAAGAAAAAAAAACAAGGAGTCATCTATGGTTTTGAATCCGTTTTTTTGAGTTCTTTGAGTTCGTTTTTTTGTTGTTTTTGTTGAAGATGTGTAGAACTATAGACTATAGACTATAGATATGTATGTATGATTTGTTTTTCGATGTTGTTTTGTATGGTTTAGCACTATGAATCATCCATGTGTTTTTTTGTTTTTATCCACCTTGGTCATCAATTGTTTGATATTTATCCTATGATTATTGCGGCGGGTAGTATATGCTCAAACCGAAAACATGTTAAACACCTTTTGCCATGATGATGATGATGTTGATTCTGAAAATGAAACCATGCATGGTGTAAACCAAAAGTTTGAGAATAAAACTGAAGGCGATTCCTGTGATTTTGTTTTTCGCGATGTCACTGGCCGACCATGGACCAAGCCAATCAATCGATTGGTTGTGAGGACACCACGCCAGAGTCATGTGGGTACCTCCAATAGCTGGATGGTTTATTTCATGGAAAATCCTCTTAAAATAGATGATTTGGGGTACCCCTATTTAGGAAAACTCCATATGAAATTCGGATCCTTTGGCCATAGTGAGTTTCTAACCACAGATCTGATCAGGTTCGGAAGGTTTCGGAGACGGCCAGTATCTTCGGCCCGGACCTTGGAGGATGAAGAAATGGTGTGAAACATGTTGGTTGGTTGATGAAGCGAAACAATACACATCAATATACTAACCAAGACAGGGGATTAGTTAGGGGATTCTACTAACCAGTTATGCACACAAAAATGGCTGGTTGATGACTATAGGGTATTTCATAGGGGGTTTAACCATGTACTATGGGGATATAAACAGTGAATACAACTGATAAATGATGGTTGGTTCATGATTATATAATATTAAAATATTATATATATATATGTATAGTCATCATACTGAATCATACTAACCGATGTTAGTTGGGAATTCCGTCCTTAACCAACAGGGTTTGACCACTGCCCAAGCGGGGGGTGGTCAGTAACTACAATGATACGTTATCGGTATGAGTAACACATACCATCCAATATATACTAATATGCATAAAGATAGCTACTCCCCTTAAGCTTCAAATAGGAAGGGTGCCATATTGAGTCCATTTTGCGGTTAAAAACCTTGCATTGTTTTTAAATGTGTGTGTGACATGTTTCTCCATAAAACCCTATCTCACTAATTTAAGAAAACAATTGCGCTCTTTCTAATCATGCTGCATGTGTGAAAATGATAATTCAGTTTTCTATGTCTATAAGTGTGATTGAATAGATGGTCCTTACCTTGTTCTGAGAAATACAAATACCATGCAACATAGTGTTTGATTCAAGAAATAATGTGCTTTCTGAAAGTGAGTATGCACTCAGTGTTTGGAAAGCAACAACGCACACTTGAAATGTCAGCAGGGTGTACCATACATACAATATGCATGTACATATATAAAGATATATATTCAAAAAATCCCAATAGAACTGGAAAATACAAATCCCCATGGTCACTTGAAAGGGGATAATGATAATCTCGTTTTTAGACACACCCCAAATCATTGTGGTTTTTGGATGTTTTGGGTTCAATTCCCATGGGTCCCGGTAGTGGTTCCGTCGCCGAGGGACCTACCTACATGGAGTGCATCCCTTAGATCCGGCGATTTTTTTGCTCCGCCGAGGGACCCACTTTGTTTGAGCCGCTCAAGGGCATCTTGGAGCCTATCAATGGCTATATCATAATTATTTTAATGTATCAGTAAATCAAAATTATTGATTATGAATTACATACATAATAACCATGGCATACCATGACTTGAGTATGCTTGCAAATGGTCCCAGTCTCACAATGCCTTGTCCACTTGTCCACATGAAAAGGCATGGTCCACCAATGGGGCTTGAGGCTCAGACAGGAAAAAACATGTAAATGCCATGCGGCGTCAAAAACGAATCCGCCATCCATTAGGATGCCAATGGATTTGAAAACACATATACTTCAGGAGGAACAAAGTTTATGCTTCTTGAAAGCTTTACAAAAGATCCATCTCGGTCAACTGCGGATCACATTTTCAAGTCCGTTTTGTGTGGCAGGTGTGGGACGGTTAATTATAACCCTTTTTTAATATATAAGATTTTATAAAGCTTTTGGAGCGTGGAAATGCGACCGGGGCACGACAAAGCTCCATGCTAGGATTCTACGGGGAAAGGGCGCGCAGAAGAAGAAACCAAACATGTGGGAAGCTCAACAAGCGCAACTTTTGTCCTACCAGTGCGTCACGGCACATGTGTAGCAGTGCAGACAAAGAGGATGGAGACAGACATGTTATGTGGAGTAATGACCAAGCTGAGCTGATGACTTGGCAATTGCCACTAGATAAGCTTTTTGTACCCAGCATCATGGCACATGTGTAGCAGTGCAGACAAAGAGGATGGAGACAGACATTTTTTTTAGAGTAATGACCAAGCTGAAGCAGGTGCAAAAATCAGCAAATGAATTGGCAATTCCCACTATACTAAATAAGCATCGGACCCTGCGTCACGGCACATGTGTAGCAGCGCAGACAAAGAGGATGGAGATAGACATGTTATGTGGAGAAATGACCAAGGCGAGCAGATGACTTGGCAATTCCCGCTAAATGAGCTTTTTGTACCCTGCGTCACGGCACATGTGTAGCAGTGCAGACAAAGAGGATGGAGACAGACATGTTATGTGGAGCCATGACCAAGCTGATCCAAGCTGAGCAGGTGACCTGGCAATTGCCACTAATAAGCTGTTTGTAGCCTGCATCGCGGCACATGTGTAGCAGTGCAGACAAAGAGGATGGAGACAGACATGTTATGTGGAGTAATGACCAAGCTGAAGCAGGTGCAAAAATCAGCAAATGAATTGGCAATTCCCACTAAATAAGCTTTCCGTACCCTGCGTCACGGCACATGTGTAGCAGTGCAGACAAAGAGGATGGAGACAGACATTTTTTTTGGAGTAATGACCAAGCTGAGCAGATGACTTGGCAATTCCCGCTAAATGAGCTTTTCGTACCCTTCAGGAGGAACAAAGTTTATGCCCCTTGAAAGTTTTACAAAATATCCATCTCGGTCACCTGCGGATCACATTTTCAAGTCCGTTTTGTGTGGCAGGTGTGGGACGGTTAATTATAACCCTTTTTTAATATATAAGATTTTATAAAGCTTTTGGAGCGTGGAAATGCGACCGGGGCACGGCAAAGCTCCATGCTAGGATTCTACGGGGAAAGGGCGCGCAGAAGAAGAAACCAAACATGTGGGAAACTCAACAAGCACAACTTTTGTCCTACCAGTGTGTAATTTACATATTCATATGATTTAAATTTATGTATATATATATATATATATACATACGTTATAAAGATACACATATTCTGTTTGTCAATGGCTGCCACTTTTGGCCCAAGACATTGGAATTTTGTGTTCGGATTTTGTTCAAGATGGCGTCGACGGAGCCATTGATTCCTCAAGAACAGGAGGAACTGGAAAGACAGATTGGTTCAAGCTGAACTTTGACAGGGAAACGGTTTTTCGTTCCTAAAATTCCAAAAGTTGAATTCACATGAATTCACGGCATTTATGATTGTACTGATGTTATACACGATTGTATCACTTATCACTTGTATCTGGACGATGCGTGGATCCATTTTGGTTAATTACTTCTGGTTTTTCCAAGTCATGTTGCACATCGTTTTCCCTGGGAGATGCTGCATCGTTTCGACATGTTTTTTGGAAAATCACAATATGTTGCCAGCAATTTGCCAGGAGACTGGCTGCTATGCGAACCTGAAAAAATGTTTGAGGAGTACAGTGAAAGCGCTGCTGCTAGTGCCTGGAATGCTAGAAAAGCAGGACCTCATTTGTGCGATGCATCATATATTCATCTACATGTGGGTCATTTTTTGGGGGGAAATGTTGGCAAATGTTTTACGCACGAATCACTTAAGTAGCGTTTATCTCAGACCCTTGCAAGGGTAGTTCATCTCTTTCTATAATCAGTGGAATATAACACCCAATTCAGGAAAATCCACGGTTTACCCCCAAATTTGCAATTTTTCATGGGGATGAAGATGATCATCCAGGAACAATCAGTTATTTTGGTGCGAACGGGGGGCATTTGAAAGTTTTGACATACCGTTTTTTGAGTAGATCCTTTGGGTTTGAAAACTTGGATTTTCACTGGCTATGTACTGCTATGTTGAGTACAATCTCATCTAGATCTGTTGGATGCCAAAACTTGAATATTTTGACTATTTTTGACTGATGTTCATCTATTTTTGACGCGTACATTTCCAACGACGGTGGTGCTGAGGATTATGTTGGGAATACAAACATATACAAACCGCTATTGCATGCATGAGGTTACGGATTTTGTGTTTTTTTTCAACTGGTCGTTTTCAGCTTCAACCATATCATTTGCCAAACTCGGGGAACCACAAAGAGACTTTCTGCAGGGTCCATGACATGTTTGGTTCTTGCCCTCAATCAAAGAAGCTCTGCCTCAGGGTAGACTCCCAGCCTTTGAAGAAAGTCTCAAGGTGGATCTTGTAGCGCATTCCAGCCAAAGCATCCGTAGATGTGTGGCCATGAGTAGATTAATAATGTGGATATTATCTATTGTGCGATAGATTATCAGAACATATTGTCAGGTCAAGTTCTCGATATTTCTCAATGGTTTTAGGGTAGAATATTCTTTGCTCTTATGGACCAAAGTAGATATTTAATTCCTGCGTGTGATTAGTGAGTTCTTAACCCCACCAGAATCCATTTACCTAAACCCAATTCGCGAGGGCAACTAAGTCAACTAAGGGTAGCTGGGATGACAGAGCCCCAACTCAAACATATGGCCATGTATCTATAATTATGTATACATAAATATTATATACACACTGTATTCGTGTATTCAAAGGATGGTCAATTTCCATGTCCCCAATGGGCCCCAAGTGGCCCAACCTTGATGGCCACGGTAAGGTGCTGTTGATCGTTTTTGTACTGGCCTGGATAGCGCAGTTCGCATGTTTTTATTGGGCAACCCTGGGATGCCCGGTGCAGACTTTGGAGCTCTGGAGGGCGGCCTCATTTGTGGGACAACATGTTGGCACATGTTTGGAATTCTTTTAAGACACCCGCGCAATTTAAGACAACCCCAAAGAATTAGATCCCAAAGACCATATCTGTGTAATTTCTGGGTTAAGACCTTTCTTACACTGTGGTGAACGTCCAAAGAATGGACTGATTCGACGACATGCTGGGATAGCTTGCCACTTGGGGTCCTATTGTTTTTGTTCCACAGCATTGTACTTGTAAGATATTGTAAGGATATGTAAGGATGTAGCAGGAACTGTCAGAGCTTCAGTCTATTCCTGGTGATTTATCCGTTAGTCTTTTGGCAGAGACCCATGGGACCCACTCAGGATGTTCTGCTTCCAAACTTCAAGGCTATACCTATCCTGGTGGAGGCCAGGGTTACTCCAACCGACTCGCCTGTTTTTCGTTTCGCGCTCCCCGTTTAGGTTTCTCCGTGTTCCAGACCGATGTTTTATCCAGTGTCCGTAAGTACTGATCCTAGGGTTACCCCCATTTTCTGTATATATGTACATATATATATATATGTAAATCTACCATAAACTAAAATTACATTATTATTACTACGAAACCAACTTGGCTAACTATGGTGCCCTTTCCACTTATTGTTGGTGATACATCGCATTTAATCTCCCATTATCTCCCCATGATGCTTGGTTTCAGTTGTTGTTTATAGATTAAAAAGGAAAAAAAAAACACCATGTCTGCCACCAGTTTTGCAGCTGAAATCGCCATTTTTGCAACTCAGATGGCCATTTCTCCTGTTGCCCAGGTAAGAACGCCAGCTTCAACTTGATGCCCGCCATCCACCTACTGGCGGAGCGCCCGCCGCTGTGGTACGGCTCGGCCTTCGAAGTGATTCCCTCCAACGAGGCGCAGCAGCCTTTGGGACTTTAGGAATGGGACAACGGCTTTGGTTTTATGGTTATGTGCTTAGGGAATCTTAGGGATATCGATGGATGTGTGTTTTTGAAGAAGCCAGTTTCCTGTAGATTTTTTTCAGAAACCAATCCATTGACTGTCATGTTTGGTGATTAAGTCATCATGAAATCACCATGAAATCCTTTCAATTCTCTATGGTTGACACTTAAATCCCCATTTGAAAAAAAACATGAAATCTTGAATTTCACCCTTAAACCACCGTGAACTCCCCTTTAAAGAAACCCGGCGATTTCGGACCCTCGGTTCTCTCGGATTAAACGTCAGAGGCCTCGACGGTGGCCGGAGCGCCAGTTGGAACTTGGTGGCAGAATCCTGGACCAATCTTCCCCATCTACACCTATGAGGAGCGGCGAGCGGCTGAGTTTTCTGGGACTTTGCGACTGGAAAAACCATGAAGCCACTGTCAATGCTGGTTGAAACAAAAATAATGGGAAACACATGTGATGTATGAGATATTTGGATACCTGGAACGAAAATCGTAGATGGAGACACAACTTTGAGGGATTACTGGTACTTAAATAAATTGAGTTTCTACACAGATGAAATCCCATCACTTTGGGAACATGAAGCCAGTGATGCTGCTCAAACTGAAACATGGAACTGGGATGAACTGGGAAAGCTATGGAAAGTCTAAAACAACTCCACGGGAGGGAATACCAAAGAAGTAGATCCTCCAAAGTTTTAAATCCTACTGTGGCAAAAATAGTGCCAAAATCACTTGATGCGGTTGCTGAGGAGAGGAAGGTTTCGAACGCAATCGGTCGTTGCATCTGACTGATTTGAATGTCAATGATGAAGATTCCAGCTATTTACCACTTGCATCCACTTGCAAGTTTGGAACATATTTGCAATTTGTGATCTCAGGTTTGGTTGGATGTTGAAGAAAATCGACAACTGCTGCGAATAGCTCTATTGAATCTCGTAGTAGGCATATACCTGTATGATTTGGCACCCTGGCACCCTGGAAAGGGTCCAGAAATCCTCACCACCGGCTGCCGCGAGGATGTAGCCAACTCCCAGACCACCGTCTACATGAGACGACACCTGGTTTCCGCGCCGGGGCTAGGGCTATATAGGGCTATTGGGGATGTGTAATGTCATGTACATCCAGACCCGCAATGTCGGCATTTGATTCCGTGGAGCGCATGCTCTGCAAAGCTCTGGAAGCATGTTCGGTTCTTCCCGGTCTAGCAGCCAACATTGGGCGATTTTCAGCAAGACAGGGAGCATTGAGCAGAACGAATCTAGTTTGGGGTGTGTGAGGTTTTCCATGTTGAATTGTCAATCATGTTAAGACTGTATATACCAAGTCACTGATTGGTTTGTTGGACAAATGTTTACATGGTACCAAAGCAGCCCAGGGCCCAGTTTCTGTTGGCCCCAGTTTTGATCGTCGAATTTGTGCCATCTGCCACCTGGCTTTCGCTAAGGAAAGCTGTTGAGACTGGGACAGTCCCATGTGATCCAACGTTGTGATGGAAAAGGTCCTGTCGTTCCTCGGTAAGTTGTGATGTTGTGATGCTGTGATACTCCCATCCCCCCAGTAATGTAATAGGATCCCACCATCCTCAATTTTTTGACATAGGTATCATCAAAATTTGGATATAGTTTGTTATATTGCTTTACGAACATTAATAAGAATTCCCATGTTTACGAAGCCCAAAGTGAACAGATCCAATATAGATCAGAATTTCACAGAATTTCTCTGTGTGTGTGTGTTTGTCCTTCAGCTCCGTTGTGATTTCCATACGTGTTTGATTTTCCATGGCTGTTTTTACGAAGCGAAGACAACCCCGACTCAGTGAAGATCGACTGGATGGTCGTCGCAGAAGCACAACGCTACCTTTGTCCAAAGAAATTCACCTAAAGGTATGTATACTTTGATGCATATAGGGGGGTTCCATAAATGGGGCTACCTCAAAATGCATGGTTTATAGTTGTTAATGGAGAATCCTGTATATTAAATTACAATGGATGATTTAGGGGTACCAGGAAACCACCATATATTCAAATATAGTTATATTACTATAAGGGGTGTACCATATATTTGCACCATGATCAATGAGCCCGAAGAACAGTGTATGTACTTGTGTAATCGTCCATATGTTTTTCAACACAGAACTTCTCATGATCATGTCAACCCTGCCTTACTCAATCGCTGGGGTTGTTTAATTTTGAAGAGCACTGTGTATTTCAAGAGCAACCACATGCAACTACAATTGACCGCTATTTGGAACTCATAAGCTATAGTTTATGCAATCTGTTGGCAGAATTTCCTCATTTTTCTGGAGAGTTTGTCAGATCCAGCCATCAAAATCCATGCCGGTTGTCTCAGGTCCACTTCTCTGAGGGCTGGAACTTCTTCTCGAATCGCCTGCGGAAGTGCCTTGGTATGGAGACTTCACCGGTGCTGACGTGACAACGAGAAGAAATCTGGTATTTGATTGGGATTAAATCTACTAGTACTTAGTAGCAACATATAGAAACCCCCAAAGGTCGATAGAAAAGTTGAAAAACTGGAAAGTATCCAGAGAACATATCTAATATTACCATTCTGGAAATGCCTTTTCTCTTTTTGTTTTGGGGGGGTTACTGTAAACCAAATATAGTAATGAAAGGCTTAAATCATTTAAATCCGATTTGTTTCGATTCAAGCAAGCTGAGGATTTTGGGATTGAAGCAACACGATTTGCTAAACAAGAATACCCTACAGCAATTATTATTAAATAATAATATATATTTATATATGTATATATAGTTATATATAGTTGCAAGCTGTATATATATACCCTTAGCTTCCAAACCCTTAAAAAATGACGGGTTCAGATTGAAACCCTATGTTTACCCGTGTACGGATAGTAAACCCTGGGTTAGGATGGAAAACCCTGGGTTTTCCCTTATTACCCTTGATTCTCCATTTTTCCTTCATTCCTCCAGGTGAGTGTGCCTGCCGGATCTTGGCTTTTGAGCTTCGCGTGGGGCTGCGAAGCTTTTAATTATCACATATGATCACCAATAGCGGGGCTAGATAATACAAACATCAATGAACAAAGGACAGAAGCAGCAAACCACAGCAATCCAGCTATGTGATAAGCTGATTGCCCCTACAGATATATAGTTGATCCACCGGCATGGTTTTAGCTTAAAAAAAGGCAAATCAAGATTTGAAATGTTTGGGGATATTTGACCTAACTTTGAAGGGACTTTCAAATGTTGGATATCTGTCAACCAAAAATATGATTCCATACTTTTTTCCACCCCATTAGTCGACTAAGATATCAACAGAATCCTTTTAATATCCGTTCAATATATATCCAGATTAGTGACTATAGAGTCGCAAGAGGTAAGTACATATAGCATAGCTACGTTCCACCTGTTCGGCCACCCGTGCGGCTGCAATGGTTTTGCCGCACATTGCCATCGAAATTTGTCAGGGCCCCCAGCTCCTGGAGAAACGGTGGAGGGAGCAAACACCAACACATGGTGGTTTGATCAGCAACACATGTCATCAAGAGTTGAACATGTTAAACTTTTGAAGATGCCCAATCTCAAGATTTTTGAGCTGCCCATGCTACTTCACTTTCTTGTTTGTGGGTCAGAAAAATTTGGGCTCAAATCTTCATGGCAAACATGCCGACTACTTTGGACGTGGAGGGGATCTGGAAAGAGTGGGACCGTGATGAGGAGCTACGGGAAATTATGCACAATGGGGGCACCATTTTGGATCCTCCAGCTTGCCAGGACATCAGTACTTGCATCAAACATGGGTTCCTTCTGGGCCCTTTACTGTCCAAAATGGCAGTTCACGAAAAGCGCCCTTTGCCTCCGATTGACCCTTTGAAAGAAGAACTTGATAACCTCTTCAAGAAAAACAAGCAAGGGGTTGAAAGCAATTTCTTGGATATCTCAAAAAAGGCATGGGCTTTGAAGAGACTTCTTGGGTTTGTCAAGACCAAAGCTCGGCGACGAGAGGTTTCCACTGCCACTGGGTAGCACAAAGTTACTAGAAGAAAATACAGCAAAGTGCAGAGTTTCTAGGAAACCAGTACGTTTCTGATTTCAAGACGGTTGAGTTTGGGTTTGACAACATTCTGCATATTCGTTTTTTGGAGCTGATTAGGTGAGAAAATTTCAGCAGCTTGTCCTACTCTTGGACCCAATGCTCCAGGCAAGCATTTATTTTACATATGGTTTGTACATGTTTGTATCCCAAAGATTTTTGGCCTTTATTTCATACCTCACCCACACCCTGACGCATTAGCATCATTCACAGGCCGAAGTGGACGAAGTCAACAGAAAGGTTGAAGAAAGGTTGAGAAAGAGAGGTCGACAGGATTTCAGGGGTGGGGATTGCGCTCTTTGGGCCAATGCGTTCTAGTTGGCTATTGCTGAGAATTTTTTGGAATATGAAATCTGATTCAAATTGCGGAATCCGTGCTTTTTCAAACCAAAATTGTGCATAAGCCATCATCACCCACCATGCTTGCCAAACCAGGACCAAAGGGCCGACGATGAGGATGCCTGGGGTGACTCTAGTTCTTCATCCGATTCATCTTCGGATGGGGAAGAGCGCAATGGGGATGCAGCTGAACCGGCTACAGGGGACACAGAAGAGAGACCACCTGTAGAACCCAGAGTAGATTCTGGCAATGGTAGTGGTGACCCTGTGATGCCTTCTAGCAGTGATCCACCTGCGGACCTTGTGATGGAGACCCCTACGGAGACCAAACCTGAGAGTTCTGTTCTTAGCAAAAGTTCCAACCCTATATGTTCATGACATGTTATTCAATCCTCCAATCTCCAAACCACTGCTAGATATTTTTGCTGATAGAAGTTTAAAGAAAGCCTCAGCCATCGTTTTCCCGTTGCCAAGGTGCTGGTGATGATTCTCTTTCAAGACAGCGTGCCGAGATCTTGGAAAAGTTGAAGAAGTTTCTCGGTTGGTTTATTCGGTCTTGCTGGGTGGATTCTGTACTGAATATATCAATATGGAACATATATGTTGCAACACAACATTTCCAAGACATTTGTTGAACGGTGTTTGAAAAATGTTTGAAGGCTTAGAGAGGCCAAGAAAAGTGCGGCTGAATCGGCAGCTCCATTGCCTTCCCCATCTGGAGGACCATTTTTTAATTCGGAGTGAAAAGAAAGAGCAAGCTTTTAAAATCTGAGTCCATATTATGTTTCATTGTTTTATACTTTTGTTATGCCAGGAGTGTGTGGGGACAATGTGGAGACGCAACCTCTTGCTGATATTCGTTCAGAAGAAGTGCCACTGTCACCACCTGGGCCAGCTCCTTCCCCGGAAATCACTTCAAATGAAAGACGTTCAAGCTATCAACGTACGAATGGCAAAGGTGAAGAAACCATGGAACTTCCTGGGACCGGCCCAGCATCGCCAGGAAAATGGATTGAGGTGAAGAAAAAGACGAGTGGAAAGAACGGAGGATTCACTGAGTCTGAAAATGAGGCGGGGGTAACATTGGTACACCTCGAACGTTGACCTTTGAAGCAAGTTTGAAATAATATTCTTATTTTCCAATATCGCCTGAGAAAATATTGCATGTTTTGTTTTCTTTGGCGGCTAGGATGGAGAAGACTTTGTGAGAAGGAAAGACCAGCTGAGCAATCGTCCCTGTAAGGGAAGGGGTAGGGGCAAAGGCAGGGGCAGAGGTAAAAAGGATCCTTGCCAGGAGGAAGATGAAACAAAAAGAAGGAAAATTGCCACCCCCCAGAATCGACAGGAGTATGAAGATTCCGGTCCGTTTTGGACAAAGGAGATGGAAAAGGAATGGGCCAAGTGGAAAAAAGATGGGGGGTATGAATATGAGGAAGGTTGGGATGATCAGGATTGGGCAAATGACTTGAATGAGCCAAAGCAAGCTTGGGATCGCTATGCAATTATGAATTCCAATGCATCGATGCATCAGCTGAAAAGCGAGGCAGTCATGGAGCATGAACCAGGGAGCCCTCAGGTGAAAAGCAAACAGCGCAAGAGCAAAAAGCAGGCCACCAAGTCCACAGTTGAGGCAGCAGGGAAAACTGAGGAGCCACAGGGCACTGAGGAGGTAGCAGCGTCTAAGAAAAGGAAGAAGCTAGAGGAAAAAGAACCCAGCGTACAGCCCACAGACGAAAAGACACATGTGAATACCATAGCAAAGTATCTCAGGGAGATCGTGGCGGGTGGATGGAAGGTCAAAAAACATGACGACTTGACAAAGAACATGAAACTGCAGTTCAAGGAACCCTTCCCACCAACGGAGGAATGCCGATTGAATATTTACTGGAAGCTTGGAAATGTGGGTGTTCATCTGAAGGGTGAGGGGAAGGACTTAGCGACCTTTTCGGTGCACGCTGATGCTGGACCATTCCTTCTGCGGCTGCATGCGTGCTTGAAAGCAGGATGGATTTTGGTCACTCAACAAAAAATTCAATGATATGATTCAAAGATGTGTTCTCAACTTACTAGACAGGCATACTTCAGGAGTGCTATAGTGATTGTTCGTGAGTGGATGTAAGTGATGTAAGTGGATGTATGTGACACACACACATATATATCCTCCCTCTGAACCTCTGAGGTGAACTACATCGAGGACAAGGCGAAGAAACCGCGAGAGAAAGATTCCCTTTTGAGTGATGACTGTGACATCCTGACGTTGAAGGAATGCCTTAAAGTTGCTGCTGTAAAGGCTGTGAAGCGGGCGTCCAAGTAATCATATATTTAGGGATTCCAACATTGCCTCAAGTGGCAGTGAGTGTTTCTGAACTTTTCTGGGGTGTCCCAAGTTGAAAAACCAAAATACTTGGGATCGGGGTTTCAGGTGCTATCCTGCCGAAGTGCGGGGAAACACTGAACACTTTGGGGATATCCTATGGACACAGCTGGAACTCTAGTGATCAAATTCTGGTACCAAGAAAATTTTGCAATTGATTCCAACCGATTGTTGGGAAAGATCTTTTGGTTGCTGTGCCATGGGTGATCATTGGCGCTCCATGGATTTAGACCAGCTTAGCATCAGTCTCTGATTTGAAAAAAAAACTGTTTGATTGATAGTTATTCTTGTCATAGACTTGAACACTTGAAGCAATAAAGAGATGATGCTACGGCTGGACGTCTTCACGCAAAGGCTTCAGTGGATCTCAACTTCGGGTGGGCACGGCTGGAAAAAAAAGGTATCTCAATTTCAGGGGTTCTGCGATGATACCAAATGATATGTGATGACAAACATCAATGATTGATAGAGAAATCAACAACTTAAATGCCACTCTCTTCCATCCCAATCCAAGTTGATCATCTCTAAACCCACGGCTCCTTCGGATCTGAGGCCATGAGAAAGCGATACCGCGGTGGCGACCTGTGGACAGTGCGGCCATGCCACAGCAAGCGGAGAGGTACCCCTTACATGTTTTAACTGGGAGTTCCGGAGTATGTTGATAAACTCTAAAAACATATCAAATAAGAATTCGTTAGGATCAATTCTCTTCAGGGATACGCTATGCACTTCTCGGGGGAAGTGTCGTGCTGCCATTTGAGGGTTAGACATGTAGATCCGCAGCCCATATCTAAGATATCAGACTTGGGATGGCATGGATTGTCTTTGAAGCAACATTAGCCAGGATGACCTGCGTAACTTTAGCATTCCTATAAAATCATTTCAGGAATCAGGCTTTGAATGACTTCAACTTGTTAAATCTTAAAATTATAATAAACAATAATGAACTATAAACCTTTGAAACTTTAGACATCATCGCCATCCCACCATTTCATCCCTGACCCATGCTGGACATCAACGCATTGGTGTGGCGACTGCGTCAGCTGAACTGTCCCCAGGACCATGGATTGGGGGATAAAAAGGGAACGTTAGGGCTACCAGGAATTCGCATTGATATGCACAGTCATCCCAAGATTGGTTGAGATATATATCAAGCAAACAATTCAGCCATTAAACATCCAACATCCAACATGAAAGACTTTCATGTTGGATGCTTTTTGGCAATGAAACATTGAGATATATATTATGTATATGATGTATTTGTTTTTAGTGCCCTTCTGAAACCTTATTAACGTGATATGTCCCCCACCAATGACAACATATTTTGTTGGTGTGCTCCAGGACTTTGTGCTTTGCATCCTGCTGATCTACTGGACCTACGCCGTTTGGGAGGCCAGGATGGCTGGGTCATTATCCGCGCAGTGAAATTGAGCTTCTCGAGATCTATAGGTTCATAGGGAGGCAACTAAGGATTTTGAATTTTGTTTCTTAATTCGGGCATCAATAGAAAGGGACCCATATTTCCATTTTGTTCGCATATATATGTAGGTTCCCCTCTGACCTTTTCTGGATCAGCGTCCTTTACTTGTCCAATACTTGATATAGCTGGAAACCTTCCATCTGCTCAAAGGAGCAGTACGACTACTACGAGTTCTTCGCGGGCATTGGAAACCTCACGAAGCAGGCGCGAGCCTGCGGGTATAAGGCCTTGAGGTTTGACATTTTGGACAATGTCAAACCCAAAGACCGGAAGTCCAACTTCATGGATCTAAATTCAGCTTCGGGCTTCGCGTTGCTTGATGAGAAATCAGGATGCTGTTTTTTTTGAGTACCAAACTTGTTTGATATTTTGCATTCAATCTTTGATAATTTTGGCATGTACGGATTTTCAACGATAGAACTACTTTGTATGGAACAATTACATGTTATAGAGCGGTTGGTGGTACCAACTTTGCCAAATATCTCCAAATTACCTGTACCCTTTGATTGTTAAAACAGAACGCCTGACTGAATCAATGCTGTGTACCAATTTAAGGCTTGCAGTGGTATGCCTACTTCGAGCTCGCTGTGGTGATTTCTCAGCACATTTCGCCATGAAATGTGCTTCGTTCTGCAAGATGAATGTTGGCACATCGAAGAGGTCACCATGTTCAAGTACTGGCTTCACTGATTACCCATCAGTTTCCCAGTCCAACATGTTGGGAGAAAGGAGCGGGTTACCAATAGGGGTTGGTGGACCATTCCCTTCCACTCCTAGATATCCCAAAGATTTTAAATCTTAAGATCTGTTCAAAAACAACAGTATCAGAAAGAAAGAAAAAATTACAAGTTTGTTCCCCTACTTTTGCACACCAATGAAATCATTTCCAATCTTATTTGAATTTGTCCTCACCGGTTGTTAGTGAGGTTGTTTTGGGAACCCAAATGCTTCCCTTAGAGGGCCCTTCCCGTTCCAGCCTTTTTCCATTCCAAACCCAATGCTGCTGCATGTCAATCGCGAAGGACTTGCCTTTTGATCCTGCTGTGCACGGCACTTGGAGGAGTGTGGACGGTAGAGCAGCCACAAGGGTCTGTGTATGAATTCCTACCAGCGTTTCGGGCAATGTTGCGAAGCATCTTTGCTTCTGGGGGCATACGTGCTGTACCATGTCAGAATTTGGCTTCATATGGCATCCCTTTGGGTTTGGGGCCATCCCCATGGATAAACAAAGACGATTTACATGCAAGTTACTAAAATCATTTCGTGGTGCTGATTTGTGGGGGTATTGCGTATTTTTCAAACAAAACAAGTATCGATGCATATACATCATATATACCGTATGATGTGGGAATTGTTTTTCAAATAGTATGGGCAATAGTGACTTCCCCAAAATCCATTTCTCCCTACAAATCACACTAAAATTATCCCGGCGACCACTGAGGTAGTGAAGGTCAGCTGGTGGATGCAGCACTACCAAGGACCAACACCGAAGCGTCACTACGCCTATAGCAATAGTAGAGACGTATTATCCTTGGATAAGGGCAAACTGAAAAAACATCAGAGAAAACCAAAGGAGGAAAGAATCAGAACGGCTGATGTTTACAAGGATCGCAAAGGTAAGCTGAGGTACAAAGGAAATGCAAACCTTCGTCCAACTCAGAATCTTGTATGCAATAACGCCCAATGGAACTCCAAGATGTTTCTAGATCTTTGGTCTCTTTGCTTTATACTATTTTAATCATTTATTATATCTTATGTATACCTGTTTGAAACGGTTTGAGGTATTTGAGACCAGGTAGGATAAAGACTGTCAACTAGTCAGACCGTATTGATTGCCAACCGGGGCCCAAGGATATACCCCATGCCCTTTGCACGGCACCTCATCGATCGCTTGGAGACTATGAAAGCCACTGCGCACGGAGCTCCTGTACTTCCGAGTGAGGTGCCAGATGCAAAGGATACGTTCCTTCAATGGGTGGATGTTTGCCATGAAGATTGGCAATTTTCAGGCATGTCAGATGTGTTTCAATACTTGCGGGGTAACCGCAACCTTTCAATTCCGGAGCATTGGCGCGGGACAATTCCAAACCATCTTGGGTAGACCCATGACCTGTAGATGTTTCAAAGCGGTGTTTTCCATTTTCAATTTTCAAATTCCCCCAAGGTTTCCAATATAATTATATCATATAATTGGGAAATTTTGATGGTCTGAACTCATATTGGTTATATTTTTTGGTGTTTTTTTAAGATTCAAACAGGAAAAACAAGGGGCAAGGTTTCAAACTTCTAGCAACCCGTGTTTTAACCGTGCCCAACCCGTGTTTCTTGCTATAAACCCTAGGTATGTAATGAATACCTAAGGTTTCCTGCTGAAACCTCGGGTTTTCCCAACCCGTGTTCAACCCGTGTTCAACCCGTGTTTTACCCGTGTTCACCCGTGAAAAAAATCACGGGTTTGGAGCTTCAGAACCATCCAAATTTTAATGTTTTTTTTTGATTCCGGTGCCGCTTTTGAGGGTCTGGGATAGCCCAAGATAGGTCAAATTCGAGAACTTTGCAAAATTCAGGGCGGTGTGTTCCTCGAACGCTGCTAGAATTGATGCCCGAAAAGGCTCAAAACATTGAGAGATAACATGGTGGATGTTCTATGTTCAAGTATGTTCACATTCAGCAGCCACAACCTGCATTGCAATGATGATCGATCTATAGTGGAGAGTAAAAAACATATGTCCTATGTCACCGTTGCCATTTTAGATCCAATTCTTTTTGGGAGGCTTCGCTGAAGCTTCCAAGGGCATGTCAAGCCCCCCGGTCTCACAGGGTCCAGTCTCCAATAGGTGGAGTTGCACCACGTTAGGGGAAGGGATTCACCACGTGGAAGCGGATATCATGTCGGTGTCTGATGGAGAAACTGAAGAAGCACTTCTTGCCCGACTTAAGGAGTATTGGGGTCATTGGGCAAGTTTTGAATGTGAAATCGTTAGATCTAGAAACCAAGGGACATATAGATATTTCGAATGTTCTTTTATCATTCTTGCTGCAATCCCAAAGAAACACCCCAACCCCCTGAGCCTTATAGTCGATATATGTTGTGTCTCTGGTGTGTTTCGCTACGCCATTTCTTCAGGAGATCGAAGGGAAGATGGAAACAAAGCCGACCGAATGCTTGGTCATAGCCCGAGTATACCAAGATTAAAGTTAAAGCTTCAGAGCTATGTAAGTTACAGCATTGCCCACTCCAACCATTCTCGGCTCCTCTGCTGGCCGGCTGCTGAGGCCAAAGCACCTGAAGAAGCACCTGAAGAGGCGCAGGATACGGTGCCAGTGCGCCCCTTTGGTCTTTCATATTTCACTCTTCATGGTCTGAATTTTAGTACCTGTTGATATTTATTCAAGTCTCAAATGAAATGGGTCGCATTTAGGCCACTGATGAAGAACTTCGAGCAGCCAGAGATACACACCAAGATGGTGGGGAACCGGACTTTAGACGGCATTTTTGGATATAAAATAATATCATTTGCAACCGTTGTGGAATAACGTATATACCCAAAAGATCCCCAAAGTCCAAAAGATCAAAATTATGTTGATTCTCACAAAATGGAACTACAGTTTAAACCAAAACCATTTCATAAAATACACCTGCGGACGGCATCTATCAGGGAATCTTTTGGAACTCCTATGTGCAGGGGTGACCTCCGTATGATCGAGTTGTGTTGGTGTTTTTGGATTCGTAGCTACAAAGAATACATAATGAGCAGTTGGTTTCAGAAGAAACTAGTTCATTGACCATAATCCTTTTCTTGGAGATTTGATGCATCATAGCCTAGGAAAAGACTGGTGGTGCACCTGTGAAAGATGTTGCACTTCCAGAGCATGGGTCCCCCAAGTCCGTTGAGCCTACCACTGGAGAAGTGGCCACAGTGATCACGCCTTATGGCAGAAAGGTTCCATTTGGAATGACCCTTCGTCAGGCACTGGATGATGAATATACATGTCAATTTTGGTTGATGATGTTAATATATTTCAAAACCAACAAATATATTGCATTCTATGAGTAAAAGTTCTATATCAACTAAAACTGGGCATTGTGTTTTTATAAAGACAGGAATGACGTGGGGTAAACTCCCAATCTGGCCATGTTTTGGACTTGGGATTATCACTATATGTTTTGTTCATTTGGTCTTCTGGTGGTTGCTACCATCCCTGAAGTTCAACCTCCGTCGAGCAGCCAAAGAAAGAATCAGAAGAATGGTTGCCCCAAAGAGCCGTCGCAAAGAACTGAATGCCCCAGAGTATTTGAAGGAGGAATGGGCGAAGGGAGATAAGGATGCACTTTCCGATCTACTCACCAATTTGAACTTTAACAAGGACTGGTGTTTACGAAATACTTTTCCGTTTCCAGCTGTATAAATCTTATCCCCCTTAGGTTGCATCCCTGGTTTTACATCACCTATTCCTTGACACCCATGACCTGACTCCAGGACGCTTTCATGAATGAAGTCCTGATCCTCGTGAAGAAGAAGAAGACGTATACAATGACGATTGATGAAGGGTGGCATAGTGAAGCTGAACTCAAGGAGTTGGGATGGACGACGTCATTATCTCAGGGTATCATACTTCATACTTGTCCCTATCCAAAACATTGTGTTGATGGCATTGTTGTTTACTGGAAGCCCAATGTTTTTTTCACAGCCATTTCATTCCACTGCAAAATAAGGGCGAAGATCACCGGGGCCAAGACCCGGTGCTTGGCTTTGGGGGACACCCACTGCAGGCCAACCCTACATTCATAACGAACTTCATTTCGAGATTCCTTTTTGTTTCAATTTGTCCTCATGTGCCCCCTATCGCAGTGAAGGCGCAACTCCTATGATGGAGAACTCGAATATTTTGTGGTCCTCAGAGAATCCGGTAAGCGACAAGAGGAAAGCTCATATGAAGAGGAACACCGAAAGCGGGCCAAGGCCCTCAAACAAAAAGGGGGTTCAATCACACCATTGCACATATTATTCCAATGTTGTTGGTTTCAATTAAAGTGATGGGTTTCATTTTTTTGCCAAAGCCATCCCAATGTATTACCTCTAATTACCTGCCTCAGGGTGACTCCGACCCTACTTCGGACCTGGGGACTGGCTTCAGCGGACTGGATGCGATGGGGAAGAGGGATGCAACCGAAAAGGACAAAGGACTTGACCGACCAGAACTGACAAAGTACATGCAGGACAGATTCTTGAAGTTATATATATGCTGTTTGTCAATTCCATTTACTCAAATAAAAAACTTCTTGTTGTGTCCCTGTGCTAGACCAAAGAAAGCTTGCGGAAATTTCTGCAATCGATGGTGAGCAAAGCTGGCAAACTTCGACAATTGACCCGGGACTTGAGAAAGTCATACTCGGACTCCGCTACTGCAGTGTACCTTGACTTTTAAACTTGTTGAGATTGATTGGCATACAAACCACACCTCTCCCTTCCAATCTCAATTTTGACCAAGGGTCCCCAAACTGCATAGCGCGCAGGTGCTTGAAGACCTTGGATGATCACATTGCATCTGTGGACAAGCACTACGACATGTGCAACGAAGCGTGGGCCAAGGGGGAGGTGGATGACTTCTCCACCGAAGCGTCCCTGAGATGATTCGAATATTGCTCTACTCAATCTGATTGGTTTCAGGATTTACTCTAAATTCACCAGTTGTTCATTTGTATATATATATATATATCCACACTCATCCCAGGTGGTATGCCTTGGCCGAAAAGAATATGAAGGCTTCCACATTCGCGCCCATTACTTAGTGGTCCAGCATCAACTTGGTGGAGAATGTAACGATCGGATATGTTGCAGTGAAACATTACTATGGTCAAAATTGTTGCCCTGTAAATATATCTTTCAGGTGTGCCACGGCCACAGCGTATGAAACCAAGATCAGGACTTTGAAGTTTGATCAGAACTATTCTGGGGGAGTTCAACCTCTCTCTTGGCTCATTGCGCAGGAACTCCAAAAAATACTTCGATAAGAAATCTCCTGGTGAAGAACTTGACAGCAAGGACAAAAAGGACAAGAAGGACAAGGAGAACAAGGAGAGCACAAAGGAGCCGAAGCACGATGGTGGTGGCGGCAAGGTTAAAAAGGTTAAGAAGGACAAAAAGTCCAAGTAGGACCTGTGATGTTTTTGGTTTGGCTCCTGAACCGTCCTTCACACTTAGAAGCTTTGCAGTGAGATCAATGAGATCTTCGAAAAAACCCAGTGCAATCTAACAAAACATCGCACAAAACAAAACAGTTCATTATTTTTCTGAAGGGTATGCTTTGCAAGGCTGTGTGTGTGCGTGGCGATGGATTTGCCATCAAATGCTTTTGCATTCAATGCTCGAGACAATCGATGCTTTTAACTTCAACATTCTCTGGGCTCTGGGAAAAAAAACCGTTGAAATTTGGGTGTGGCCAGGAATCTTCAGAGGGGATCTGATGTACTGCAAAATCTCTAAGTACTCTAAGTATACAATGTATATACACTACATGCACCCATGGGAATTTCCAAGTACTACTAGAGTTCAATATATATATATATATTCATATTTTGGGTACCCATCTAGTGTTTCCCACATCTAAAATGGAAATGGATACCCCTTTTGCATCCTGCCAGGTACCAAGCGGCCGGGGCAAACGATCAGAGGCATGAGCGCTTCTATCGGTGAAGGAGCCATGTCCTCAGCTGCAGCCATCAGGTATTCAATGGGATCAATTCATCCACTTCAGAAGTATTTGACATTTTTTGTGATCACACTGAACCATGAATTTTCCTCTCAAGAACTTTGACCCCAAATCGCTAATGTAGATATCCTTCTCAAGTTACATATGGATGCTATTGCATGCTCATGGCTGACCCCACTGGCGAGACTCCCGAAGAAGAGTTGCTAGACCTGTTCACATGTCATCGATCGGAAACTTGAACTGCTTTAGTACAATTTCGTTTGCAATTACTGTTGTAGAATGTTATACTCAAAAACATTTTACATTTTGAGATGTTGTGTTGTTTTTCCCATGTGGCGGTTTCCACAAAGGATGAAACATTGCCTTTCCCTTGGCAGACCAACCAACCAGTACCAGAAAAGACATCCATCACCTTTGCTGAAGTTTCTACTCAACAGAAACGGTATCCTCCTGATGTGGTGGAACAATCGGCGCCTTCCAAGAGGAAATTGAACCCAAACGAGGATTTACCATCACCACGTTTGAAAACCCTTTCAGCTGAGTGTCAGAAATTGGGGTGCATCGCTTTGAAACTTTGCCACCTTAATGCCGTGGCCGGTGCAATTCTTCGTCATGCGATTTCAAACCTGGAAAATCTTTTTCGACAAGAAGAACCACTGATCTTTAAGATTGGTTTTACTCACAATCCAATTTGGCGTTGGTCAAATGAGACTTATGGTTACAAGGTGGCTCGGGAAAAGTGGACCAACATGATCATTTTGCATTACGCCAAAGAACCGTACGGCCCTGCTATGTTGGAAGCTAGTTTGATCGAAAAATTTCAGAGCATCTCACACTGCACAAAGAAAACATTTTGTTTTAATCATTTTTGGGCATTTAAGTACAGTAACGATTTTCTTTTTTGAACTCCACCAACATGAATAACCCCTATTATTTTGTTGGATATAAAGCACGTTGCCAGTCAAGGTAGGCCCGGGTGCAAAAACATCAGGGCTGGAGGTGATACTGTCCATGAATCTATGGCTACAGACAGCAGCCGCTACTTTACATATGTTGTGTACAGAAGTTTTCGAACTCCTCCTCCTCTTCCTGCGAGAATCAAATCCATAGCCAGGTCACAAGGATATGTTTCACGGTGACACCGTTGGAAATTTTGGTGAAAAAATGGTGATGAGACCGGACACGGAATGTTCAGATTGTGATGCTTGCATCATATATCATATGTATCATATCTTCCCTGCTTGTATAGTATGTGATCTAAAACGCAATTTGTATAGATTTGTTCTATATGAAAAGACCGCATATATAAAATCCCTTTGGCCACCACATTCACAACATCAAGTACCATTCATACCCGTAAACCTGTGTGATACTAGCCTTTGCGTTCGCCAAGGCCTCTTGCGCTGCGGTCATTAGAACGGCCCGGGACGTCGTGGCTGACTTCGGTGTAGCGGCAGTGAGTTCCCAGTCAGAAGGGCTTCTTCAGCTCTCTAAGAAACGGACCAACAATGGGGAACGGGATTGCCACAACTTGCTGGCAAAACAGATGCAAATGTCTCTGCCGATCCCAAAAACTTTTCTGGATACCAAGGATGGTTCTCTCAAGATACCTTTTTTGAGGATCAGGGACTGGATGAAGTTTCTGGCAACCCACAACTGCCTTCACCTCCTTTGTGGTTTGGTAAAGCCGGATGCCAAGCGACAGAGTGACATTTGGCAAGCTTGGTGGGCAAACTTCGAGTTGCAATTCCCTTCTCACCCAGTTTTTGAGCGTGCCAGATCTGGTGAGATCAGTTTGCAACGAACGATTCCAATAGTGGTTCATGGAGACGAAGGGCGAGGAAAGAAGAAATCAGCTTTTCTGATTTTGAATTGGCACAGCATGTTGGGCCGTGGAATTGAGACTGGTCTGGCGAAAAACAAAAGCAGAGCATATTTGAAGATGTTGCCAAACTATGTTGGACATAGTTACACAACAAGATGGTTGCTATCTGCACTCCCCAAGCGGGATTACACTGGAAAGAACAGTTTCGCTTTCGAGATCCTCATGCAAACCCTGGCAGACGAACTTCTTCAGATGTCCCGTGATGGCATCAATCATCAAGGCGAGCAGTATCATGTGTATTGCTTGGGAATGGTTGGGGACTGGCCTTGGTTGGCTAAGTCTGGAGGCCTAGAGAGAACATTCATGAACATTCCCAAGCATGCTGGTGAACCAAACAGGCAAGCATGCAAAGGAGTGTGCCACCTTTGTCTTGCAGGCCAACCAGGCTGGGACTACGAGCAGATCAACACGAGACACCCGGCATGGCTGGATTCGGTCCTCACCCAACCGCCTTTTGATGAAAGTCGAAACACATTCAGCATTGTCCCGCACATTCCTGGGCAGTTGCCTATGTTTTGGAGGTTTGACATCTTCCACACTGTTCACTAGGGAGTGGCGCGAAACTACTTGGGCTCGATGTTGGCCTTGCTGTCTCAATTGGAGGCAGGTGGATCGGTCGATTCCAGGTTCGAACTGCTTTCAGCGAGTTATCTGGAATGGTGTTCTTCAAACCATCGGCAGGCGCACTGCCAAAGAATTACAAAGGAGCATCTGAACTGGGTATCAACGAATCACTACCCAACGGCTGGTTGGCACAAGGGAGACCTGAGCACGAGCTTGCTCCTTTATTGCGAGGCCAGGTATCATGCGGAGAAGTGGGAGGATGAGACACTCGCTCTAGCTGGGGAAGCTGCGGAGGCATTGAATGGTTTCTTGCACTTGCTTTACAATGGTGGAGCTTGGTTGGCTCCAGACGAAGCAGAGAAAGCTGCTGAGTTGGGGCTGAGATTCCTACGCAGGTATTCCAAACTTTCTTTCCTTGCCTTCTCCCAGGGGAAGAAATTGTGGCTAGTCATGCCAAAGCACCATAGTCTGCACCACATCCTATTAGAATTGCTTGATGGATCTAAACGTGGTCCTGTAATCAACGGACTGTGTTGGTCCGTGCGGCAAGATGAGGATTTCATTGGTAGGGGCTCCAGGCTGAGCCGTCACGTCAGTGCGGCACGTTGTTCTGAAAGAACAGTTGACCGCTACTTGATGTCTGCATACTCCAAGTTTGTGGAAGCTGGCTACTTGGTGGTGGCCAAAGGGTGATAGGTTTGATGTAGAGATTATATATCATATATTATATATATGGCAAAATCATTATATATTTGTGCAAGCACCATTCTTCTAGTTTGTAACTTTAGGCTTAGGGAATTCCCCATTTGAGCACCAGAGCTTCACACCACTTGGCTCCGAACTTGTCTGGCAAAGATCTTTGCCACGGGGAACAGGCCAAAATGGCATCAGCTGTGGGCCGGCTGGGAATGGGAAACCATGGTTTTCTGGAAACCCTGGGTTTTGATTGCAAACACCGGTTATTCAGTTACACCTGGCTTTTTTCATGGTTTTTGAGTTTCAAGGTATATATATATATATATATACATATAGATTCCCCCAAAAAGGTTAACATAGTAATTCATTTGATATTCCTCCAGGATATTGAAACATTGCGATGGGCGCCCACTGTTTAGGTGGCTGAAGATGAACCAGGCCATGAGTCTCTTGGAGAAAGTTGCGCAACCGTTTCCCATTGGTTGGTTAATAAAGGGGTTTGTTTGCCCTTTTAACAACAGGTACATGATGATAGATGGTATAGATGGTATACCAAACCGGCCCCTCTCTTTTTACCAAAAGCACATTATTGGGTAGTTCTGGGATGAAATTTTGATTATGAATTGTGTTTAATAACTATTCTTGGAAATAATTATTGGATGTCGATATTGATATGGGGATATTGTTACTGGGATATACTTGGAGATGGCATATTCATACTGTTTCGATGTACATAGACGGCTATTGGGTGAGATGGGATTTGATATATGATATACTCGTATTTGGGGATGGGAACAAAACCAGCCATTTTGAAAGGGATTTCTATATACTCGCTATGTTTGGAGTTTTCTTGTGGGATGGCTAACCATACCACGTATGCCATGCTGGACAACTGAGATGCGAATCCAAATAACCCAATTTGTTGGTTACAACTTCAAGGCCGGACTTGATGGTAACTGCCCCTATTTTTTTTAAAGGTGAACAGCAACAGTTTGAGGGGTGAGCCAGATGGTTTGATGCTTCGGCCATGTTGCGAAAACGTCTCCTTCTATCTGTGTATTCTAAGTCCACCTCCAATTTTGCTCCAGATTCATCGTACCAAGTTCCGTTTGGGATTTTTGCTGATGATTTGCCTATTGAACTATGGTGGTTTGCATAGCTGTTATGTTAAGTTGCCAGTGTTTACTGTATCAGGTTCTTATAGTGAAAAGGTGTCAAGCCTGGCATTGCGCCCTGACTGATGAATTGGACAACGTGTCAATCAACACATAAGTTATAATACATGTCATTGAAACATCTCTATCCAGTGGGAAATGGAGGGAACTGTTGAACGCTATTGGTATCCATCTAGATGTTGCAGCAGCGGAGCTACAATCAGAGGTTTCCAGCCACATGAGAGAGATATAATCGCGTATATATATATATATATATGTCTATTTATTTATTTATTTATTTATATTTAATATATATATATATGTTACGTACACATTGATACATATTAAATCTTTGTTTCGAGGTTACAAGATCTACGTGGACGACACCTTGGTGGCGGTGGCAGAGGAGACCCAGCAGGGCTTCCAGTCCATCACCTTCCGGGGAGTCCAAGAGGCGCGGCGTTTCATGGCGTTTCGCGGCGATCCACGAAACGAAATAAATGGGGAAATGGTTGGGAAGTGAATGGATGATTTTTTGGAACATGTTACGAACATGTTATGTCATAGTCAACTAGGTAACTTAATGGGAACATTGTTGTGATGTTAGGAACTTAGAAACTTCATGGCAACTATGGTAACTACAGTAAAGCATAATATTCTGCTGTGTTGTTTCTCAGGTCCGAAATGGGAGACATGAGAGACTTAGACGGGAAAACAGGATCCAGCGAGAGGAGAATATGTCTTCTGCGATCGGTAGATGCGAAGATTGTTTGCTTCAATTTTTGCAGAGCCACCAAGGCCATAACTGCCATAACTAAAATGATGCTATGATAAATTGCATTTTTCCATGATAAATGCTTCGACCACGTCGAAGCAATACATTTTTTCCATGACAATGCTGGAAGAGCTGGGGTAAATCGTTGGTCCCAGAAGAGATGGATTTTCAATGGACCCCATGATGGGAGTATATATAGTATATAGTGTCCCATTAAGTGGACATTATATACCATGTGACTATGTATCTATATATATATATATATGTATCTATATATATATATACAAATATATAGAGATATTCTCAAAGCTGCAACGCCTCATTATCGTGGCATTCAACCAACTCCCTCCCATGACTGCCCCAGTAATAGCTCGCCAACAAGCGCTGATTAGTGGTTGTTGGTGGTTAGTAAGCCCAAAACACAAGCCAGAAATACAAGCAAATATATTACCAGGTAGGTTAATCGAAGGTAGGTTACTAGAACCAACCAGCTATATAATGCCCATCCATTTATGAGATACAAACATCTATTATGGATATCATATATATATAGCATTTATTGCCAGTAAATAACTTACATAATTAGTTGCTTTCAGTTCCTGTCAGTTATCAGAGTAAACTTAAAATAAACGTCATACATAAATGTCTGTAATTTCTTTGAGAAACAAGTACAGTATAGTAAAGTTACCATAGCTTATAAATCACCATAGTTACCATAAGTCAAACTCATGTCAGTATTATATCTACCAAACTTACCATAGTGTTGTGTTGTTTTTAGACAGTTACATACATTAAATTACCATAGTTACCCTTAGTTACTTTTTATTTATCGTAAGTTGTTTATGCTAGCTGGTGGAAAACTGCGCGTGTAGTCGTGCTACTTTTCAATATGGGGTTTGGGTGGTGTGGGGTGGGGCAATATCGTTCAAGTTTTGTGCGCACTTAACTGATGCGAAGCTACGGCATGGCTTGGGATTTTGGCTGGGGTGGGGTGGGGCAATAACGTTCAATTTACTTGCACACTCAACTGATACTACGCTACGGCTACGTAAAAAAAAATCCAAGGATCTCGTGTCAAGTGTTTGGACCACCCGGAAAAATAGGGCTATTAATCTTCACTTGCTTCAAGGAAGTCGAATTTGGCAATGGACATGGCACCTTGGAAATTCCAAGGGCTACATGAGTCTCACAGATCACGCCCTAAGAAAGCGCTTGGCAGACTGAAGCGGCGATGGCAGAAGTAAAAAGCGACCATCATCCCAAACTCACAAAACCCTGTAAATACCATGTGATCACTTCAAAACTGAATATTAGTAAGTAAGTATTCTAAGTTCCAACAAGTTACCATAGTTTATAAGCTGCCATAGCTGAACTACAACAAGTCATAATCATGAATCATATTCACCAAACTTACCATAGTTTGTAAGCAACATTAATTTTCCATAGGTACCAAAGTTGATTATTAGTAAGTAACTAGTCTAAGTTACATTAATTTTCCATAGTGTAGAAGTTACCACACCTCTTCTACAGGTCATAATCATGCATCCTGTTTACAATTGTTTACCAAAGTTACCATAGTTTTTAAAGTTACGTGAAGTTACCATAGTTACCATCAAGTTAACATTAGGCACCACAAAGGTGAGCTAGAAAGTTAGACCTTTAGTATCATAAGTTACCATTAAGTTACCCTTCGTCTCAAAGTGAACCATAACTTATATATATAAGTTCCCGCAACCTTAGTTCACCACAAGTTCACCATTAACTTAACCACAAAAGGTACCACCATTTTTATAACCACCATTTGTTAATGTAACCACAAATTAGTTAACCACCATTAGTTAGTAGGTACCATAACATTAGTTACCATTAGTTCACCATTAGTTAACCACCTTAGTTCACCATTAAGTTACCAATGGTTCACCATTAGTTCACCAAATTAAGTTCCAATGGGCACCATTAGTTACAATTAGTTTCCATTAGGTGCCCATTTTTTTTGGCCAAGGAGAACAAAGGACGAGAATTGGCCTCCTCGGTGCTGCAGTCGCGGCACTTCCATGGCAAGCCCCTGGGCCCGCCGTAGCCGGCGCCGCGCCGGGGAAGCCTTTGATGGGGACTACATGGGGAAGAATCAACGAAAATCACCTAGAAATGCTGGGGAAGACGAGTTCTAGACCTGGGTTTCAGGAGAATGATATTGTAAATGATATTATATAGTGGATTTATTGAGAATTTAGCAGTCATTACCTTTATAATTGTGAATTAATTAATGATAATAGATATAAATTTGTTGATATATAACTTAGGAACTAGAGTGTTAACTGTTACCCGTTTGTTTATATAATTATATATATATGGGTAAATTATAACGACCTCACTGCGACCTCACTGGAATCATGATTAATAAGGGAAATCATCCCCAATTGGCCTTATTTCAGGTTAGTGAAATATTATAATTTACCCATATATATATATATTTACCTATTACCGTCCATATATAACCCACTTAACCGCGAATTGGGCACTTACAATCACCACGGTCACTAAGCAGTTATGGTACTAAGTGCCCCCAAAATATACTCCAAAGTGGCCAGCTACTAGGGAGGATGGTGGAACATGTTGATGTTCCTTCGCAAAAGGGGTGCTATGTTTTCAGACAAAGCCAAACGGAGATTGTGTTTCCTTGTTAAGACTTGTGTCTTGAAAGAAATGTGATCAGGTTTGGAGATGGAAGCCCATGAAAGTCGGTATTGGATTGTGTTTTGATGCTATATGAATGATGATTCAGACTTTTTAATGCTAAATGTTACTTCCTGATTGCAGCCACTGAATGGTGGTTAAATCGTTTGTTGCTGCAACTCCCAGACTGGTGGTTTTGTTCCGCATGACGCAAGCTCTATCAGAAATGGTGTGCCCTGTCAAAGGTCTCCAAGAATTTGGAGGGGCGAAAAGAAGAGCAATGTCTGGCATGTTCTTGCAGCAATCTCATCCCCCTATATAGTGTAAAATACCACCCCGTATGCCCCAACTGCACAGATTGAATGAAGGATTGTAGATTGTAGAGGAACTATGAAGACGGGGATCGGGAATCTGTTTTTGACCCCACCAGAGGACTGCAAATCCTTGAAGATGTACTGTATATGATAATATATGGGTTGGCTTGAGCATTCGGTCAATCGGGTGGACGTTGACGTCATCCATCAAGCATCATCAATGAGCTGAGGTATGATGTGTGGTTAGTGCAGAACAAACAGGCTCTGCGTTCAAAATGTCTGCTTTCGTCAGCATAATTAGCATTATTTTCCTCCGAAAGCCAGCAAAATTCTTCATAAATCCAAGATGAGAAGTATCCAGAAATGGTGTTATTCCTCGGATTTCCAATCGATAGTTCCACTGATTTCACTACTTTAATACTGAACACGCAAATTTCTCCAATTCGTGTGTCATTGAATGGCTCTACTGTGAACACTTCCACTTATTAGGTATTTGTTCAGTCATGTTGCGAAGTGTTCAAGTCCTACCAATGATCCTCAAGCACGTTGTTATTTCTATGCATATGAAGCTGATCCATTTCATGGTCGATGACCATCTATGCCAGCCGAAGAACAAATCCAGCACCTTGGGTACGGTTGCTCAATCCGAGGTTTTACCAAGCAACTTACCATTCAAGGGTATTGAATTAAGTAAGCATTCTTAAACCATCCTCCAAGAAGATTGGGTGTGTAGAAACCACCAAAAAGAATCACTTAAAGATAGAAACGTAAAATTCCGACTGGAATCTTAGCCCCAAAATCACCATTGAGCAATCCCACAAAACATCAAAAAGTAACCCCGGCAACCCCCATGACAACCGCCAGGAAGATGTGATGCTCCCGGACTATGTTAGCAGTGCCACCACGTTGCTGTGCCATGGCGATTCACGGCGATTGTTTGCTGCGAAGATGTGAAATGACTAGTGATTAGTGATTAGTTATCAAGAGTGATTCAATAGCGATTCAATGGTGATTTAATGGTGATTTATTAGTGATCATTAGTGATTCATAGTGATTATGTAATAGTGATTCATAGTGATTAATAGTGATTCATAGTGATTAATAGTGATTTATGAAACTAACATGGGAATCTTATCAATCTAACATGGGAACCGAACAAACTAACATGGGAATGACTAGAAATGGAGGTTTCCAGCGTCTTGGGGGTGACCCAGGGTCACCATGGGTGTTTCAATGCTAAGTAACATCCATAACTTGGATGATTTGGGGTACCTCTATTTTAGGAACCCCCAAACCCTCATGCTACCAAATGCTAGTTGAAATGAGTTGAAATGCGTATGGTTATGAAATGCTATGAATTACCACCAGCAAATTAATATAGATGTATGGATTATCCATGATTTGTAGATAATGTTGTTTGGGTTTGCCCATAGCTTGTCCGAAATAGTTGGTATTTCTCCAAATTGGGCAAAATAGGGTACGCATGGGTACGCCAGAACTGCACAGTTTATCAATGTTGATCATAATTGTTCACTAAAGTACCCATGCGTACCAATCATGATAATCATTGAACAATTATGATAAACATTGATAAACAATGAATTCTGCACTGGGTTCACATGGAATAATCATATCTTTATTTAATTTGGACCATTCTGCATGCGAAATTTGCATCTAAACCTTCATGATTTCGATCTCCCACCTGTTGATGTCCGGGAGATCTGAGGTATGCCTTCTATACACTGCATCAAGACAAGAGAGATGTGGCATCTGTTGCAAAGGACCAGGAAAAGGCGACCAAAACGATGTTGGGATGTCCCCCAAAAAAGGCAGGCACTAATATTTAGCAACCATTCATCACACTACGGCACTTGATAATTGAAAATTATTGTGTAATTGAATATATTTCTTCATAATGATGGTTGATTGATGATTAGTTCAGGGGTTATACTGGTTCTTTTAGACAAAACTACTCCTTGCAGCGAGCGATAGACCCATGCCAACCTTATAATTCTGTCTTTAGTCGGAACTTCAATTGTGCATAAGATCATAAGCTTGTCACACAATATATCATGTCGTTCCACGGCAAATAAACGGGAGTTTCATACAATACAGTATAATTAATGTGTCATTTACATGTCATTAATGATGTATTATTAATGTCAATACAGTATCATGTGTCATTTATATGTAATCTAACGGGAGTTTTATAAATGAGTTTTATTACCATCTGGTTATGACTAACATAGCCATTGAAAGATCCACCATTTTTACGAACGGTAAACCATCTATTTCTATGGGCCATCTATACCATGGCTATGTTAGTCATAACCACAGGGTATATCATGTGTCATTTACAGGTCATTTATGGTCAATACCTCAGGGGAAATGATGATCTCTCTGTGACGGAAGCCTGGAATGCGCAAGTTTCAGCGATGTTTAGGTTGGTGAACTGCTGTAATTCAGCCAGATTTACTGTAAGATAATGATATATATATATAATACATCCTGAATCATTCATGGCTAAAGGAATAAAATTCATTGACATAGTGATTACAGGTTCATTTATTCCAATGTCCTATTATATTATCATTACCTACTATTTTGATTCATGATCATAAATGAATTCTTATTATTCAGGGGATTCCCATTGACCCACTGCCGACTGCTCAGAGGATCCAGACAGAGATGTGGCAGATGTGGGGGTCCGACCCAATAGGGTATCCCCCCAAGTGATGGCCGGTTGAACCATTGGACCAAAAATTATGGCTGGTTGCTGGTGATTTACCATGAACATAAAAAAAAAACATGAGCAACAAACATGGGGAACGAACCAGAAGTGGATTTGCTAAAAAATGATTTATTATGATTAGCTTATTATGAAATGATACCAGCCTGGGGTGGTGTCAATTTCTGTCAGCCAGGGGATGATTTCGAATGACTCGTTGAGATGGTACTGGGAAGTTCTTAAATCAAGTCCATGTCCACCCTGCCTTTGGGGTATAGCCGGTATAGCGATCAAATCATGAAAGAGCAACAACATAGATCAGAGTAGTTCGTTCTCACTCAAGTATATCCTTTCACCCTTAAGGCATGATTATTGACCCCATAAAAGGTAGGTAATCGTAGACCGTCATAGGGATTGTGGTAGTGGGATAGCACCCCCATCAACTCCGAAACGGACCCTCGGACCCGTTATCAGGACGGAAAACCATGACATCGCTAGAAATGATGGCTTTTTTTAAGGATAATGATCCCAAACATGGCCGTATACTAAAAAATGAGGTTCGTTCATCAGTGTTGATTCAGCCATAGCCATCAAACATCATCAAGCTGTATGAAAAAAATGAAAAAAAAGGAGGTTTCCTATGGGTATTCCCAAACCTTTGCCTTTCCCATTGATCAGCAATCGGATGATCACTTGGTTGCCAGGCGCACCCCCCGAACTTCCTTGCGGCGGCAGAGGTGGAGAAAAAGAACGTCTCTGTAGCTCGGTTTTCCACCTGGGGATGGGTCAAGTTAGTTGTACCACGACTGGTGGAATCACCAGTTTTGACCTATTTTTCAGGAGAAATTACCGAGGGTTATGCACCAGGGTTTTGAGCCGTTTTCCGGCTGGTTGACATTATGCAACCATATACTATACAGATATATAGAGATATTGTGTAGTTGAGATGTCGTGGAAGTCTGGAAGTCTTTCTGGATGGTTTTTTGTCTTCCTGGCAGCTTCTGTTGGGCTCATAATCCCAGGGTCTAAAGATGGGGGATACGACCATTTTGGTAGGGAAAACAATGATAAACCATAGGATTTTGCAGGGGACCCTATTCTTAAGCAACCCTATGGCCCCATGCTGGTTTTGATCCCGTTTTCCAGTGGGTAACTCTCCGTTTCTATCCGATTCCTACGCGAATGTTTGTGGCAGAAATTTCATGCGTTGCCAAGGAACATATTGCGGCGCCCCTAGAGATTCCTGTGGAGGCTGAAGTGAAAGTGGCAGAGGTTGAGACGGCTCAACCGCCGAACTTGGTGTAATGTGTAGGTTTCGGTATCTACGCCCCTGAAAACTTACATGGAATCCCACAAAAATTATTGCAGGCTGATTTCCTGTACCTGGAATTGACCATTTTTGGGAGTCCGTGTTGTTTTTTGTTGGGGTGTATTAATTTCTTGATGGGTGCCAGATGTCACATATTGTTATAATGGCAACTATATCCAGTCCTGGAGGTAGCTCTAAAGCCCTTCAAATGATTTCAAACGCGGAAAGTAACTCGGCATTGGCTGATTGGAAGTATTTCTGTAATCAGTGAGTCATCATTGCTCTTGCCCAACATGAGTGGTGAACCTCTGATCCTTCCAATCATTGTCCTAATACAGTGTTGAAGTTCTTGAGGTGGAAGGACATTGGCACCCAATTTTCATGAGTGAACTGTTAGCTTATGTTAGAGACACCAGAAAAAGCACGTTCTCCAATGGTGGGAACAGGATGGAACAGGCCCGTTCAGTTTGAGCTGTGCTTGGAGAGGACGAGGTTGTAATCGGTCGATCCATGTCGATCGGAACATCGTTTGAGCAGATGCTTTCGGCGAAAAGGGTGACAGGTTGTTGTGGTCAGGAGAGATATGGTTATGACTAACATAGCCATGGAAAATCACCATTTTTAATAGGTAAACCATCTATTTCTATGGGCCATTTCCCATGGCTATGTTAAATAACCAGATGGTACTAGATGATACTAGGCTCTGGGATTCGGGATAGGCTGGGATCAGGATTCCATGCACCCTGCACTTCTGAGCATTTGGTTCAGTCTTGGATGACTATTTTTTTTGCCGTTTGTCGTTGCTATAACTGCCTTTTTTTGTTGGCAGTTGAACCTTCTGATCCAACATGTTTGATGATAAACCGAGTGCTAGACCATACCATATTTACATATGTGTTCCTTTGTTGTATTCCTCATGTTTACAAACCATTTCCATGTCATATTATATATACGTATATATATATATATACATATAATATATATATATATTGTTTTGTTTTTTGTTAGACCTTGATTGGATACTTTGATAATTAAGTACCACTTAATCATTATTACAAGTGACCTCAGCAGATTTGAGCAGCATTCCGAGTGATTCAAGCGCAGCATTTCAATCTATACCAAAGTTTCGAGTGATATACAGTGCTATCACCAGATTTTTTTTTGGTGATTTCACCAGACATTCATAGAATTTCAACAGATTGCACCAGAAGTTTATCAGAATTTCAAATGGCTATGGATCAATACCTATACATACCATTTTTAGGGGGTTATTCACATCCATTTTAACCCAGCTATTTTGATGTGAACTACAGGGGTACTATTGGTTTTGACCCATCCCCAAATGACATCACTGTGGAGTTGTTCTCCTTGACCCAGGTCATCTCTGAGCGGTTGGTTCCAGAGCCCACCGGAAGTTGAGTCGCGCCGATCTGCGGGAAATGTTGGACTTTGACGGTTCGGTTTGATGTTGTTTTACCATGTTTTACCCATGAAGAAATGGTGATTCAATGGTGATTCAATGGTGTAAAACACAATGTTTTACCCTTATTCAGAAGACTTCTTCAAGGTCATGGTGATTCATGGGATTCGAACGGGATCCAATGGGATCCAATGGGGGTATTTTTTTAAAGGTACATCATGCTATTATGGGTAAATCCAATGGGATGAATTGATATAAAGAATCAATATTTCAAGATTATGGTATATATATCACTATTGATTGGATTATGGTATAAAGAATATGTATGGATTGTAAAGACAACGATATGATATTATTAGGTTTTTGATGGTTTTTGTCCATCCCACTTGTTTCTTGGTTCCCTGAAATATGTATGGCATCTAAATGGAGAACAGGATGATAGAACACTGGATCTCATAGGTGACTCAAATGATGGCAAGTTCTGCAATACGCAAGTATGATATCCGAGAATCCTGGAAATTCCATAGACATGTAGATATATCACATATATTATTACAAGTATTAGATAGATATGTAAATTGTCAAAGTCGTTGATTGCTGAAACACATCTTGCAGAAAATTAATAACAATGGATGATGAAAATAAATCAATCAGGAAAATACAAGCTTAAAAGTTTGTGAACAACTGAATTGGAACGCTGGAAGAGGGGAGGTTGGCATGATGCAGCAAAAGCACGTCGGATCGAGTCAAATCTATTGACCCCCGAAAATATATTGAAAATAAGTTAACATAGGGACCTTTTGTGGGGTCCATAGATATCATATTGTTGACCCATACACACAAAATATGCCTGGACATCATCATGGCCAGAATCAGAAAAGGGTGTGGGGTGACAATTTGCTCACAGTTGCTTTTCGCTGAGTCCAGGCTCAAAGCCTAATCCATGGTAGGAACAGCTATCAAGCAAAGTTGGACAGGCTGTATGTCCGTGTATGATGCTTGATGTAGGAACAGCAAGATCGATACATCCACCTTGCTGCAAGAGACCTTAGTGGAAAGACACGCTGGCCATATGGCTCGGTCACCATAAATTTCAAAACAGGGACCCAGAAATTTCAGGATCTGTCACCATACTCCCGAAGCTTGACTACCATGGTAGTCTAACATTGTCTACCAGCAATAGCCCCATCTTTGGAACCATGACAAGCCCATAAGCCTCGACACGGGCAGAGATTGGCGGGCAGCACGGGGTTCCTTGCTGGAGGGTTACACTCTTGAACAAGTAATGGGAAAATGGTACATGATGCTTTTCCTACAAAAGAAATCACTTGTTCCAAGCTAATTCAACCTATCTATCTATCTGTCTGTCCATCTAACTATCTATCTATCTATTTATCTATCTATCCATCTATCTATCTATCTATCTATCTATCTATCCAGCTATCTATCTATCTATCTATCTATCTATCTATCTATCTATCTATTTATCTATCTATTTATCTATCTATTTATCTATTTATCTTTTTATCTATCTAATCTATCTAATCTATCTAATCTATCTAATCTATCTAATCTATCTAATATATCTATCCATCTATATATATATATATCTATCTATCTATCTACCTACCTACCTAGCTAGCTATCTATCTATCTATCTATCTATCTATCTTTCTATCCAGCTATCTATCTATCTATCTATCTATCTATCTATCTATCTATCTATCTATCTACCTATGTATCTATGTATCTATGTATCTATGTATCTATGTTGGTGGATTTCTATTCAACTAATATCTTTGATTTTAATGTGTGCCAAAAGAAATATTCAGTGATAGATCGCACATATTTAGATGTTCATAAGTTTTGAAGTTGAACCCGAACCCAATGTACTCTGCATGTTCTCCCGAAGAAATCTCTGTTTTGACGCGGAGTCACGAGTCAAAATCATCCTGTTTTTTTTGGGCGCCCCTGGGTCATTTTCAGGGTAACTATTACAACTAAACAACCACATTGTTCATGCGGTGATCAGTGCCCAGGTTGTTCCGGGTGGCAGCATGAGCTTTCTGCCGAACCTGGATCCTGTGACTCCCAGCAATTGCAGATTTTTTGACAAAGATCTCAAGCTTTGTAGCAACCAGTGATTAACAGATGATGATTAATGGTGGTTAATGATGGTTAATGGTGGTTAATGATGGTTAATGATGGTTAATGATAGTTAATCAAATAGCACCATAATTTTGATATCATATTTGTGGTAAAACAGCAGAAATCCTCCCAACATGAAGTAACATGTTAGAGCAATTCACGGGTATAGTTTCAAACATGGTGACATTTCGATCCGTATTATGATTTCCCATGACATTTGTTTCGCGGGTGAAACCACTTATCCTCTGGTAATTTAACAGTTTGATATGTAAAATCACAATTTTGCATAGACCTTTTTCTTTACGGAATTCATCTATACATAAGCCATTTTCCCAGCTCAAGTCTTACCGGAGGACCAGAGTTCGCAGTTCATTGTCAGGCGACTCTCTTGGTGATTTGGCAGATTCTGCTTCTTGTAGTGCTGCTTGTGGCTTTCGTTTTCTGTGTCTATTCTCACTGCCGCCGCGTGAAGAAGCTGTCGGACACTGGCCCTTGATTTTGAGCAAGGCTTCTGATTGTTGGTGATTTGTTTGTTGTTTTTTTTGTTTCGTGTTATCTAAAATGTTATGACACTGTATCAACGTGAAATCAACTTGTTATTTTGTTTTCCGAATCAGTATCTGTATATATATAATTATATATATACACCTGTATGCTGTTAAAACTTAAACCTTGATTATTTTCCTGATGTTGGCAGCCATTGAAAGTTTCATAAGACTCGCCTCCTGGGGAGGTGGCGGAAATCGGGGCATTTTTCGAATGAATCGAAACTAACAATTTGGAGATCCCAGTTGAAGCCAGGAAAGCCAATCGCGTTTTGATTTCCCACTTCATTCACTTCATTTGCCTCGTCAAACTTAGCCCCCAAATGGATGGTTTGATTCTGTTGACCGACGAATCTCATCCCATGGGGTCGTAGCTAGGACACAGATGTGGAAGCCTTCCATACCTTTAAGGAGGTCTACAAGTGGCTCGGTGATGGATTTCTCACCCATGTTGGGAACAAGGTGAGAAACCAGTGTCACTCCAGTACCAGATGTTCAGACAAAGGAATGTAGGCATATATCATATAAATATATATATATGTGATATATAATATTATATCTAATATTGTAGGCAGACTTCTGTTGGTCAGGACTAGGGAAATTATATGATTTATGGTACAGGTTATTATTCACCATCATTAACCATATCATAATAGATAGTTAATAGTATATTAACCATCATTAACCATCATTAACAATCATTAACGATCATTAACCACCATTAACCATCATTAACCATCATTAACCACCATTAACCATCATTAACAATCATTAACCATCATTAGCCATCATTAACCACCATCAACCATCATTAACCATCATTAACCATCATTAACCGTCATTAACCACCATTAACCATCATTAACCATCATTAACCATCATAAACCATCATTAACCATCATCAACCATCATTAACCATCAATAACCATCATAATAACCAAAGGAGACAGAAACAACGTGACCAAAAAGATAGACATATAGAAATAAATCTATAGAAATAGATCTATAGAAATTGATATAGAAATTGATCTATAGAAATTGATCTATATAAATAGATCAGTAGACATATATCTATAGAAATGGATCTATATAAATAGATCTATAGAAATAGATCTATAGAAAAAAATCTATAGAAATTGATCTATAGAAATAGATCTATAGAAATGGATCTATAGAAATAGATCTATAGAAATTGATCCATAGAAATAGATCTATAGAAATTGATCTATAGAAATTGATCTGTAGAAATGGATCTATAGAAATTGATCTATAGAAATTGATCTATAGAAATAGATCTATAGAAATTGATCTATAGAAATAGATCTATAGAAATTGATCTATAGATATAGACCTATAGAAATTGATCTATAGAAATAGATCTATAGAAATTGATCTATAGAAATAGATCTATAGAAATTGATCTATAGGAATAGATCTGTAGATTTTGATCTATAGAAATTGATCTATAGAAATAGATCTATAGAAATTGATCTATAGAAATAGATCTATAAAAATAGATCTATAGAAATAGATCTATAGAAATTGATCTATAGGAATAAATCTATAGAAATAGATCTATAGAATTTGATCTATAGAAATTGATCTATAGAAATTAATCTATAGAAATAGATCTATAGAAATAGATCTATAGAAATGGATCTATAGAAATAGATCTATAGAAACATATCTATAGAAATAGATCTATAGAAATTGATCTATAGAAGTAGATCTATAGAAATTGATCTATAGAAATTGATCTATAGAAATAGATCTATAGAAATTGATCTATAGAAATTGATCTATAGAAATTGATCTATAGAAATTGATCTATAGAAATTGATCTATAGAAATTGATCTATAGAAATAGATCTATAGAAATAGATCTATAGAAGCATATCTATAGAAATAGATCTATAGAAATAGATCTATAGAAATAGATCTATACAAATTGATCTATAGAAATTGATCTATAGAAATTGATCCATAGAAATAGATCTTTGGAAATTGATCTATAGAAATTGATCTATAGAAATTGATCTATAGAAATAGATCTATAGAAATTGATCTAAAGAAATTGATCTATAGAAATTGATCTGTAGAAATGGATCTATAGAAATTGATCTATAGAAATTGATCTATAGAAATAGATCTATAGAAATTGATCTATAGAAATGGATCTATAGAAATTGATCTATAGATATTGATCTATAGAAATAGATCTATAGAAATTGATGATCTATAGAAATTGATCTATAGAAATTGATGATCTATAGAAATTGATGATCTATAGAAATTGATGATCTATAGGAACAGATCTATAGAAATAGATCTATAGAAATGGATCTATAGAAATTGATCTACAGAAATTGATCTATAGAAATTGATCTACAGAAATTGATCTATAGAAATTGATGTATAGAAATTGACCTATAGAAATTGATCTACAGATATTGATCTATAGAAGCATATCTATAGATATTGATCTATAGAAATAGATCTATAGAAATTGATCTATAGAAATTGATCTATAGAAATTGATCTATAGAAATTGATCTACAGAAATTGATCTATAGAAATTGATCTACAGAAATTGATCTATAGAAATTGATCTATAGAAATTGATCTATAGAAATTGATCCATAGAAATAGATCTTTAGAAATTGATCTATAGAAATTGATCTATAGAAATTGATCTATAGAAAGTGATGATCTATAGAAATAGATCATCTGGTTTTTGTTGGAAACTGCGTTTCTGACTTGGCGTGAAACGTGTGTTTTCCACTTTGCGTTTGGGAGTTTTGATCCAACTACACTTGGCCACATGGGTTGTCTTAAAATACCCAATAGTGGCAACTTGACCATGTTTCCCATGACAACTGCCATATATGTATACATGAACTGAGGTGGATTCTGCAATTCTTGGCAAACCAATGTTTTAACAGTTTTTGCTGTTCCAATGATTTTCTTTTTAGCTATCACCAAAAAAGGAAAGTAAATTCCTGCTAAAGTAGTGGCATCATGATGTGGAGGAGGGTTGCAAGACAATCTCCCCAATAAACTATGTAGGTAGATCCAGCTAAAGCAACCCCCAAAGTTTGGGGCCCAAACAAACATATGTAGCATGTTTCAAGGATGTTGTAAATGATATCTATAGACTATATACTTGAGAGATTGCCAGTTCTGTTCTATCATGTTCTATCATTTGTTTCGGATTGCTATACTGACTGGTGGTTTGGAACATTTGTTATTTTCCCCAATAGTTGGGATGATGATCCAATCTGACGAACTCATATTTTTCAGGGGGTAGGTCAACCACCAACCAGTATAGTTTAGATACCCCCAACCTGCTGGGGATTCCAAGGGGTCTGGATATCGAAGTGGACGAAGAGATCTTTGACGTGGAGCGGAACCCAGCAGCTCAACAGCGCAGAGGGGATATCATGTGGTGTAATTAATACGCAACAAGAATGGGGTCACCAACAACAGGAAGATATGCGTATGTATATTTTATGATATTATCTATTAATATATATTGTTATATGATACAATGATACAATGTATATATATATTATCTGATATAACTTTTACAAATGATGCTTAAACGGGATTTAATTGATTTTTTTCTATTTGATGTACTGGGATTTGGAACAGTAATGAATGGGTATACTATGGAATAACAATGATGTGTTTTGTTGGTTTTTTAAGGGACGTTCCATAGCGTTCCATCCTATTTAGAAGATGATCCTTAGAGTGCCTTTGCTGTTTTTGCTGCTGCCGTTCCTCTTCACTGATGTTTTCTCTATGTTCTGTCTACGTGCCATCCCTGTCATAGGTTTATCTGAAAAAGGGTACCCCAAAATTTGACGGCTGTTCAGTTTACATGATGTTAACCCTCAATTTCCCTGTTTCAATCTTTTCAGACATAGCCAAACAGTTGTGGTTTGTTGCAGATCTAATTATATCCCGTTAACTCCCTATGGTTTTGGGTTAAACACCCCATTTTCAGACTTACTTAAGTGTAAGGCAGATGTGATTACATAATGTCAATGTATATATATATATAATATTATATATATATGTGTGTGTGAGCGACAGCTTCTATTTGGCTAAATGGAGAGTAGTATTGGGCCGTACCCCGGTTTGCCGAAAACATCATAATTATGTTTTAAAACGAGGTAGGAACACCACGAGAACGAGGTGTAGGCATCTCATGTAATGAAAAGCATTTAGCTACTAAAAGCGGCCGTGCGGCGTTGGAAAACGAGGTCAGGCCCCCGCTAGGGGACTGGAAAGTCCGCGGCTCATATATCCAATATTATCCAATATTATTGTAATCTTCCAATAGCGTCCTCATTATATAAATTCCATTGATTGTGAAAAAGGCATATCCCATTATATGCGCCTATGAAATATCCCATTATCCCATATTATATCCCGAATCAATGATCTTGCGTCTCGATCCTCACACTCGTGATCTGTGTTGCTTTTCCTTTGAGACCTCGTGTGGGCCTCAGAAGTGATGCAGAAAAAAATATTATATCCCGAATCCCATGATATAAATCAATTAAATCCCATTAAACCACATTTATTGTTAACATTCTTGTCCGATTAAGCCACATCAAAGCCGAAAGATTATTATCCCATTAAGCCACCTATGAAATCCCATGATGATCCCTTAAAATCCCATCAACATCCCTATGAAATCACAGTATTTCCTCCAGGAATGCGTCTGCTTCGAGACCATCCGGGCCGCCAAGCCTGCGGACTCCTGGTCGACGGCTCGACGACATCTAGGCGGTCGCAGTGGCGAGCGGGGTTTCGCGGGTTGGGGGGATCCCACGGAAATCTGATGTGATAGAGATTTACCCTCTGGTAATTTAACATAGCTATGGAAAATCACCATGTTTAATGGGAAAATCCACTATATAAATGGTAATTTTCAATAGCTATGTTAGTTTACCAGAGGGTAACGGGATTTTAGAGGGAAATAGTGGTTAGTGATGGTGAATCATTGATAGTGAATCCTTAATCGGATACTTAACTGGAATTACTTTTTGGTAATCAAACTGCGATAATGGGAAATCCATCAAATGGAATTGTTAATGGGAGAATTATCTATAAATGGTGACTCTTCGATTGCCATGTTTGACTAACGGAGGTAAATGTAATAGTGGTTTCAGTGACCGGCTCCGATTCCTCGATCAGAATGACTCGTCCCTAATCACAGGACCAAAATAACCCCAACATGAGTATGTTGCATCCCATTTGCGAGTGGATACAACTGATAACTACAAAATCATGCATAGTGGTTTGCAGTTCAAATCCCAATCATGTATACCGATGTACATTAGTTATAGATTATATAAATATATATATATATACATATATATATATAGAGTATGCAAGGTATCGGCTCTGGAGGTGTGGAGGAGTGTCCCCCCTCGCATCTCTCAGTCTTTCCTTAGGGGGGTGCGCATGATCGCGCGCTGCCTCGCACTGACACTTTGTGGCATTGGGTCCATTAGCGATTTCTCGAAGGCAGGGGAAAGAGCATTCTTGGCATCGCCTACTGCGCAGGAAGAGGCGCAAGGCGTGGGATTTGGTCAGGAAAAGTTCTACCTCAGCCCTGGGCAGGCGGAAACGGAAAAAACTGCGTTTGGCACTTGGAGTGCTTCAAGGGCACCATTCGTGGAATTTCCAAGAAATAGCACTGCGCATACGAGAAAAGATAGCTATGACCTGGTATTGCCAATCGTGCAAAATTCAGAACAGCCAAAAGCACGACACATGTCGTGGATGTCAAGAGCACTGGAGCCGTGTGTGGAAGGAGCCGGTGAAAAGGCGTTCACGCAGCAAAAGCAAGGGAGCCAAGCAACAAGAGCAGCAAAATCAAAAAGACAGTGTCGCGGAAGCGTGGCAGGTATTTCCAACGAAAGTCCCATGGATACCAAGTACGCCAGCAACCAGACATGTGACAAAGCAAACAGAGACTCCTATGGGAACACAGATGATGGAGGCGGGCATTGTAGCTCAGCCGCCACTTCCTCTTCCAGCTATCTCATCAAAGGAGGAACCTCTGACAGACGAAGAGAAGAAAAAGCTGACTCATTTGCGTGGCTTGAAAACCATGGATGTACAACTTCCAGCAGAGCTGGAGGAACAGTTGGCCATTCTGGAAATGAAGGAGAAAGAGGTGAACAATTCCAAAGCCTTGTCTCATGGACACCTCAATCGCATGACAAAGATCAAGACCCAAATTGGAGCGCAATCCAAAAAGATCGAGGCTCTGGATTTGGAATGGTCTGCCTTTGTGAAAAATACGATGCAGAAAGTCTCCCAACATGCAGATCTTTACCAACAATGTCGTGGAGAGATGATGGAGGTTTACAATCAGAAGCTCGACGAGCTCAGGAAGCTCAAACACGAGCTGACAATGGCATCCAGAAGTCTCATAGATCAGCAGTTGGAGGAGCCGCCAGAAGCACCTCTAGATTCAGTGGAGACACAACTGGATTCAATGAGGTCGGCGATGGCCACAGCAGGGTCTGTCACACAGGTCCACGAGCTCTCGGACGAGGACGACGAGATGGTGCTCGGAGAGGAACAAGATGTGGAGATCATCAAAGGGAGCAGAGCAGCGAAAGCCAATTTCAAAGCTGCAACCTCACCGCAGAAGGTGGCCAATCTGCATTTGAAGCAAAAGAAGGAGAAAGCAGAGAAATGAGCCATGGAGGTGTATTTTCGAACACCGGGTCTATCTCTCTTTTTCAAGATAATGATGAGCTTTGTGGAAACAGCCCTTATGTGGACAGGAGGGCAGTTGCAGCTTGTCAGGAATTGTCTCATCTGAATTTGGGCATTGGGAGTTTTGCTCAAACTTGGAGAGAGACCATGAGTGAGTGGTGGAATGCCGACAGAGGTTGGTTACCAGACCATTGTCTTCAGTCGAATGAGCAGTCCAGAAAATGGTTTTGGCTAGAGCACAACGGTACCAGCCAACCGACACAGGAGAATGATTACGATGTTGATCTTGAATCAAGAACAAAGGAAGTTCTTCCAGCGGCACATTGGGTGAACCAGTGGCAGAGAAAGTTTGAGCCTCATGCGTTGTATGATGGAGCCTTTCCATGTCTGGTTGAAGAGTGTAAGAATGGACCCAATGAAAGTTTTCTTGAACATGCGTATGAATCGGCAGGGCTTGCTGATGATTTGTGTAAGCATTGGGAGAAACCACGAAGTTGGTTTCTGAACAAGCCACGGAAGACGGTTGGTTTTCATGAGAAGGTTCAGGTAGTTTGCATTTATGATGGAGAAGTTTGCGATTTTGAAGTTTGGGAGGACGATCGTGAATGTTGGTTGCGCAACGTTTGGCATTTGCATGGACAAATCATGGCTTGGCCTATGTTAGCACGCTATTCCGCCTTTATTTCACAACATGCTCTCCTTCCACGTCAGTCGCCACTCCACCTTGAACAATCTGTCAATGAAGGTTTCAGGTCAGATGTCCCTTTTTTCCATGCGAGACAGTATGATGATGTGAAAATGGGTTCGTTTGATGACACTGGAACATGGCATGATTGTTGGTTTGAAATGATGCAAAAATGGATTCAGCAAGAAAGAGTGGTCACGGGACGAAAGGTGGTCACTTGGTTTTTGGCCAAAGATCGCTTTCATGTGTGTGTGCAACATAGGGCGGTGAGCATACGTGAAGGCATGACACCTGCAGTTCCGTCAAGATTGCCAACAAGTGTGGCAAGACCTCATGTATGAAAATGACCAGGAACTGGCTTTTCACTTTGTGCACCCGAAGCCACCGGGTATGCCGAGCACTTTGGCTCATGTGATTATTGTCCAGGGAAGTCATAACAACCACAATTTTGTGCTTTACCACGGAGACTCATTGCCTGCGCTGAGGAGACAAAGAGCGGTCATGTTTCCTGAGGGAATTTCAGTTCGTGCATTTTTCATTGAGGCTCAGCATCCAAGTGCATGTCAGATCAGAAATGCAAGATGTTTCATACAGCATGATGATGGGCGTGCACAGGTTTTTCTCGATGAGGAGGAACTGATGAGAGTCCCAAATGCAGCGTTAGTCACTGGAGCTATACGTGTGTTAGAGCAAGAGTCAGATGATGAAGATGTAACTAGCGATGATGGTGAGACTTCAGCAGCTTCCACAGATGCTTCCAATGACCACTCTTTGGACGCTTTGTCCCAGCCCTCGGAAGAGACACAGTGGGATGAGGTTTCGAGTCCGAAATCTTGGAGTTGGGAAGGTAATCAAAGTGATTTGTCCTTGCGTGAAGGGGATGCCGCTACATTGATGTCAGGAGCACCAGTGATGATGCAATATGACAATCCGGATCCTTATCCTTGGCAAGTTGACCCTATCCATTTTGAGGAGGAGCCTGAGCAAGATATGATGGACACCGTTTTTGCGGAAGATCATCAAACACAGCTGCAGGAATATGTGGAGCATGCTTTGGAGGGAACCGAAACAGAGGACACCGTTTGGCAAGCAGTGACCTTCGGAATTGGACTTGGATTTGGGTCGAAGGGATTTTCCTTTCAGCCCTCTAAGGCTCAATGAATTGCCGGAATTGGTGCAGCAGGCATGGTGGGATCACGCTCAATATGGAGCACTCACTATATTTCATGTTTACCCACAGCCAAGCGAGTTGGGCGGCATCAACAGTGTTGTGCTCTTGGTTAGTGTGGCCAGTCCGGCTGATCTGGATCCTGATGTGAAAAATGTCCTCATCACTCAAAAAGGGGACCCAGCAGCGGGATTGCGACCAGTTTCTTATGGAGCCAAAATTTTGACGGGTTCAACTGCCAAAGAGATCATGGTTCAATTAGATCTACACAAGAAGTGCAGACCTTTCACAATGCGGGAATGTGAAGTGCGTCTTGGTACAGAAGTCATGCACGAAGATGTGAGATACAATTTTGGACATGGTCTCTGGTGTTGCCCATCTTTTGGAAGGCGTCCCAATTATGTCACTAGCAACATGCAAAGGGCGGAGAGAGTTGAAGCATTCTATTTGCAGGTTGAGGAGCTTCTCTTGTTACGGCCTGAGAGTGACAGTATTGTTTGCCATGTACATGGAGTGTCGCCGGAAAACAGACCGATGGGACATCGTACTCTGGTGCTGCGAAGGCAGGAATTGGAAGGTGATCAGTGGATTGAACGGATGTGGCAGCTTTGGCCATTTGATCATCCATTTGCACCGATCACTTTTTGCCCCTATGCTATGCCAGACATGAATGAATGTCAAGAAATGGCTTTCCATTTTGCCGTGGACTATGGATCGCGTGATGGAGTCACTGTTTTGGTAAGGCAAGTGATTCAAGTCGCAGATGACATACCGAAGGGTTTACCTGGGGTGCAAGAACTTTGGGCTGTGGTCATGCCGCACATGGAGATTAGTGAAGATCCATTGGAGGCTTTGGAAAGACCACCCTTTTGGCAACGTCATGTGAGAAGTCAAAACATGCGAATGCATCTGCAGGTCAATGGTGATCGATATCAGGATGTAGTTGGGCAATGGCAGGATGGGGATGTTCTCACTATGAAAGTCAATGTGGGGCAGAAAGCGCAGGCTTTATCCATACTGCTCAGAGAGGGCTATATGCCGGACCCAAATTTCGATGAGTTGGTCACAGAACAGACGTCCTTTTTGCAGATTGGAGCAACAATTCAGCATGTTGAAGTTTATGATCAAGGTTTCCAAGAGTTTTGCGAACATGTACGGGCAAAACAAGATTGTGCTTCGTTTGGTTCGCGGGCTGATGGGAAGGGCTGCATACGGGAGTGTGGGGGGGCTAACGTGGATCCCCCCAGCTCTCACAGCCAGGAAAAGGAAACAGTCAGGGATTTTCAACATGAACCCCTTTTGCGGCATTGCCATGAGGATAACTTGGATCTCATGGGATGTCAGGGGAATGGATCTGTGCAAACTACAAGTGAGGCAATTGATCGCCTGAAACATGACCTGTCATTGCTGTATCAAGAGGACTGGAAAGGTTTGAATCATGACTTTGAGCAGATTCCCTATTTACATCCCTTTGCAAGGTTGGCAAGTCAGAAGACTCAGGGCACGTCGAGATGTCAGAACGTTTTTCATGTTTTCACGGATGGATCATGCAAAAGACACAAAGCAGCATGGGCATTTGTCGTCTTATGTGAATGTCACACATTTGAGAGTCCTCTTTTTTACCGTGTTGGTTTTGCAGCAGGCAATGTGGATGAGAGCATTGGAAAAGTTCGCTGCAATGCAGCAGATGCAGAGGCGACAGCTATCATTGCGGGAGCGGAATTTTTGCTGGCGAAAGCTGAATTACACAACATTGAGGTCTTTTTTCACTATGATGCAATTGCGGTTGGTCATGGGGCGTGTGGCAGCCAGAAAATTGTCTCGCAGGATGACAGTTATTCGGACAGACAAAGGGCCGCAAGAATTTTGATTTCTTTGCTGCAACAACGTGCCGCAGGAATGAAAGGTTTGCATGTGAAAGCCCATGATGGACACCCATGGAACGAATGTGCAGACAGCATTGCAGGGCTTGTTTGCAATGGATGGCAACCACCAATTCAGGCTGAGTTGAGATCAGGTCCTTTGCTATCCAACAAGTTACGTGAGTGGGCGTGGGTTGAAGCCAATTCAACTGCGGTCATGCCATCACTGGAAGTTATGTTGAGAAATGATGTGGCAGCGTACAATCAAGGATGGGTTGATCCGACCTTGACATCTGTGCAAGAGCAGTCTGCAAGTCACAGTGATCATGTGGGCGATTCAAACTCTCACAATGAGGGATGTCAGACCCATCGCATCAGATTTGCGACAGCGAATGTGGGCACTCTTGATTACAGAGGCAATGTGAGCTGTTGCAGCATCAAAGCCAATGAGTTGCTTCAGCAATGTCAACAAGAAGGAATCCACATTTTTGCGATACAAGAATCCAGAGCAGCAACATCAAGAACTCTCACAAATGGTCCTTTCACTCGCTACATTGCGAAAGGAAGTCAAGGACAGGCAGGAGTTGAGTTGTGGATCAATGCACTGGAGCTATCCAAGATCTTTCACTGCGATTTTCACCCTGAGAAAGATGTGTGTATCTGGCATTGTTCTGAAAGAATCCTTGCGGCGAGATGTCACTGTGGGGTTCACACATTGGAGATCATTGTTTTCTATGCACCTCAACGTGGAAGAGGGGCTCAGGAGCAAGAGATCTGGTGGTCATATTTCAAGAGCATTTTGCAAGGTAGAGACAAGAAAGCACAGCTTTTCATGCTTGGGGATGGAAATTGCAGTGTTGGCAGCATCGACGATGCAGCCATTGGGTCTTTGGCAGCGGACATTGAAGACGAAGGTGGAGGTTATTTGCATGATATTTGCACGAGTGAGAGCTTGATGATTCCCTCCACTTTTGACCAATGGCACAACGGGCAGTCCCACACATTTCTCAGTGCGAAAGGAGGACGCTCGAGAATTGATTTCATTCTGATTCCTCAAGAGTGTGCTGCCAGTGTGGTGCAATCATTTGTCAATTTAGACATGGATCTGATGAATGGAGACCGGGACCATTTTGCATTGTGCTTGGACTGCGAAATACAGGTTGGTGACAAGAACATTGTGAGACGTTTCGTACGTCAGCAGTCTTACAATCGCAATGAGGCTAGAAAGTCCCATTCACAGCATGACATTTTCAGCATTATTGATAGTTGCCCAGCAGTTGATTGGAAGACAGACGTCAATGATCACTGGGATGTCATACGAAATCATTTCCAGAAGCAGGCCAAAATTCTTTTTCCATGTCAACAGAGGCAACAAAGGCAGCTTTATTTCTCTGCTGAGGCATGGGATGTCCTGTGCAATCGAAAGGATATACGAAAGCAATTTCGTGAGCTGCAAAGGGAAAAGAACAAGATGATGCTGCGAGCCATATGGCAAGTCTGGAAGAGTGAAATCTCTGCAGTCAATGAAGAGGAAGATTTTCATTTGCCACTTCACATGCTGCGATGTCAGGAAGCGATCACCTATGAAGCTCGTCTGAGGGCTGACAAACAGTTCAGAGCTATCAAAAAGAGGGATTGGAAAAACTGGATCAGAAAGCAATTGAAGGACAAAGTTGAAGCCGCACAAGGAGTGCGATCAGCAGAGCTCTTCAAAATTTTGCGGCCCAAGCAGATGATTGCGAGAAGTGCAGGGAAGCTAATCAGACAATTGCCGGGTCTGATTGGACAGGACGGTGAATGGAAGAGCAGCAGAGACGAAGTAGCAGTTGAATGGCAAGCACAGTTTGGAGGGATTGAAAATGCGGAGGATATTTCTGTGGAGGAGCTGTTGGAGCGATCTTGTCAGCAGTTCTTTGGCAGACGAACAGAGGAGGATCTGTTACAATTGCCGACCATTTATCAGCTGGAAGGGGCCATCAGGGCACTGCAGGCTGACAAGGCCACAGGGCTGGATGGATTAGGCGCTGAGCTTCTGCAGGCCGATCCTTGCAAAGCAGCTCAAAAGATTTTCCCCTTGGTTTTGAAGGCGGCGATCAGAGGTCAAGGCATCATGGAGCTGGCCGGAGGATGGTTGCTGCCTTTATACAAAGGAAAGGGTAATCCTCAAAAGATGATGGGATACAGAGCGATACTCTTGGAATCAGTTGTTTCCAGAGCGATATCTAAGGCCTGGAGGCCGAAGATTACAGCTGGTCTTTCACTGATTGCGGAACCCATGCAGTGGGGAGGTCGACAAGGGCTGTCTATTGAGGCATTGCACCTTCATATCCATTTTTGGAAACGAAATGCGAGGAGGAAAAGAGTGTCACATGCTGTAGTCTTCCTTGACATACGTGCGGCCTTCTACTCTGTGGTCAAACAAATGGTGGCAGGAGAAGCAAGAGGCATGCGCAAATTGGAAGAGGTTTTCAGCAAAATTGGAATGTCAGAAAATATGAAACCGGATTTTTTACATCAGGTGTCTGGCGTCAATTTGGTGAAACAAGCAACCGGCTCAAACATTGTTGCCGGAAATGTGGCAGCGATGTTGGGATTGACATGGTATGTGATCCCGGAGTCAAAAACAATTCAGGGCCCGATGACGGGATCGAGGCCGGGAGACCCCTCAGCAGATGTGCTGTTCTCGCTGGTACTTACAAAGGTTTTGAAACTCATCAAGGACAGAGCTGGTGAGCAAGGCATTCAACTACATCATAAAGCTACAGCTGGAGATGTTTCAGATGTGGTGACCTGGGTAGATGACATTGCTTTTTCGCTCACTGGAGAAGCGCAGCAGTTAGTTTCAAAGACAATGAAGCTGCTGGCAATTGTTCAAGACACGATGTTGGAACATGGCCTTGCGTTGTCCTATGGCGTTGGAAAGACGGCTGTGATGTTTTCATTTCATGGGCCAGGAGCGACAGCGGCGAGACAAGAAACAGAACAGAAATACCGTGATGGTTTACCTCTGCTCAGTGAACACAAGGGGAAAGTCAACATTCCAATTGTTAGCCACTATCGTCATCTTGGGGGCTTTGTGGTCCGTTCTGGATCACGTTTGCAGGAGTTGAGGGTGAGAACAGCAGGAGCCATGGCGAAGCTCAAGCCATTGAGAAGCATTCTCACTCACCCAGATTTGCAGCAAGAACAGAGGAGCAGGATGGTTAAAAGTCTTGGCCTTTCAGTTTTCACGCTGCATGCTGGCACCCTTTATGCGATGACGCAAGGTGAATATCAACAGTGGCAAGCGGGAATACACAAAATCTACCAATCACTGCACCAGCGCAAGCACGATGGGGAGGTTCACCATTTCACACTCTATCAGCTTGCGGATATGATGAAATCACCAATGCCGATGGAAATGATCCACCTATGCAGATTGCGTTTGTTGGTTCACATCATCAGAGCGGGTGATCAACATATGATTGCAGCCATTATTGAGAATCATGAGATTGAACAAGAAGAGTCATGGTTGCAGGGTGCTTTCTACAGCTTGCGTTGGTTGGCGCAACAAGTTGGAAATGAAAATGTTCCAGATGAACTTTTTCAACTGGAAGATCCACAGGTGTGGGGCTGGTTTCAAGAAGGAGCTCATGAGATCAAGAGCCTCATCAAGAAAGCAGAGTTATCGCACTTGTGCAAGGTGGAATCGTTATGTGCTCTGCAGAAGCAAGCCAATGAGCAAGACCAATTGTTGAGAGAAATGGGATGGAGTTGTGAAGATGAGGACGACAGTCAAGAAAAACATGCTATCAGTGATTTTTCATTTGCGTGTGATGAATGTGATGCAGTTTTTGATTTGTCGTCATCTCTGGCGGTACATCAACAGAAGAAGCATGGAAAAAGAGTTGCGTTACGCAGAGTGGCATGTGATGCAACGTGCAGAGCATGTGGTAGGTTCTATCATACCAGGCCAAGGCTCATCAAGCATCTTCAAACTGCAAAGAAAGGTTGTTGGCAGTACCACTTGAGGAACTTTGAACCCATGACAGAAGAGGAGGCACTTGCTTTAGATGAGAAAGATTGCAAAGCAGGTGTGGCTGTGCATCAGAGAGGTCTTATTGAGCATGCGCTTGATCACACATGGAGGTGGTGCACGGAAAAGGAGAAGGAGAATGGCTTACCATTGAAGTCGCAAGTGGTGCGGGTTGATGGAGAGCCAACGGAGGAGGAGATCAGCGAATGGTCGTTGTTGGGCATGCTTCCACCCGGGCAGGGTGGAAGATGCCAAACCAAAAGAAATCCAACGCAATGGAGCGTGCACAATGTTGGGCATGAGGCCACAGATGTTGAGCGCAAGTTGCTGGATAGGGTACAAAAATGGTCTCCAGATCCAGATTGGATCCCCAGAGGTCCAGCTGAAGGCAGAAGATTTTTCCTGATATTTTTTTCAGGGCATCGACGTTTCAAAGATCTTGCTACCTACATCTGGTGGAAATCGGATTTGATTCCGATATGCCTGGATGTTGCCATTGATGCGGAAGTAGGCAACATTTTGCAGGACAGTTTGTGGCGCTCTCTCATTCATGCCAGGCGTGTCGCTGGTGGACACGCAGGACCGCCCTGCGAGACTTATTCACTGGCGAGATGGCTTGAAAATGAGAATCAGCTATACCCACGACCTCTTAGGAGTTGTGAACAGCCTTGGGGGTTGGATGGCCGAACTTTGAGAGAGACGCGGCAGTGGCTCATGGGCAACATTCTCATGTGGCGTGCGCTTTCATTGTTGTTGCTCATCTATGCCTATGGCGGCTCTTTCACACTGGAACATCCTAAGGGATGTGGAGGTGTAAACAACAAGTGGACGATATGGGACTCAGCATTTGTCAAACAGTTGATGCTGGCAGGAGACATTAGGCTCTGGACATACTTCAAGGCCCTTTAGGCCGACCCTTCGCGAAGCCAACCAATCTTCTCGCTGCTAGATTGGAAGGCCTGGGAGAAGCCATTTACAAGGGCTATGACAAGAGCTGGAGACCATCAATGATTTTGGGTGGCAAGGATGGGCATCATTGGCGCACCGCTCAAGCCAAAGCCTATCCTCCAGAACTTTGTAGGATCCTTGCCGAACAACACAGTTCCTTCGCAGCATGCCAACAGGCAGAGGGTGTGACCATCGAACCAGAAGATTTGCAAGCAGCTCTGGAGATTTTGGCCAACACCTATGACCCGTACATGCAGAATGCAAAGGGCACAACAATGTGCTCAGATTATTTTCACAAAGCAGCAAGGGAGGTTTGAGTAATCACCCAAAGGGGCTGAAATGAAAAAACCTCCAATTAGATGCCAAGACATGGGTCGCTCATAGTGAGCTTTTGTGGCCTGTGCAGCATGCCGGCGACTTCGAGAGAGTCACAAGCAGAGTGGAATAAATAGAGTATGCAACTAGGGTACACTGTCCGCATTCTATCTGGTGCTAGAGATACATCTATAGATGATTAGTTATAGATTATATATATATACATATAGAGTATGCAACTAGGGTACACTGTCCGGATTCTATCTGGTGCTAGAGCTACATCTATAGATGGTAACATATGTGTATGCGTATATATATATATATATTATACATATGGAGAGATGCTGATTTCAATTCAGTACACATTGCTATATATATATATATACATACATATTTCAAGGTAGATATAGATTAGATATAATATACCTATGTATATATATTATATATATATGGGTGTCAATAGAACTGGACAACCAGATTTACAGACAATCTTCCATTTTCCAATAACTTTTCATCATATGACAACAATGGACATTTTCATATATATATATATAACAACATCAATATAGCTAATGTCAGCTAATGTACATGAATATAACTTTCCAGAGATAATATCAGACAATCTTCCCATATCATGTTTTTTCAATCCTCGTGAGGCAACAACTTCGACGCTGTCGTTCAGCTGGCCGAACGGATCGATGAGGCCTTGCTGGAATACCAACATCAAGTGGCCAACAACGAGGGGATGAACCGAAGCTTGGAAGAAGTAATGGGTTTGAGTGGGATTTTCAGGAATTGAGTGGGCAGAAATTGGATTTTAATTGGATTTAATGGCATGTTTATGGATTTATGATTATTTGAGATTTCATTGGATGGGTTTTAATCCGATTTAGAGGGTTTGAATGGAATTCCGATGGGATTTTACAATCAACACATTGGAATGGTGATGATTTCATAGCCATGGCAAATGGGGATATCAGCAAAACTGTATAGCCAGATCGGTGTGTCTGAGCCAAAGGTTCCAATACCTCCGGGTGACACAGGTGGATGAAGCCTGATACTGATTATAGATTATTTCTACAAGAAAAGGAGATGCATATTACCCTCTGGTAATTTAACATAGCTATTGAAAATTGCACATTTGTAGTTGATTTATTGATTTACCTATTAAAGATGGTGATTTTCCAGTTCGCTATGTAAACGTTTACCAGAGGGTATGGCAGGCTCATGAGTAATATAGAATGACAACAAACTGGTTGTGTCATTGTCAGAAGGTAACAACAAAATGATGATATGGTCTTGAACATACATGGCTTGCTTTCTTGGTTGACATCAATTAACCAATATTTTTACGAATTATATGGGTAGCCAACCAGTCTCCCACTAGCTTCGTCCCCAAATTTGGGGATAGCCCAGAATCATGAAGGAATTGGGAAAAGGACGGTTCAAAGAATGGGATTTTAGGCTACATGTTCTTTTCAGACAAACCCGGAAGTGCCTGCAAACGGGTGGGGATTTCACCATACTTTGGGGATTGCATACATTCCTGGTAGTGTTTGTCAATTATAACCCATGTTATTGTAGGTAATTCTTTTACATACATCGTACCTGTTTTGGGGATGCAAAAGGGATGCAAAACACATTGGGTCCGTCTCCCATCTTATCCATTCAATTCCTTTCATTGTACTATATGTTATGCCCATACTAAAAAACAATACAATCCAATCATGACATATGATAAATTATAGTTAAATTATAATCAATCGCAAACTGTAAGATAGAAAAAAAACATGTTTCCAGGATGGTAGTTCGATGATGTTTCCAGGATGATAGTTCGATGATGTTTCCCTAATCTAGTATATACATGTATATATATATATATATATACATTACCCATCTCTTCGCAGCTTGCTGCACGTCCAGGTGCTGGCGTTCCCACTCTGGGGGTGCGCAAATTTGGCGCCAAGTATCCGCACTACCCGAGCTTCATCGTGGCTCAGGAATGGCGCGATTGGGCCAACCGCATCACCCAAAACTCACAGAACATAGAGGTGTGATGTCGTCCGGGTGGAGCTTGTGATGTAAAATGTCCAAGTTCGGAAAAAACGTGGCTGACCTGGGATGATTTGTTCAAAAACTATAGCTTAGTATATCCAGGTAACGTTTTTTTTAAATAAACCTGCCTTAAATCTGTGCCAAAGCTGGAGCCGTTTTGAGTGATTCGTCGAGGGGCTTTGCATGGGGTGTCCCAGTTGAAGGTCGACCCAAGTGCAAGCTGCAAGCTGATTGATTTTGGACATCTGCTCCTGCAACATCCAATATGTTGAGCAGTAAGATACTACAGTAATTCTAGAGATATGATTTTGGGGTAAGAAGATCCAATATGTTGGGTAGCAATTAGCAATATTTCGTTGTTGATGTTTCAGTCTGAGAGCTATTTCCAAGAACAGATCTGGGGAACCCACAGTCGCTCGAATATGGATGGAGTCGCGAGCGCTTGACATTTGATACCTAATGAACACTGCCTATGGATTCAACATGGCGACGATATCACAGTAAGATTCTTGAGTCCAGAGCACTTGCGAACAGTGATGGTTTGTGGTTTCAAATATGTTTCTCTCTGTTCCATCCATTTCCATCCTGTCAGTTTCCTGGCAAACGCCACGCGTTTCTGGTCAGGTCCGCAATGATTTCTTGCAGGACGTTCGCAAGCGTTTCTGGTCTCGTCTTCACCCAAAAAGCCTCGATCTATTTGATCCAGATCTTCCTTTTTGAATGGGGAAAACCATTGGGAAAATGATGGTTAATAATGGTTGATAATGGTTAATAATGGTGATGAATGTTCGTCTTCTGGTGATTTAACGTAGCGAACTGGACAATCACCATTTCATAGCTAGGTAAATCATCATGTTTATCATCAAACCTTTATGACCATGGCTTCCAATTCGAAAGCTATTCGTCATATCCAGAGGGCATTCATCACTAGTCATGAATCACTATTCAATCACCATCAAATCACTAGTTGGTGGTTTGGACTATTTTGTATTTTTCCATATAATTCTTGGGAAATTTTCATCATCCCAACTGACTTTCATATTTTTTTAGAGGAGTTGAAACATGTTGAAACCAGCAACCGTGGCTCAACCACCAACCAGATCACCATTTTTCATCACTAATTTTTCATCACTGTCCGCCATGGTCCGGTGCGAGGTTTGGAGTGGTTGGAATCTGTGGAGCTGGGACTAGTGGATCCCGGGATCACCGACCTGCACGCAACTCAGTTCGAAAGATCCCAGCATTTTTAAAAAAACGGTAGCCTCTGGTTATGACTAACATAGCTATGGAAAATCCATTATAAATGGAGGATAATAGAGGTTCTAGCTGGGAACATCATCTATAAATGGGCCATTTTCCATAGCTATGTTAAAATTGTTAAATCGCCAAGGGATAAACCATCTATTTCTATGGGCCATCTATACGATGGCTATGTTGAATATAACTGGTTGGTGGTTTGGAACATGGCTTTTATGACTTTCCATAGATTGGGAATGTCATCATCCCAACTGACGAACTCATATTTATCAGAGGGGTGGCTCAACCACCAACCAGATAATATACATGGTAACCTGACATATATCTAATATATATAATTGTTATATGACAATACAGTAATACATATATATATATATATTTATATATAATATAAGCATATAACGATAGTTACAGTGGTTGTATCCCAGCGTTCGAAAGAGAAAAAACCTTGCTGCTCATCGATTTTCCTCTAACAAGATGGATTAGGGCCATCGAAAAACCATGGCTATGTTGGTGAACTTTTAGTCATCAGCAGATGGTATACTGTAAATACCGGTGAACACCTCCAAAGAATGGATGTGTTGGTTTTTGTTTCGTAGTTCCATCAGCTGAATCGAGATGCCAAAAAAAACGTTTGAATCTTATCCTAACTGGTTTTGGGGATTGCAAAGTAACCAACCAGCTAGTATAAACCGCTACTGATCGAGTAGTTATTTCAAGCTAGTAGGGAGAGCTTATCAACCAGTACAATGGGATGGCTCTCGCACCCAGGACACCTATGGTTGGGACACAAAACGGCTGTCCTTGTTGCAGGCCGGGGCTTTCCCTAAACACGTGGGTAAAAAGTTAAGGACTTATGTCGATGTATATGGATTGATACGGATTCATACCGATGGATATGAAGAAAAAAATGATGATTGAAGGCAATGGTTGATAATTTGGATGTTTTGGTGGTTGAAAACCAAACATTTTAGAGGGAGATAGATTGTCCGGATATCGTGGAAAATCACCATGTTTAATGGGAACATCCACTATAAATGGCCATTTTCAATAGCTATGTTAGTTTACCAGAGGGTTGACATTGGATTTTAGGGGTACTCTGCATTTGGACACACCCCTAAAATGGTACAGGTCAAAGCGTCCCCCAAAAAAGGGGCTGGATCCTCTATTCGGTTTGGATAGCGTTGGGTTCCGTGTTCGATTTCGAAGCAACTTTTCGCATTGAGATAGTTTTCTGCTTGGCCCAAATAAAGGGAGTTACAGCTGTACCGCATGTTTGCTTGTCATCCTGTGGCACTCTCAACCTTTCCCATGACTGAATAGAAGGCGTGGTGAGAATGGGGCCCAATCTGATGGTCAAATCCCCAGAGGGGGCTTGTTGTTTGTCCGGCATATGCACCTGACCTGAATGTGTGGAAACTACAGACCATTTGGATCACTGTTGTACACTTGCCTGTGATGATTGGAAGCACTGACCTCGTTGGTTATTTGGAACGTCTTCGCTATTGTCCATCCTGGAAGAAGTTCCTCCCGATTGATTGCCTTTTTTTCTCTTGAGGGAGGTGGCTCAACCACCAACCTCACCACAAGAATCAACATGGCATCCCAAAAAAAATCAATTCCATTCCCGATTTGTCTGGCTAAGTTCAATCTTACTTCCAATTTTCTAAGTTAAACTATGTTAAACCCACCATGGTTAGTAAGGGAAATCATCCCCATGTTTGACCTTAATTCAGGTTAGTGAAATATTATAATTTACCCAGATAATTTATTGAGTGATATGACTAACTGATATTTATTATAATTTACCCAGAAATATTATAATTTACCCACCATGTTTGACCCTGAAATCTCACAGATCATCACAGATCTACAGGTCTTTACCCGAGACGTCCGACCTCGTTTGGTGGAGATGCGAGACACCGTGGATCGTTCCATCCTGGAACAGCCACTTGTTCCATGCGCGTTTGGTCCCACGCGTGTTTCAATGGGATCTAATGGGATTTACCAGGATCTAATGGGGATTTAATGGGATCTAATGGGATTTACCAGGATCTAATGGGGATTTAATGGGATCTAATGGGATTTACCAGGATCTAATGGGGATTTAATGGGATTAATGGGATTTACCAGGATCTAATGGGGATTTAATGAGATTTAATGGGATTTAAGCATCAAAATGTGGATTTACTGGTGATATCACCAAACATCATTCTCAATGGGTTGCTTTAAGGAACCATGTTTTTTTAGCTCCACGTATAGGGGTTTCTTGCAGAATTTCTCAGGAAATCTGCGAAGATGTAGACAGAATCAGGGATTGTATTAGTATATTTGGTATGGAATGAAAGATCATGATTATGATGTGTTATGATGCTATAACATGCTATAACGGACATGGAATGCGCTCCATGGGGAGCTAAGGAACTTCCAACCACTTGATATGTGGGATTGACAGCCAGGTGTTCTGTATTTTTTCTCCTAAACCAATCAATTGATAATCATATATATATATATATATATCATATCTATATATATACATATTATATATATATATATACATGTTCATAGATGATTCACATTGATTCACACAAACAGAACATCCATGCAATATACAAAAAGTCCTTGTTATCGTATTAAGTATTATGTCAGTTTTTTTTGTTTTACAAAATGCAGATGTACCATACATGTATGGTCTGGAAGGTCCATGAATTCCATATCTCATTCAAAACCCTTGGCTTCGGTGTTTTCCACCGACATCTATCTATTTGTTTGTCTATCTATCAATGTATCTCTATCTACTTCTATCTACTTCTATCTACTTTTATCTACTTCTATCTACTTCTATCTACTTCTATCTACTTCTATCTACTTTATCCATATCTATCTGTATCTATCTGTATCTATCTATCTAGCTATCTAGCTATCTAGCTATCTACGCATGCATAGACATACATACATATACATATTCACAAACACTTTCACCTTCACATTCACATGTACATATATACAGACAAATATACACAAGCCTATATGCATGCGAATCATGTGTGTATATAATATGTATATATATATATATATAATGTATATGTAGGTGCCCCCGTCCGCGGATATCGAGACGCTGAGGTCGCACGCGGAGATCTTGAAGCCTGGACCAGCGCGTTTTTGTGTTCCTCTCTGGTAACATGAGGATTTTCCATGGGATTTCATGGCGGTTTTCCAGATTTCCATGGGGAAAATCATAAATCACTGATAGCCAATGAATACTGTGTAATAGTGACAGTTTTCGAGCTGGAAAATGATCATTTCAAAGTATTTCAAATATGTAAATATCTGCAAGCTGCTTACTTCTCGGCCCGGACCACCAAGGCTCGGCATTTTGCTTGGCACGGATGGATCCATGGGTTTCAATACGATCTCATGATCTGATCGACTTGGATGACACCCAAAAATCGTTGGTAAATGCGGGATCATTCCACTAAAATGGGTAATAGGTTCTGACCCACACACATATCACATATATATGTTATATATACATATATATATATTTATATGTCGGTTCAGTATCCATCTTGTTCCGTCTTAGTTGGTTGAATTTCCATTTGGACAACATGATGATCATCTGATTTACAAGAGATGCCCCATTCTAAGTGCCCGAGAAAAAATCTTCCAGGATCGTATCATGACTGGATTCGGATCCTTAATCCAGGGACCAATTTCCAGTTCATCGATGATCATCGATGATGGCAAGCTGGATTGAACATCCACTCTGTTAAATACTATATGGCTGTTTTGATGGGACATCATGAATAGAAAATGAGGGATCTGATTTTGGATGTTCCAGCTCGCCATGGTTTGTTCCCCACCTGCCAGGTGAGGGTTGTTAGATTTTATCTAAGTTGCCTGCTCCTCCTCCTCCTCTCCTCCTCCTCTCGTCGTCCTCCTCCTCTCGTTGTCCTCCTCCTCTCGTTGTCCTCCTCGTCTCGTTGTCCTCCTCGTCCTCCTGCTCAACTGCGACCCGCGATCCACAGTGTTCTCTGCCGGACCTCAACCACGACCATCCACGCCCAGTGTTCCCTGCCGGACCTCAACCACGACCCACGCCCAGTGTTCCCTGCCGGACCTCAACCACGACCAGCCACGCCCAGTGTTCCCTGCCGGACCTCAACCACGACCATCCACGCCCAGTGTTCCCTGCCGGACCTCAACCGCGAGTATCCACGCCAAGTGTTCCCTGCCGGACCTCATGTAGGAAGATATGGGACAAAGAATGTGCAGAAGAAAGTTAGAAAGAATGTCAGAAGATATGCCTGATAGAATGCCAGAAGATAAGAATATATGCCAGAAGATATGCCAGAAGAATGCCAGATAGAATGCCAGAAGATTTGCCAGATAGAATGCATCAGATTTGCCAGATAGAATGCCAGAAGATATGCCAGAAGATATGCCAGAAGATATGTCAGATAGAATGCCAGAAGATATGCCAGATATATGCCAGAAGATGCCAGATATGCCAGATGCCAGAGAATGCCAGATAGAATGCCAGAAGATATGTCAGATAGAATGCCAGAAGATATGCCAGATAGAATGCCAGAAGATTTGCCAGATAGAATGCCAGAGATATGTCAGAATATATGCCAGAACATATGCCAGATATGCCAGATAGAATGCCAGATAGAATGCCAGATAGAATGCCAGAAGATATAGAATGCCAGATATAATGCCAGAAGATATGCCAGAAGATATGCCAGATAGAATGCCAGATAGAATGCCAGAAGATTTGCCAGATAGAATGCCACAAGAAAATGCCAGAAGATATGCCAGATAGAATGCCAGAAGATATGTCAGATAGAATGCCAGAAGATTTGCCAGTAAGAAAATCTATAAATGTCATGGTGGGGATCACACGAAGTAAAGTAATTTTTTATTGCTGGAGGCCATCCCAGGATTTCATTTTTTGTTTCTCCATCATTCTTCAGTCGGCTTCCCATCCATAAATCCCCATGGTTTTTGCCCAGGAACGCCTGCTTCAACTTGACCAAACGTTTGATCCTGGAGTCCATGCGCTTCTTCGAGTGCGTGGCCAACACGGAGAGTCTGCGGGTGAAATCTGAGGTCGTGGATCACGATGCTTGGGATGAAGACCTGGCACCATGGGAGGTGAAGCATGGCCTAAAAAGTGAAAAAACAGTTTGCTATTGAAAATAACCCAGTCGAAACAGTCGATTTATATACTCATTAAAAATGGTGATTGTCCATAGTTTTCCCATGAAAAATGGTGATTATCACATGATATCACACTTAAAAATGGGAGGTTAACCAACCTGTAACCAACTTCAAACATGGGTACCTTGTATGATAAGTTTAATGAGGAACTGAAAGATGACTGCCCATATGCTCCATAGTGCCATAGTGCTGGTGTATTGACCTACGAAACTGGGTACTGTGGAAGCCTATTTTCAGACACAACCAGATATTACCCTCTGGTAAACTACTGTAACATAACTATGGAAAATCAGCATTGTTAATGGGTACTGTAAATCATCTATATATAAATGTGTCATTTTCCATAGCTATGTTAAATTACCAGAGGGTTTAAATGACATTTGCTGGGGAGAGACGGGAATGAGACGCCTGCCACATTGGGATGAAGCAAAGCTCACAGTCGGACCCACCGCTCAAAGAGAGTGGTTTTAGCATAATATAGAGACATGGCTGACAAGCAATTGTATCTGATTGGTGGTTTGGAACATGTTTTATTTTTCCATATATTGGGAATAATCATCCCAACTGACTAATATTTTTCAGAGGGGTTGAAACACCAACCAGGTGTCATGAGGAATCATGAGGATGATTTTATGAATTGTTTCCTACAATTGTGGGAATGTGCTGTAGAAGATGGCTACCAAAACTAAGAATGTGACTGACATATGCACAAATTCAACGATCCAAATCTAAGCAGCAATATTATAGGCGTTCTGACCAGTGAGACTCAGAACCAGACTTCTAATTCAGTTCCAACGGCGCAACAGGCGGCCAAGACAAATCTAGTCAGGACTCGTTAAAATCCAAAAGGTAGCACGGTTGTAGTGGTCAAACAGAATTCACACCGATAATAAGCATCAGATGAGATAATTCATTCTGGCAGCCTTTTCTGGATCGCCACAGAAGGGAGTCTTGGATAGTCTTGGTGGAAATGTCTATATCAGCCATGCACTATAACGCCATATAACGCCATTCTGGACAGGTTTGAGAAACTTCAGATGGGTGTGTCTGAAAATATGGTACCCGCAAAATCCAGAGGTTTTGTTTGCAAAAGTTGTGTATCCCTATATAAATTATATAAATCTATCGCATGATCATCATTTTTATTTGGGATTTCACAGGATAAAACAAAACAAATGGGATTAATCCCTCTCCGTTGGATGATCCCCATGATGGTAATCATAGAAATAGATTACCCTCTGGTAATTTAACATAGCTATGGAAAATCACCATGTTTCATGGCTAAATCCACTATAAATGGCAATTTTTAATAGCTATGTTAGTCATCACCAGAGGGTAGGGTGTACACCCCTAATTGCCACAGCTCAGGAACATTCTCTGCCAACGTCTCTTTGGCATCTCAGTGTGAAGTACCTCTCCGAAACTTGGAAAAAACAAACGTTGCGAGTCGGTGATGTTTGGATTTCAACATTGCCGACTGCATCATGTTCTAACATGTATTTTCATTGTTTCAAAGTTTCCATGACATGTTGATGCATTATATAATCCATTGTTATCATTGTTTTCTGTTTTCATTTCCAAAGTTTGTTGTTGTAGATGTTCATGTCCCTTTTATCGCTATGTTATTTCCTGTGGCAATGACGCACAAGACTGAGGAAAGTGTGGCAATGAGGCACAAGACTGAGGAAAGTCTTCAGGAACAGCAGGCAGTGCAACCAGTCAATCGCGGCAACAGAGTCAGAGAGGCATACAACCGATTTCAAAGGATGAGTTCCTCGTTGGTGCATCCTAGGTCTGTGTTCTCCTGGAGGGGCTCCACAGCAACAGGGGAGCCAAAACCAGGGATTCAGCCAGCAAAAAAGACTGGATCCCGCAGTTGGCATGTGAGAAATTACAATTCTTAGCAAACCACGCAGTAAAACATGTGATAGAAACCACTGATAATATTGGTTTCAAAACACTTACCAACTTTGATGCGCATCAAGAAGGATTTGCTTTGCCGTGCATCCCTCAACCTTTGGAGGATGACGCGCAGGGCTCCGCACTAAGGGGCAATTCAAGCCTCAACAGATGGTTCTTTTGCTCTTTGTTTGGGGGTTATACTTCCAAATTATACAGAATAATATAGCAGTTACCTTTGATTTTGATCAATAGATCCACAGCAGGTTTTGGAAACTTCACAATGAGAACATTGATTACCAATCCTTAATCAAATGTTTCAAGAATTGACCATCTAGCAAACTAACATAGATGTGGAAAAAAATCTGGTCTCCCGTTTGGAAAGTCACTGTGTTCATGTTGCGTTTTCCTCTATGCCAAAACATTGGGGGGCATCCAGGTCACATGGACAAATGCTTGACCGCGTGGTACGCCTATATGAGACCTCAGCTGCTGGAACAGGTGAACCCGGAAAACACCAGCAAAGATGTCTGGGAATCCTTGTTGGAGGCGAATCGTCACTATCAGATTCCTGGCAAGGTATGAGTGGATTGGAGACACCTCAAAAATCTTCAAAACATGTGGGTATCAGTAGGCTGTAAAGCTACACCAGTGGTAGATTGTTTTTTGATGTGGTAAACCCAATGATAAATAAGCAGTCCCTTATGTTTCATAGGTAGAATTGAAACTATTGCATTGGGTTTACAAGATTGCATGAGGCCCAAATGGGCACCATATTATTTGGGGATGGGATGGGTAGCTCACCAATTAGATACCTCAAGCCCATGTGTTTTTCGAACATTGGATGAGGCCACATGTTCTCATCGTTGGCCAATTGTTTCATGACGATGGAATTCCCTCCGGTAATTTGACATAGCCATGGAAAATCACCAGTTTAATAGTTAATTCATCATAGCAAACTTCATGATTTATATTCATTTATATAAACATTTAATAGATTTAATAGTTTATTTAACAAGTTCGCTTAATCGAAGGAAGTTTAGAAGTCAAACTTCCGACAATATGGAGAAATGAAAAAGCAGTCAGCAGGGAGAAGAGTCAGAAGAGAAAAGATCAGAAGAAAGAAGACGCAGGTGCGCGAAAAGGTAGGTAAAGTCGCGAAACACTGTTTTTTTGGGGAGATGAGAGATGAAAAGTTGCACGCTGTTGTGGCGCGAAGCCGATTTCGAAGTGAAAAGGTACAAAACACCTCAGCGTCGGACCACTTTTGGAAGTTGAGATGTTGAAAAAGTGCACGGCGTCGTGGCGCGAAGCACATTTGGAAGTAAAATGTGTTAAAAACTGAGGGGTTCGGGGCAGTTTTGGAAGTTGAGATGTTGAAAAAGTGCACGCCGTTGTGGCGCGAAGCACATTTCCAAGTCAAAACGTACAAAACACCTCAGTGTCGGACGACTTTTGGAAGTTCTGATGTAGAAAAAGTGCACGCCGTTGTGGCGCGAAGCACATTTGGAAGTCAAAATGTTAAAAACACTAGGGGTTCGGACCACTTTTGGAAGTTCAGA